TAAAAATTGCTTTTGGAAAGTTAGAACATTTTTTTTTATATAAATGGATATGTTATGTTGAAAAGAAGAATAGTTAAAAAAGAAAGAAAGAGCAGCGATGTACGCATGCGAAGTGTGGCATCATGGATCTGCTTCCTTCTCTCTCTTCTCTCTCCCTTTGCATTGCATTGCATTCAACTCTTTTATTTTTACTGCTACTTTCCAATCAATGGGTAAAGAAAAGAAAGAATAAAGACAATGGCTTTGGTGAATGAGTCAGAGATTTTTACAAGAAATTCACACTGTTTATTATGGTACGTATTAAATACCCCATTGCATTGCATGCGCGCACAACACCACCTACAACAAGTTCATAATAATAATAATACCTTAAACTTCATAATCAAAACCACAGTGATGTCAATCATAATTGGGTGTGTTAATCTGGGCTTAGCTATGGAGTCACGTGTGGTTTCTTTCTGCGAAAGAGTAGTGGAAAAAAGGAAAATAGAAATGAGGGTCTCGTGATGTGTGATGAGGGAAACCATGAAAGAGCCGGTGGGCAATAACTGGGAAGAAGAAATATGAGAGCTGACTTTTTTTTTATTGGAGAATGGTGAATGAATGGTGATGATTTTAAGATATGCAGAAAAGGTGGGTTGGTGGTGCAGTAGTTGCAATAAATAAAAAAATACAAAATCCAATTCCCTATGAAGGGGTATGCAGAGTATAGTGAAAGAGAAGCAGAAAAGAAAAGACAGTGAGTAGTGTGGAGTATAGTGAGGAGCATGGCAATGTTACCATAATGGGAATCTCATGTCATGCAATCATGCATTTGCTTAAATTATGGTGGATGGATGTAGCGTGTAAGAAAACGGTCTCAGTCTCAGACAAATGAGTGTCACAACAAAACAAAGTACACACATCTGTTTATATTACAGCCACCTTTTGCTTGCATTCAATTGCATCTGCATCTGCATCTGCATCTGCATGCATACAAATGTCCTGCATGTCTGTAATGTTGCTTTTTCCTATTGCTCTAATGCTCTCTCTCTCTCTCTCATTCATGACAAGATTAGAGTGCGGTGAAATTAAGATAAAAAAGGCAACAAGAAAATAATACAAATACTTATCCTCAAAGCTTTCAAGGAAGGGATTGTTAGTGTATCATAAAGTAGTTAATTTTGTTTCTTTATAATTTTCATTCATTCTATTTGGCTCAGCCTGAACCAAACACAAGCTATGCTTTGTCAAAGTAATTTAAGTTGTGAGCGATGCATCTTGGCACAACTGAGATTGCAATGTGAATCAATAATTTGAGTGGATTGGCATCTTCATATTCACTCCTTCATTTATAGAGATCCACTTATTTTCTGGACATAACCAAGCCCAAAAAGAAACACGTGGTTGTTGGTTGTCACCGCCATAACTTATTGCGGTGATTCATTACCAAAGCCGGGACCCGTCAAAGAAAGTGGTGGTGAAAGACTTGCATGCACTTTTTATTTTGATAACTCATTAATTTTTTTTAATCTCATTATATTTATTATTTTTCCTTTAATTTTCTCTTTTCACAAGTAAATTAAAAATAATTTATTTCTAAATTATATTTAAAATAATTTAAGATATATGTGTACTTTTTTTTAATAATAATTTAATTTATATCTAAATAAAAAATATAAAATAAATAAATTATTTTGTATTTTTTAAAATATATTAAATTAAGATAAATATTTTACATTTATAAATAATTTATTTAAACAATTAAATAATGTATTTTTTATGAGAAATATCCTATAATTTAATATTTTAATAAATAATTAATTGAAACTTACGTAATCAATTATTATTTATATCAATCGATGTTCATATTATTTATAGTTTTTAAAATATTTAATTTAATTTAAAATAATTTAAATATAAAATATGTATTAAATTTAGAAGTATTATATTTAAAAATATAATACTTCATATTTTAAATATATTTTTAAATATATTATCATTAAAATACTTTTTAAAATAATTTATATTATTTAAAATTAAACTATATTATTATTTTAAATTATTTTGAAGTATACTATTTCAAAATTTAACAAGTTTTTTATTTTGGATAATTTGTCAAAAAAAATTTAAAGAGAAAAAATGAAATGTAAATGAAAAAAATATAATAATAATAAAAGATAAAAAAGCAAGAGAAAAAATATTAATAAAATTTAATAATTTTCATCGTGTTAATGTACTTATTAGAATTTATCAAGAAAGTGACCCCTGAACCATTACTGTACTTTATTCTCATTTATGATTATCTGCTATTTCAGTTGTCCCACTTGCATTGAAACGGGGTATTGGGGTAGAAATGTAAGTGAATAAACAAATATCAGTTTCATAAGGAAAATTGGATTCAAAACTTCTATCGAATTTCACCCTTCTTTTCGCCTCACTCATGCCAATCATGCTTATTTGTAGTGCTCCTAGGCATGAACAGCTCTTCTCTCAAACAAACCGTTCTAACAGCAATGAACTTACACATTGAATTTATATTTAGTGGCTATTAAAAATGAGAATTTAAAATATTTGATTATATAATAATTATGAAATGTTAATATGCGAGAATGTAGCTGCAACGGCTGCAGAGCAATAATGAAACTCTATACAGGACCTTCTTTCGTAGCTCTTAGGACTATGAACTGGAGCTACGACCGCATTTAATTTCTGGTTACTAATACTAAAAGTTTTACAAGTTTTATTTCATATAAAAGCAAAATCTTCCGCAAATACGAGTTACAGTGAAAAATATAGAAAAAAAAAAAAAAAGTAAAAGTTAAACTGTACTGCGCCTATATTAGCAGACGGCTTCACCAAAGAAATATATACTCAAACATGTTTGGGTGTCACAAGTGCTGCGGCATCTGGAACAGATTGATTGAGCTTCTGTTTGCAGAAAAAAAAAATGGTACTAATTATATGGGTCCCTTTTGAATTTGACAGTATTGTTGATATGTATGAATATGATAAAAGAAAATAAGTAACCAATTAAAATCATTACATAGACATCAATTATTTGATATTGAAATCATGAAAGTATGCAATTTGTTTCAGTAACACTGAAAAACTGTCCTGCTCGTGATGCCTTCTTGAGATGCTAATCTACGAGGTCATTTTTTAGTATAAAATACCGGAACTAAATAATACTACCCTTCCCAGAGTTTATTTCAAATCATGACAGAACAATGAAGTAGCGTGACAAGTTCAGTGTAGGTCAATCTAGTTGTTTCCTGTTCTTGAAGAAACTACCAATCATTAACGAGATAACATCTGACATTAAAACATGTTTTGATGAGATTCATCTTCAAAGAACCCAATTCCTAATTTTTCAACCAGTAACATATTACTCGAGCACACAAGCAAATTCTGCAGTCCTGCCAATAGTTTTGGTATTTAATAGTGTCGATAAACCGCAAAATAATAATTTGTGGTACCGCAAACTAGCCATAGAAAAACTAACTAATGATCGAATACTAATAAAAATGAAATTCTGCACATTCAAAGATGCGATATCAACTGGATAGTTATCGTTAAAACAGAGTGATGAAGGTGGGAATCTCGCAGTTCTTTGTTGTTCCATACATCCACCTATAGAAATGAAATATTTTTCACGTTGAGATGATTCTTAATAACTTCTATTCTTTGCTAACTCATATTTCAAATTAGACAATTTATCTAGCCCGTAATATAAACTTATTTCATTATCCTAGTACACCCTAAATTCGATACAGCGCATGAAGTGGGTGATCACGTTACAAGAACCAACTGCAAACATGTGGTGTTAACATGATTTAGAGTTTTGCTGAAAACAAAACATCCATGTTTTGTCTATCAATGAACCCTTAATGCTATGCGGAAGTTATCTTAAAAAAACATAAATTTGCAATTAAAATATTATGTTATGTATAAGCTTGATATTCATTCCCCTCTTAGGGGTACATGAGAGAAGATGTACGAGAACAAAAGCCTCACAACAAATCTACTTCATTGTTAAGACTTAAACACAAGATAGGAGTCCAGCCAAAAAACTAATCTATTAGGTGAGAGAGTCTCAAAACTGAAGTACGACATCAAATAGCTTATCTTAATTGAAATAGGACTCAAACATAGTCATCTTACTCTCTTCAAGGGTCGACATCCACAACGAATTTCACTCTACTGATAACATCACCCCTCTATCAGTCTATATATGTGCACCTTAATCCAGTCTATATATGTAACCCTTTCGGACTCCTACTCTCGATGAAAAGATCAATTGTTAGGACTTCAGCACAAAAAGAGACCGAGTCATAGAAGTTGAGACCAACAAAATTTTGCAGTTTTTTCAAATAGATTTTAACTAATAATAAAGTGTGTTACTGACTTTCTCTTCGCTCAAATGCTTTCTGTTTTCTGCAGAGTCATAGACAAGTGGGATTAAAGCCTCCAATTCAATTACCAGAACCAACACAAGACACTACTCCTACATTTCAGTATTTCTCCAAAACCTAACTTGAATGATTAACTTCCACATGCATTGTTTGAAACAGGGAGTGAAACTTGTATTTTAGTCCCTAAAATTGGCATCAATCCACTCCTGAACATGACGAAAGGGAAATTTAATCCTAAACAACTGATCAATTTTATTTTCTAATAAGTCAGGGGGTAAATTGACTCGCAGTTAGCAGAAGTTGTTAGAAATACCAATGTAACAAATTAAGGGATGGTTAACATGTAAAGGATAAATTGACGTTTAACTTGTGAAAAGGTTGAACCATTAAGCCATACACAGGAAAATACAGGCAAGAGATAGAAACAAGTAATTGCAATGTCAATGGTGCAAGAAGGCATAAAATATAGCCATACAAGACATACTCAATGGCGAAGAAGGCAACATAGTCTGAAATTTATACAACCAGTGAAGGCTTCGAGAACATAGATGAAGACAAAGCTTATTAAGAAAGAGGGAAAACGATGATGGAGTCCAATAGTTGAGACTAGTGGTGGTTCTCGGCTTTCACCTACAAAAGCAATGTGTGAATAAATCATATTGAAAAAAGAAAAAGAAAAGAAGATAACAATTCATATTGAATTGACAGTAATAGTGTGTGTGGATAATTGGTGAAATGAATAGGAATAGGAACAAAAGAGAAGAAACCCTATGAAGAAGATATGTACATGAGCAGCATGAGGATGTGCATAGAGTCGATCGTAGATTTGTTCGCCGACGAGATAGAATCCAAAGGCGACGAGGGCGATGCCAAGGCCAGGGGTGGCGTGACGGAACTGATTGGTGAGCAAGGGATGCTTCCTCCACGCATCCCTTCTCCTGAAGAACTCTGCGGTATCTTTTCCCGATCCCATTTCCTCTTCTCCAATCTCCAATCTCCAATCTCCCTCCCCTCTCGCTTCTCTTTCTTTCCATCCTTACTGGGCTCGCCCCAGGACGAGGCCCATAAGCCTAGTAACCATCGGCTTCCATTGGGCCTTTGTTATTGCGTTGGGCCTTGAAGCCCATGAAGGTGAGGGGTGTGATAATAATATTTACTTAGTTTTGGTTGGTGGTCTGAGAAACAGGCAGTGTGGGGTGGGTGGCAGAGCGAGTCAGAGATGACAGCTTTTACTCTTCCCGTTCATCTCCGTCTCTCTGCTTCTTCTTCTTCTTCATCATCATCGCCTCAACCCTTCCCACCACCTATTCACAAACTTCCAAACACAGGCAAGTCAGCTCTTTGCTTTCTTCATATACATTCATCACCTCCTCAAACTATTCAAGTTTGCTCCAAGAAAAATGCAAAATCAAGGCTCATTTCCTGCTCTGCTCAGGCTCAACCTCTGCAAGTGAGTTCTTCGATTCACATGCATCATTTTATTGTATGAATGATTTAATGATGCCAAGGATGTGACTGTGTTATACAGGAGCAGAAGGTGGAGTCCGGTAGCGATGTTGTAAGAGAAAGAAGTGTGTCGGTTGTCCTGTTGGCCGGTGGCCAGGGCAAGAGGATGGGAGTTTGTTTTCTTCTTCCTATACTCATTCATCAATCAATTCCATTTCTTACATTCCTTCCTAATTCACTTCAACTTTTTCTAATTTATTTCCTATCATTTTATTTGTTTACTATCACAGGCTACCATGCCCAAGCAGTATCTTCCACTTTTGGGTCAACCCATTGCTTTGTATAGGTAATAAATCACATCCTATCCTATCTTTATGTCTTATGTCATGTGGGTTGAATTCTGTATTTCAAAAATCAACACATGCTATAACTCATTCCAACTTTATATCGTTGCTTTCTGCCGACCTTCATTGACACCGCATAATCAAGCCATCTCTACTAGTTGGGATTTGTAATTGTACTCGTACATATGCTTTCATGTCATGTTTCGTTCCTTTTTGATATAATTAGCTCCGGATATACCAATCCTTTGCAGTTTCCACACTTTTTTTCACATGGTTCAAGTGAAAGAAATCGTCGTGGTTTGTGATCCTTCATACAAGGACGTTTTTGAAGGTTTTTCACCACCTTTAGCTTTTGGTTTCTTTTGTAAACCATGTACTTACATCTTAGTTATTAATATTCTTTTTTGCTCAGATGCAAAGGGAAATTATCAAGCAGAACTCAAATTTGCACTGCCTGGAAAAGAAAGACAAGATTCTGTTTACAATGGCCTTCAGGAATGTGCAGTTTTTTTAATCCCAACGATGGGCTATTGTCATGCTTTCTCTGTCATTTAATTAGTTTAATTCTAATTATGTCAAACATTGTTCTTCCCAAGTAATGATGAGTTGGGAATGAGAAAACTGACATCAACCCCCACCCCCTCCCTCCCCTCTAATATAAAGGAAAAGCAATCTAAAATGTGGCTGGATAACCAAGATCTTTCACTTCAGTTTCGAGTTCGTCTTTTCTCAAACACTAATTCCTTTTTCTTCCTTAAAAGAAACTTACAGGTTAAGAGTAAAGTTAAGCAACATGTTTTCTTTTTTAACTTGCTTAGAGTGAGTCTTTTTTTTTTTTTTTTTTAATTTAAATATTGCATCATATTATTTTTCATTTTTCATGTTAAGATTTTTCTTTTTCATAACTTGTGTTAATTCCCCCATTTCCATCCTTGATAAATTCACGTAAACTCTTAGTCAAGAAGCAAGTTAGTGAGTTTAAAATCAAATGTATTTCTTGCCCTCCATTTACCCCACCGCGTTAGTGTTTTATTATTTCTCAAATGATTTGAAGAAATTAACTCCTTTTTTAAATGTTTTCACTTAAGGATCTTATTTTTACACATTTATGTATGATTTGGTCATTTACGTAGTTGAATTCTTTTTATTTCTCATGTATTATCACACTTTATTATTGTGGTTTGCTATTTTGCTTTATTATGGAGTTGAAATGTTGAATTATTGTTGCCTTAAGAATATTATGCCATGCATATATGTCAAAGCTTTTTAGTACTATTGTTCATAATTGGAAAACTCTTATGAGTTTATGAGTTGATTCTACGGGAGCTTCATGAACCTATGTAGACTCTCAAGTTTGACAACTGTAGTGTTATCATTGAGTTGTTGATCCCTTTAACGCCCATACATCCTTATGCAGGCTGTTGATCCAAACTCTGAGCTTGTTTGCATTCATGATTCTGCAAGACCTTTGGTGTTATCAAGAGACGTTAAAAAGGTTTGGGTTGAATAAGTTTCTCTAGCACAAATTTAAGTCCAATGCTTTTGATTTTTTTTTCTTGAATTTACAGATTTGTGAAGAAAATTTAACAATATTACTTTAGGGTGGAGTGTGTGAGATACAGAAGAATTCATGTCTTCCATCTGTGATATAATTGGGAAAATGTCAATTTTATGTTAATGTTAGTGTCGGGGAAGCACAAGACACTTTAAAATAGTAGCGCTAGTCATGCTATGTTCATCATTATCAATCATGTATCAGTATTGGATATTTCACAGACATTTTATAATTATTATTATTTTTTTTTAACTTTTAGGCCAGTACAGATGGGACTATTACCATAATTTGGTGGATTGTACATTTTATTATGGCGCATAATTATGTGTTAATCTAATATTAATTTAATACATTGTATTCTGGTCAGATTTTGTCCAATGTTTTGTTATATTCCTGTGTTTGAATTGTATGATATCCACGTCCTGCGTTTTATCTTCACCTTCTAGGTAAGTCTCAGTGATTTAAAAGGAACAAACAAAAGTTAAAAAACCCTGGGTTATTATTAACAACACAATCACACTAGAGTCCATAGATTATGTAGAAGAGCTTTTCATTTCTAGAATTAAATAACCTAACCATTTCCGATTGCACACTCCTGACAGAAGCTTTCATTTTATTTGGATCCACATATTGGCGTTGTGTATCTGAACTATTTTACTTAATTTAAATAGTTTCTGTTTCTGGTCAGGGGCATTTTTCAAATTCTTCTGATTGCCATTAGTTAAACTGCCCGCCCCCTCCCTTGCCTTTTGGTTTCTCTCTCCATTTATAATTTGATGGATCCATATAAGAGGATGCTTAGATTACTATTTTGCATTTTGTTTTAGGTCCTTAAAGATGGATTATTGAATGGAGCTGCGGTTCTTGGTGTCCCTGTGAAAGCCACAATCAAAGAGGTATTTACTATTTGTTGGCATGTGAATAACAGTTCCCTCTATTAGTTTAAGTGGTTGATGAATTTTCTTTTCTATAAAAGTGAATATGGTATCCCCCATCCACAGAAAGAATTCTGTGGAAAATATCAAATCCAAATGTGATAAGCAAAACTTTATGAAAGAATCTGTATCTGTATATTTCCTTTTAGTCTCAATAACAGATTACTGTTCACAAAGGTTGACTAAATTTTCTGTTATGATTCCAACAACTAATTTTATCTTCAAACCTTCTTGATTTTTTCTTTTATATTTCCTCTCAATCCCTCTTTCCTAAGTATGCTAAACAAAGATGTAGGTTGATGAAGATAAATTATTGTCTTCCTTTGAAGTAAAAATTTACTTGTCCTTTTTTGCAGCTATATTCATTCTCCTTTCCCCTGCTCGTGTTGAATCTGTTTTATTTTATTTTTGTTATGACTTCTGATCCACAAGCTAAATTTTATATTTCTCTTAAATTGTTTTTATTTGTAATGTTAGGAACACATCTGTGAATAGATGGAACTCGGTTGTTTCCCTCACATATATATGTAACTGCATTACAACTATGGATAGCTTTTACCTCATCTGCATTTTTGTTTATACTTGATGGAAATAGCAATAACTAGAGAAAATTGGTGCACACAAGAGTGTCTTCTTATATGCTTCAATTTAGTTCCTTTACACTGGTGGGTAAAGGTAATGATATTTGTCTCGCAATCATTTTGCAGGCAAACCGTGAATCATTTGTCGTTAAAACACTGGACAGGAAAACGCTATGGGAGATGCAGACCCCACAGGTCAATAATAATATATATATCTCATCATCTTTGTCTGAGAATTTGGTCAATTACTTAGATGCAATCCATTTTTACAGGTTATTAAGCCTGAGTTGCTGAGGAAAGGCTTTGAGCTTGTAAATAGGTAGTTCCTCATCTTATGCATAACATAATTTAAACTATCTGTACACGTTACATGCTTTTTCTTATTATATTATTCTGTTATGTAAGATATCAAAGTATGAAACATACTGTCATAGTGTCATACTTTATGTGGACAAGAGTGCTATACAAACACTGGTTGGACAGTTGGATGAGTCAGACACTCCTAAACTGGAATATGATGTAACAAGTACAGATAACTTGGTTTTATATTTGTAACAAAGTTTAGAGGATACAATGTTTTTCAGAATCTAACTTTTATGCGCAACCTTGCTTGCAGAGAAGGTCTTGAAGTTACTGATGATGTGTCAATTGTGGAGCACCTTAAGCATCCTGTTTACATCACCGAAGGATCTTATACCAACATTAAGGTAGGCAAACATCTCCGAATTTCTTCTGTATTGGAATTCGGAAGCTTGATGATTATTGATTGTCCATTGATTACATGAAACCATACAAAGCCTTGTATTGTAACTCAAGTACGGCATATGCAGCATATGCTGCTGCTGCCATAAACATACCTCTTAGTCCTAAATCATGTCCTATTTTAACAACATGTTACATGGCTTTTTAGTATATTTATTTAACCGAAAGCAAAAATATTTTCTTGGATTTAACTTACTTACGCATACCATTGCAAATAAAAATAATTATATAAACTCATGCAAACTGTTTTGCAGGTTACTACGCCTGATGACATGTTACTGGCAGAGAGAATATTGAATATAAATCCTGAAGAAAATATAGTTTTGCCAATTCACCTTTGAAGGGAGATCATCCTCGATAATCTTTTTCATAATAGATTGATTACTTTTGATCCTTCAATATGCATGCATGCATGCCAAGTGTTCCTGCATGGAGGCCAAGATCCTCTTCAAGCAATAAAGCACCGTCCCATCAGATGATGAACCTATGATCATTATAAGCATCAAACACGTGAAGTCATGTTTATCTTGATTTTCTTTTTGAGTTAGTAAATTTTTTTTACGATCAAGTCTGAAATCATTGCAAAGGATATTTCTTTGGGGTCTTTATTGAGCATCTCTAAATTGTGGGTCATATGATTTTTAAGTTTTTTAAAATTTAACAAATTTTTTACATACAATAACATATAATAATATAAGTAGATAATAATGGTGTGATCATTTACATTATAAAGTTATTTGTTAGTTGAAATGTATAATTTACTATTGTAATATTTTGTAAGTATTTAAAGAAACAAAAATTATGGAAATTACACACACACACACACACAGATATATATATATACATATATATATATATATATATATATATATATATATATATATATATATTATATCTCAATATACTTTTTATCGTCGTACCACTTTTTGCTTTCAACGAATAGTTTCATAATTTTTTTTAATTAATAAGTTATTTCAATTCTTAAATTTATTACTAAACAGTCTTATCAAAATGTTAGACAAAACTCTTTATTTAGGAATGAGTTTTACTTTTATGAGTTAATACTCAATCAAACAATGGAATTTAACAAAAAAAAAATCGCGAGAAAGGTAATATTTTTCCTTTTGCACGGAGGTAGAAAAGAAATTGAATCAGTTGTACTTGGTGAAAACAGTCTTTGTCGCATGACATAAGAAATTTCTCAAATTGTTTTTTTCTGCATCATTGTTGATCAAGGCCCATTTTGGTAGGAAGTTCAAGTAAGAATGATTTCTTCTAAAATAATTAAAATTTTAATTTTTCTTTACATAAATATTATTAAGTTGTTTATTTTTTAACTTAAGTTTATCTGATGAAACTCGATGCACTTCAAAGAATAATTTATTTCATGAGTGGACTTTCTATTATTAGTAGACTAATATGAAAAATATAAAAACAAGTGAAAGTACCAGAAGACTAATGAATAATTTTTTAATTAATTTTTAATTAATATCTGATCTTTAAATAAAATATGATTCGTACCAGAAGAGATTATCATTTTATTAGGAAAAAAAAAAGGTGCATGTGAATAGAAGAGGTTTCGTTCTACTAAAAGCTTTAAAAATATATGTATATCTATTTTAAAACTATTCTAAAACTATGAACACTTGTGAAGTTCAACGTGGAAACTAAAAAAGTTTAATTGTTACTCTTTATTACTTGTTTAATAAAGGAGGGAGCAAAAGCAACATTTGTTAAAACACCTGAACCACATCAAATTCCCATTTCAAGCTCTCTCATCCTTCAAGAATCGCTCAAAGAAAGAAAAAAAAAAGTAGGAAAAATTTTGAAAATAAAAAGAAAATATATGTTTCAATCCCTTCTTATCTTTTCCTCTCCCTTTTCTTCTGCTTACCGCAGTCACCAAACAATGTAAAACTTGCCCCTCTACGCCCTCTAACTGGGGTGCCACCTTTCACCTGCTTACAACAAATACAAACACAATCTCATGTTATTCTGAGAAACACACAAGTTTTCAAATTAAGGGCACAGAATGAAGTTACCTTTATTACCCTTCTAGGCTTCGACTTATTCCAACATAAAAATCCACAACCACCTGCACCGGACCCTGATTCATATCCCCTGCAGTAGTAACCAACATATAAACCAAATTCAATTTTTTAACCGCAATCATTTTCTGATGTTAAAGACATACCAAAAGAATAAGAAAAGTATTAACACTTAGTGTATATATATATGTGTGCATGTATTGAATGCAGAAATCACTCAACCACATGATGATATCGCACAAACTTCATCACATTTATCTTCAACATGCAATATGCAAGTTTCCAATGACATTGTTTATGCAGAGAGAGTGGGGGAATTGCAACATTGAAGGAAGACTTACGGATTGTCTTTTCCAGAAATTGTTGCTAAACTGTTGTCATGCAATAAACTTGGGGACATGGGTAAACGATCAGCTTTTCTACCAATCTGATCCTTCTGTGGGACCCTTCCATTTTTAAGGGTCAAAACTTTGAGTTCGTTATTGGGATCATCTTCCCAATGCTGGTGAGAGGAAAATCTTGTTGAGTCCATGGACTCCATTGGGTCTACACCATTCTGAGGCAGTACTTGATTCTTCTCGGGTCTCAAACGACTTAATGATCCAGGGGAACCCTTTTCTACGGCCTGTAACCAGGCAGTTTCCAGCCTCTGCTCCCGAATGATGGATTCAATTCTATGCATCGGATTATCTTGTCTCCTCTCCCTCCCACCATTTCCTTCACCCAAAATATCTGATGAAGCAGTCGCAGATTGAAGGTTTCTATCCAGCAATGGAGGCATACTAGAATAAGACTCCGTTCCATTCATATGACATTGTCTTTGTTCCTTCTCACAACCTACCATTGACTCACCCTGCTTCACACCTGTTAGATTAACCTGGTTTTCACCTTCCCCATCAGCCAACTGGATTATTCGGACCTCCACATTGCGCCTCAGAACCATCTCCATCGAGTTTGTAATGCTTCTTAAAAACCTCTCAGCTCGAACTTTAATATCTGCGTCTCCAAAAGCAACATACGCTACCAAAACACCTGCAACGATAACAATATTAGAAGAAGACCGAATTATCCATGACAAAATAATCTTTGAATATGTCTCTTTGATTAGTGCATACAATAGCAAGTAAAATCAACAGGGTAATTGTCATCTGTAACGGCAGGGCATTGGTAAATTATTGGCTGCTTGATAAACCCTTAAAGTTGTAAAAAGAATCCGGTATACTATCGATTTGTTTAAAAGATAACAGCTTAATACAAGCCAGAAATACTTCCAAATACTCTAAAGATGGAAAAACATCAATTTCTAGCAAAAAATATTATTAGCTTACCTTCTACTTCACATACGGACACAAGCTTTCCATGATGGTGTAGCAGCTGCCTCAATGTCTTAGAGTGACACTTCTCAATACAATGCACCCAGATGTCAGATAGCTTCCCTGAATCTATGCACCTATACATTGTATTCCCCACCATAAGATCATCAGAGGAGACAACTGTGGAGCCATCATCTATGACTGGGCTGTTTGACGGCTTTGATTTCAAGCTGAAACCTTCAAGCTTTGATGATATATCCTTTTGATGGTTGAAATTATCATTTACTGCCTTTTGCTGGGATGCAGTGTATGCTGACTTTCGAGGCACATGTTGAGGGTCTGACTTGTGCGTGCAAGAGGTAATATCTCTTGAAACACTTGATGGATCATCTTCAGTTGTCTTACAGCTCTGCCTCCTGCTGCTGCTTGACTGCGTGAGATCAGGAGAAGGTGTAGAACCAAGCTGCAAGAGAGTTGCTGTGAACCATGTAGAGCGTTCACTGGATGTCCTTAACTGTTTCTCAGCCTCTGAGAGAAGCTTCAAAGCATTTTTTAACCTCTCCAACTCTGATTCATTCACTGAGAATGAAAATACAAGTGTGCATTAGATGATGACAGATTTTTCATCATTACAACACACAACATTATAACAACAATTAAAAGGGATACAAAGCACCTTGGAAGAACAGAAAAGAACAACAAATATCAAAATTAGAAAACAGAAGTCTGTATCAAAGCCATAGTTATATAGAATCTTATAATTCACGATTTGATACATTTTGGCTATCTACCAATAACTATCTCCAGATAAATCTTAGATGACTTTGTATCTTACTATACATGAATGAATCTACTTGCAAACTTATCCTATTTGATTATTCCATCTTTGTTTGTCACGCACTCATTCAACCCATGTTATCAATTCTCTTGTTTTGTTTTCTTTCAGGTAAATAAAGACTTCACAGACTTTAGTATGACTTCTGCTTAAGTTGTTTTATCTACTCTAGTTTAAATTGTTTACATTGAACACTATATATCATCTATATCATATTCATATATTTAAAATAATCTTGAACCTGATTCTTACGATACCATACATAATTACACGATTCAAGAAACCGAAAAAAGAATTTAGAAGCATATCCGGACGCCTATTGTTCAAATTCATGATACCAGAGAACTTTTTTATTTTTTAAATGATTGGACTCTTTTTCCAGTTGGCAAATGTATGCTTCAAAAAATACCAACCAAAAGAACATCTTAAAATAGAAATGAGAGGGCATTCATTACAAATCATATAGTACATATTCTTCCCTTGGTTTTTCATTGAGCATTTAATCTGGACGATAAATCAGTAGCCTAAATTTGTAAATCACAATATTAATGAAAAACATTTACATACCAAACAACTGCTATATTTCACATGGCCAAACACAAACATGATATAGCAGTATCAATTAGCAACATCCCGCAATTGGTTCACATGTTTAGCAATATCCTTTGGCCATAGATGAACCCATGAACTTGTTGATCATTCTAAACTTTTCAATAGGAAAGAGCATTGCACTAAATAACTCCCAAGTTATTCTGTGAGTGTTTTAAGATAAATGACATATTATGGTCAACATTAAGATGGATAAATATATAAAAGTCTTCTTAAATCTAATCAGGGATTGATGTACTCACAACTCCGACCACCAAAGAACGAATCATCAGGCTTGGTATCAATGACTGCATATGACCCAGCAATGATGTCCATGATAAGGCCAGCTAGTTGAGACATTAAAACCATTGGGTCAACTCCGGAGTCCATCAATTCTCTGGCTCTTTTCACTGTCTCTACCGTATCTGATGACATTGCTAACTCCAAAAGTTCCAGTAATTTTTCATCTGAAACAACTCCCACCTGTTGCAGTAATAAAAAACAGGAATTATGTTTTTATGATAACCATTTGTACAAAAAAATTGTAAAAGCATTTTTAGAACTGTCATATGCGTATTTGGGACCAAGAAGGTTTTTTTGGTCAATATCCTAAGAAAGCTATGAAAAAAAAATTATCATCTCATGATTAAGTGATTGAAAGCAAGAATATGCCGCCAAAAGAATAATAGTCGTTACAAACTCACAAGTTCATTGACAAGAGTAGTAGTAATTCTCTTCCCCAGCAAACTAAGCTGTTCTAACATTGTTTCTGCATCTCGGAGTGAACCATCTGCATTTATAGCAATGAGATCCAGTGCATCTGCTTCAACATCAAGGTTCTCCTGAGTGGATATTTTCCTCAACCTGGTCACAATATCCCCATCTTTAATTTTATTAAAAAGGTACTTTTGGCATCGAGATTGTACTGTTCGTGGCACATTGTCAAGATCAGATGTTATAAATATGAATACAACTCGCTGGGGTGGTTCTTCCAGAAACTTGAGAAATCCCAGCCATGTCTTGGAGGGCAACAAGTGACACTCATCAATAACAAAAACTGTATATTGTGGTGAGGCTGATGATGACCCAGTTGACAATCTTTTTAGGAGATATCTAGCCTTATCGATTCCTCTCTTATTGGTTCCATCAACTTCCAATAGATCACTGCTCTTGCCAGAAATGACATCAGTACATTCCCTGCAGTAGCCACAAGGTTTACTCTCATCGGGACTTGCACAGTTCAAGGCAGCAGCAAATATCTTTGCGGTTGATGTTTTGCCAGTACCGCGGGGACCTTGAAACAGATAGACAGGAGCAATTCGTCCCCTGGAAACAGCATTCATAAGTGACTGGACAACAATATTCTGCCCAATCAGTTCACCGAAGAACATTGGCCTATACTTTTGGCTGAAACAGCGACTGTTTTCCGGCGTGCCCTCATCTTCCCCTTCCACATTGAGAGCTACAATCTCCAATCCCTCTTGACTCCTACAACTAGATGACCACCTTCTTCCATCCAACCGGCTCAATCCCTCAAGATCAAGCTCCCCAAAGTTAGTGGAAAGTTCATCATCACTCCTTCCGGTACCTACAGAGGACCCTTCTCTAGCTTCACCACTGTTTGTGAGTAATGGAATGACACCACGAGCACTCCTCTGAGAAAATCTTCTCTTGTGAGAGGCCGAAGCCGATCTGCGGTGTCTGGGATAAATAGTTTGACTTCCACAGAGCATGCTACTCCCTTTCCTCATCAAAGTGTCGGACAGTGAGGGAGAATAACAACTCCCACACATCCCTTTATGTTTAGGAGTCCTCTTGGACCAATAGCAAGGAATCCCACATCCTTGGCGGCCAGGCAAATCCAAATGATCATCAATCTCATCATCTCCATCGCCATCATTCACGGAGGTGGTGGTGCCATCCCAGGATCCAAGGGTGCTGGGATAACGGTGACCGTACCTGTTGTAAGAACTAGTTGACAATGCAGGGGTGCTATAAGAATAAGAAGAGTCCTCTTTCCGACTTCTTCTCAAAAACTTAGAGGAAGAGCGAGACCAATTCTTTTGCCTGAGTTTTAGAAGCAAAGGGGAAGTCCCCGAAATTGGTCTCACACCCTCAGAATTAGTGTAATCTTCGGTATCATCAGAGAAATCGACAGAGTCATCCCTGCTAAAAAAAGGCAAAGAAGAATGTCCCTCCAATCCCTTCGAAGAACTCACCAAATTTCTTCCCGGATTCGTTTGTCTATGTTGTTGATACTTGGCTAAAAAATCAAAATGAGGGTTATTTTTCTTACTCTTTTTCTTAACGGGGACTGCTCTTCTGGAAACAAGATTAGCATCCCCACATCCAAAAATAGAAGAACGAGTGCCACCAGCGCCACCAATACCACCAGCACCCAAGTATGTATCACTCTTAGAGTCACAACCATTGCGAGCATCACTCAAACTGTCTCTGTCTCTGTCCCCAAGAAGAGACGAAGATCCACCTCCATCATCGTCATCTTCTTCTTCCTCGTTGTATTTCTCACTCGAAGATTTGTAGTTCTTCCAATTGTACAAGAACACCTTTTTCTCCTTCTCTTTCTCTTTGTCATTGTTGGCAAGTTGAGAATTGGTGCTGAACCTTCTACTTCCACTGTCTTTGTTCCATGCAGCCACAGATCTTGATGAACTGAGAGGTGACTTCCAAGAAGATGTGGTGCCAGGATCTCTGAGAACTCGAGAAGCCTTGCGGATTTGGGTGAGCTCCTTTTTCAAGTGAAGCTCGGATACCCGCATTTCTGACATCTTCTTCGCCGTCTTCTTCTTCTTCTTCAACCCACCGGCACCCACAAAGAATGGCAAATGCCCATTTACTTTTACTCAAGCAATGCACATACCCACTTGAGGATTCAGAGTAGAATATCTGTTTACGGTGTAAAAATCACAGCTTTGTGAGTGGGAAAAGAGAGGGTAGAAGCAGATCTGACAGATGACACAGTTGAGCGTGTGTGAAAACGAAATGGGGTGTCTTTTTTGGTTGACTGCTCTTCTCTCTCTTTTCTTTGCTTGTTCTGAAGTGGAGAGAGTGGGTATCTATTTTTCTCTTAATAATACGTTAGGGTTTCCTTTTTCTTTTTGGCGCTCCAAGAAGTGAAAGTGTTGAATTGAAATGAATCTGTGAGTGTTTGTTTGTGTGTGGGAGGATTCAATGGGTCGTTTGGATGCTTTTCATGATCATCGAAAAAGGAACCAACAATTAACGTAACATAGCATAACGTGCGAAGGGATCAAAATCAAAAAAGAAAAATAGAAAATAGAAAATGGCCCCTACAAACACGGGGACACTCTCCCAACTCACATTTGGTGGTGAGATTGGCGAAGGAAATGAGATAAGAAGAAAGAGAAAAAGAAAAAAGATTCTTCTCTTTCCAAAAATGTCTTTTTTATCATCGCCTTGATTCATTCCTGTCTTGTTCCTCAATTTTTTGACTTTCTGTCCATCTTCATTCCACCATTATCTTCTCCCTTCTCTCTATTATTTCATTAACATCATATCCATAAAGAAAATCCGCTTTTTAGGAGAAAAAATAATAAAGATATTTGGCGTATCTCACCTTATTCTCCTTTTATTTCTCATAATTTCGATTAATACACGTTGGTATATATAAAATATGACTACCTTGACAATTTCTCTGATCAAATTTTTATTTTGCTTGTTAAAATAAAAAAATTACCCTATTCACATATTCAAGAGAAAATCACGTTGAGATATCTCAAATTTTTCATAATAAGGAAATGCGATCACCATTATCATGATCCATGTTGTTGTTATGGTCATTAATTACTAGGTTGAATTTTGCTGAGAGCATTGAAGGCGATTGGTGCATTAGTATGGAATAGTGGTTTAAGTTTAGTTGCATCACCGTCCTATATTCAGCACAGAGCACACACACAGCACACAGCTGTTATTGAATGCATGGAGAACTGATCTACGTACGTTAGTTGAAGCTACCTAATGATGTGAAATTCTTGTGACACTTTATGGTTTCTTTGTGCCCCTCAACTCAACCTAATTCTTGCATTATACCATTGAGATATACTCTCATATCATATCATTCATAATAACTATTTTCATTTGTTGCTACCTGCCAGTACCAGCCTACCACCACCATCTATTATTATTATTCTACACACACAATAAATTACTCAGCCTCTCAAATAATTTGGCAGAACAGTGAGAATGACAGGTTCACGGTAGAGTGTCCTCACATATACAATTAGCAATAGTCTTTATCTTTGTGTCTACTAGTGACCATAGAAAAGTAGACATGTGACTCAGATACCTTCCCTTGTGATTTTCACAAAACTCTCTCTCCCTCTTCGTTTCTTTTTCTTGATACTCTCTTATGACATAAACTTCCAAGTTCCAATCCAAGAAATTCTCCCTGTAAAATGTTATACATCAATACATTCCATATTTCCCTTTCTGCTCGTGTTAAATAAAATTGATTACCATATATCTGCCATAATGAAATGGTTGGTGGATTTATGTAACGTGCATGAGTTACCATTGCCAGATAGATCACATAATACTGGTTTCTGTTCACAGGAAGAGTATCCATGGAGTTAAACAAGTAAAGAAAGATGCATGCTGCTGGTCTCTAAACCTACTTGTTTCTCCTCAAAAATATCCGAATTTTGATCAGTTATATTTTTTATTCACTGCATTTAATTGTAACTTACCTCTAATACTATTTTTAATGGATTATTATGTTTTGAATCTAAAATTTATAAATCAAATAATTTTGGATCATACTTTCACACCTTATGAGAGAAAATTACATTGTATCTTAATCGTTAAATCGATTACATAATGAGATAATTTATTCAGATATTACATATTCTTATTAAAGTCATAGACGTCAACCTCAATAAATCAAAATAACCACATCTTTACCTTATCGATTAATTACATTGGTGTTCATCAATTACTCTACTTATATATATCCATTGATCAATTCTCAGTTAAGGATTTTATATTTTGACAGTGATGCAGGTGAAAGGAGTTGAATGCAGTAGGTTTATCGCATTAAATAGATTTAATATTGATGTTATTTTAGCAGCACAATAATATTGGCTTCACCATAAAACATCCAAGAACAAAGGAAAAATTGACAAAGTAATTTGCAGCAGAAAGAGTTTTTTGTTTGTGGGAATTGTATGATATGAATTTGTTGGTCACATCTCTATTGGTCACATTCACACTCTGTTAAGAGATTACTCATTAACTTGTTGGATATCATTTTCACTGTCCCTTTTCAGCATCTCTCCTACAATCCCGTGTCTATACTATATATATATATATACATATTTTATACCACGTGAGAAGAAAATAATATATAAAAGGAATTTTTTTTAAAATAAAGATTTTAAGGAAATAACTCGAGTAAAAAAAATTCAAGGCATAAATATATTTGAATCCTTAAAAATATCATTCTGATTTTAGTTTTTGTAAAAAAAAAAAAAAAGGTTATCATTAAACCCTGGCAACTTTTTAATCTTTGCCATATAGTAAGTTTAATGCTGAACACTGTAAGTAACATCTAAAAGAAATAGTAAGAAAATGCTAAGATATAAAAGATATTGTTATGTTCGAAATAATAACAAAAATCACAAGTAAAAAAAAAAGGTATAATATAATAGAATATATTTTCATATTTAAAAATGGAAGCTTAAACTTACAATATTGTTAGGATGTATTAATAGAAGAAAGTTTTTCAGTTTTCATAAATTTAAAGTTGAGAAAAAATGGTATAATTTATGTTTAGGTTTACAAACATGTTTTTCGGTAACTTAAAATAAATATATATATATATATATATATATATATATATATATATATATTCATGGAAAAGTGGGAATCTAACTTTCACGTGTTAAAAGGAAAATTTTACTTAAAAATATAGTATTATGAAATTTTTAGTTTTTCAAAAATCTGAAGTTAGAAAATATATTTTCTATATTCAGCTTACTTTTAAAATATAATATTTCCATAAAATAACTAATTGTTAATTAAGTTTCTCACAACATTATTCTCATGCAAAATAAGAACCAACCTTTCCAAATAAAAATATAAATTTTACTGAAAACAATATCATATTACTTTCAGTAAATCATCCGATCGATGAAACAAGTAAAACACATTACCTATTACATGTCTAAAAAACTTGTATAAATATTGTTCGAAATATTTTTCATCAAAACAAAATTTAGTACAGTAACATATTATTTTTTGTTACTAAAAAATAATAATTATCATTATTATATTTGCTCAAACAAACAAAATTTATTTATTCTTAAAATCATAATTATCAATATTTATGTTTTTTATAGGAATCATGTTAAAAAAATAAGTTTAATATGATATGATTCATCCTAATCTATCCGTCTAACCTGATTCAATCTTTTTAATATAATTCAATTTGTTTTGATAATGTCGGAAATCATTAATTTAATTTGTTCTTATTTTATTTTATTTGATTTAATTTGTTATGAGTATCGGTTTATAATATAATAATAATAATAATTTGTAGGTTTGATAATAATTAAAATATTTTATTTCAATAAAAAAATTAATAAATATAAATTATGTTATCCAAATAAAACATTTAAAAAATAAAATTATTTTAAATGAAAATAATTTAAATTTAATGTATTTAAATTTTAAAAAAATACAAAATACCTTATCCAAACATAATATTAAAAAAAATATTGAGAATAATTTTTATTCGAAAAAAATCTGAAATTTTGATTATTGTAATATAATTCTAAACCTTCTTTTAATGGGATGTTCTAATTTGAATTTATGATTATTGGATTAGGATGCAAGATTTTATTATTAATAAATTTCTTTATTTTGGCTATCAGAGGATTTACGGTGATAACTAATTTTTAGGTGAGATTTTCTGAATGAGAAAAAAAAACGGTGCAGTATTGGATGGGTTACACAAGGTCATTTATTTTTAGACTGTATCTTCTCAAAGGATGTTTATTCATTCTATTCTACCATATGATCTCATGACATCACTCAACACTTCATTATTCCTTCTCCACGTTTGTTTGTTGATGATATCTTTAATAAGTAATTAGGCAACATAATTACTTATATATGTTTTCCCATCTCTTTTGGGTTGAGGTTCCCTGATGCAATATGAACATATTTTTCAACAAATACCATTCTTTTATTTAAAATTATTTATATTTTACCACACACAGGATATCCTAAAAAGATAAACTCATTCAGTACAAATTACTTGTGCCCAAATTCCCTTAGGTGTGATACGTTTTATTTCTTCCCTTATACAATTTATATGGGGTTTTCAATGTTTTATAAGAACTTTTAATAAGACATAATATGCAGTGCCTATAACGTTACTCCAAAAATATTGTGGTAATCTTATCGCATTTAACATGGTTGTTTTTAGTTCTTTTAGAAAATTGTGTTTCCTCATAACACAACACCGCATTATATTACTTTTTTAGGAGAGAAAAAACGTCCATATACATATAGAAAAATAATCCATAAGAGTTACGTTCTAGACTCGTGATTTTTCAAGGTCCAAAAGTAACACCTTTTTATTTTAAAATCACTTTGTCTCAATTGTCTTTTGGGCAAGCACACAACTTGCCATTTTCAAATATAAGGCTCTTTAGATTAGTTTCTTTAAATAATTCATGTGTATATGTAAATGAATATAATTAAATAATGTACAACATACCCATTCTTATGTATATATGTAAATGAATATAAATACTCTACCCGTTGAATTCAAATAGGAAAGGAACCTTAAATTGGGCCTTAATAGTTTATTTTGATAATTGGGCCTGCTTATTTTGCTTCATATTCAAATAGAAAAGGAACAAAAAGCGTGAATGCCCGAAATGACCGTTCTATACTTCACCAGAAATGACCGAAAAAGGTTGTTAAATATTACTTCGTCCGTAGTCGCTGGATCTTAGCATGCCAACAATTTGAAACTTCTTGCTTTAATTCCCTGAAATGTACTAAGAATCTTGCTTTAATTCCCTGTTGTTTTTTCTTTCTCAGGATGAGGGAAAACTACATTAACAAAATTAAAAATCGGCTCAAGCAGTATCAAATTCCCTTTGAGGACAATTAATCCTGTTGAAGCCACTATGCAACCGTGGCTCCCACATCATAATGTATAAGTAAATAAAACATTTATTAAATCAAAACCGGAAACTGCATAATATATTTATATAATATCTTTGTTGTCAATGACTACTTAACACAATTCCAAAGATGATTAGACAGTAGGAATGAACAGTAGCAAAACTTGAAATTCCATCTGCATAGTCATTAAAGTGCACCATTGACTGGAACAGGAAGCAATTTTCACTCGTAAAAATGTTATCAAACATTCTAAATCTGGTCTGTTTAATTGCTGATTGACCCGAAAGTTAGAGCTTTCAAACCCTAACCCTCTTGTTACTGCAGCTGGGGCACTTGTATTGCTTGATGTGTTCAGCCTTAGCAGGAGTAATTTTAACACATTTACCATGGAACCATCTTTCACACATATCACAACAGATCCAGAATTCATCAGTGCCATAATTATCACCGCAAGCACCACATGTTGCACCTTGTTCGTCATCTTCTTCTTCTTCCTCTCCACTCTCATCCTCCTCTTTGGGTGGTGCAGACATTTTCATCCCCTTGGCCTGAGACTCAGACTGACGGGACTGTTAAAAGGAAGCATCCAAAACAGGAAGACCCAAGTGACTTTCCACACAAGGGCAGTCATAGAAACATAAACTAAGAAATGACTGAAAACTACATACCACCTTTCCGCTTGATTTGCATTTGTTACCATTGTTTTGAGTAGCTGGTTGATCCTTTGATTGCTTAACACTTCCAGTCACAAGTTCAAAGATTGTTGGCAGATCATTTATCATCTGAAAAAGCCTTTTCCTGTAAATATCCATTTGAACCAAAATTATAAGAATCTCCTAAATATGACATCATATATGAACTTCCTAAATAGTATATTATAACCCTGCTGTCATAAGATTGTTAAGTCATGACAAGGCAAATAATTTGCCACATTATCATGTATATATGGACAATATCTACTTGGCATATAAAACATGGATTGGCCACGTCACCTCCCAAATCCATCATGATATTGCAGTAATCACAAATCGCCATTGCCAAACCGACTTTTCATTCCAACCGTGACACACTTTTTTTAAATTTTCTACTTCTTCCTTCTCCATCACCTGCACAAAATCAATTTGTCGACACCCACTTTGCACATAATTGCTTCCACCATCCAAGTACACAACCCCATGCCTTATCAGGCCAAGCCATGCTCTGCCATTGTAGAGCTCCTCCAGCAACCAAAATCACAAGTAGGCACCCTCTGCATCCACCATCACAAGTTTCCGCACAGCATGAATCCCCAAATTGCAAGACACAAATCTCTGTCATCTTCCAGTCTTTCCCAAATCCCCTTTCCCTACTAACATATAACTAAACCCATACAATTTTAACTGTTTGTTGGTTCTAATATAGTGACCCAAATGAAGTACAGGCTATGACCGATTGTACACTTTCTTTATCAAATCCCAATTCTTATGCTAACGTTTGTTTCACTTTGGTTGGCTGTATTGACTCTTCAATTATGACTTATGTTTGGCTCTGATTTCATGTGGCCTTGATTTACAGTAAATATGTGGGATTCAAGGACTTTGGCAGCATTTTGATCAGCAACAAGTTGAGGACATAGGGTTTTGGTGACTAAGGCTGAGGAAGGGGAATACCTCCTGGAGGTAGTTTGGAGGTTTGTGTAAAAGTAGATCATTTCCATGGTATTTTGATGCAAGACAGCAAGAAGCTTCTGTAGTGGCTTAGAGTAGTGACAGGGAAATGGGAGCTCATATTTTTGTTTTGTTACGGGGTTTGATTTAGGAAGAAGATGAGTTTGCTTTTTTCTCCATGCTTCTTGGTGTGAATTAGAACAGGATGTGTGTATCAAAAATAACCCTCACTGGAAACAAGAAATCAGAACTTGAACAAAGAAGGAATCTTTTCTTTTTCTCATTTTTTATTTGTAATCCCTCCCCAGTCCCCTGTCACACTCTAATATTCAGCGTTGCACTCAATTTCCTCCCTCTTTCTTTTGCTTTTTCTCATTTATATTTTAGGTTAGTTTTCGTTTGAGCTTGCTTATGGCCAAAAAACATCAAATAAAGTTTATCCTATATATTCACCAACAATGTATCACCATAAGTTTCCATACTTCAATATTAACAAGTTTTAACTCCCTTCAATTAGAGTGTGAAAATGACATGAAGTAAAAAGTGCAAATGAAGGAAATTTAAAACTGAAAGTAGAGAAAGATAATTAAAAGATAATCCATGACAACAAACAGAAAAGAAAGTTCCTTTAGACAAAGGTTACAAATTTAACAAGTAATCATCTTTACATTAAAAAAGTTAACAAGATAAAAGAAACAAATAGTCATTGTACATGAAAAATCAAAGATAGAATGGGGATACATTTAGGTATGGACATGGTCAGTCAGTATCAAAGAGGGTGAGAAAGAAACATGATTGAACATGTAATTTATAGACAAGTATAAACCTTAAGCCAGGAGAAAGAAGATGAAAGGTCATGCCCCAAATTGATTTTCTTGTCTAAGTAATCAAACAAGAAGCATTAATTTCTTGACAAGATAGAGATGAAGAGAACTGGTATTTTGGTCTCTCAAAACAAGACTTTCATAAACATCGATTAGCTTTATAACTAGATATTCAAAGGTGATTTGATAGCAGGTGTTATAATAGGCCCAACAAAGCTGGCTAGGATAACTATGAACCATCTTAGAAAGTGTGGGTTTTAGAAAGTGGAACTAGACATTTCTGATACTATAATACAAAGTGGGATTAAACTTAATCCTTCAAAATTAGCTTGTAAGGTGAGTAGGCATGTTGGAGATTGCATATCAATTAGAAATATGACCAAATTATAGTATATAGATGTTACAGATTGCACATCTCAAGCGCAAGACTAAATTTGATACCATCTTAGAACGTGGATTTAAACCAAACAAAACCAGTTAATAAGGTGAGATTTACACTCACTTATATATTATAGTTTGACAATATCTCTAATCTATATGGGATCTCTCACCATCCCTAATTACAAGAGATTGTTTTGAAATTTCCTTTTACCTTTTTATAAGACTCTTTTCTAATTGTCTCCTGGATGACTTACTTTTTTAACAAAATACCCTTAACTATTTTAGTTCAAAAATAATAAATAAATAATGCAAATTGTTTCTTTATATCTCCTATGAAGATTTAAAAATTGAAGAGTTTAATTTTAAAAATTATAACCCCACTACCCTGTATTCTCTTTCCATCATTATTATTAACAGGCAATTTCGGACAATATTACAATTACAGGAAAAAAAAAATTACATTACTAACTAAACTATAATCAACTTTCTTAATAAATGTGAATTAGTTATCAACGTGTTGTATTTAGAAACATGAGGGAGTATATAAAGTGTATTATCTTTAACTTTTATTTTCTGAAAATTCCATCAACAGTATGCTTCTGTAGAATTAAAATTGATATTAAGTTCACAAATACACACACAAAGAACCTTAACTTTCATTTGGTTCAGTGTTTCATAAGAATTTTCACGAATTGATATGTCTCATGCTTGATTTGGGACTTCAATAGATTATTGAGAAGCATGAAAAATTTTGTAATATCTTACTGTTGTAATGTATAAAGGAAATAAGCTAATGATAACTTTTATTCCAAAAATTTAGATGCATCATCGAAGTTCAAGACTAGCAGCGCAGTGTTATGAAAAGCCAAATACTTAATGGAAACACAAGGGAAAGATGGAAGCAAGAAGAAGATTGTAGTTCTACAAGATTAATAACACAATTTTACAAGGCTAATAAGAAGTTTTGCACTGTGTGATAGAGAACAGGATGCTTACCTTTCATTCTTACCAAATCCAAAGCGGGCACCAAAGTAAAAAGCAACAGCAAGAAGCCATGAGTCACTGTGAACTGCAACTAGTGACAACCAGTCCTTCTCTTGCATGCCATCCCTGGCAAAGTTTATACCTAATGCTGGCTCGGGAAGTTCAGGAGGCACTTCCTCAACAGGCAAATTTACTTCCCAGGTTTCATTTGGAAACCCATATAGACACAGATTTTCCTTCTCTACAATGAGAATAACATAATGTTAACAAAACACATTACATATAACACTACAAATACTCACACTTTTGGGTTCTTCCTATTTTGGTGGACAAATTTTATAAATTAACGTTAACAAAACGCATTACAAATAACATTTCAAAAAAATCACTCTATTGGGTTCTTATTTTCAAGGACAAATTTTGTGAATTCATATATTCCCATTTAAATCAAAATCTAATTGTTGCTATAAAATTTTGGCACTTTATTAATAGGAAAAACAAATGTTCAGAATTGATACTTTGCCCCCATTCCTTTTTTTATATTCCCCTCGTATAATCATTAATTACTTACTAACAACTTCCAATCATAACAAAGTCAAAGAGAAAACGATAATACATGATGATGTTTAACAGGCCGGCGTGACAAGCACAAAAACATGTGGTAGTGAAGGTTGTGCCCAGTGATAACCAAATTCAATCAACATCAACCTAGATCCTCACATTCAACAGAATATATTTGAATGGTCGTTACAAACAGTTGAACATCTCCCATAGATTTTCAGTGGCCTAATATATCACATCCAAATGAATTCACGGGCACCCATGGAATGAGGGGGGAAGGATTATAGGTCCCTCTTTCATTCTCATACATGCACAAACCATCCGGTGCATGAGTTAGTACTCTCAACTGTCCCTCAAACTAATTATTTTTTTTCTAAATGATGATCGTACGCATTTTTTTTCTTTTTTTTTTTCTGAAAATTGATAGGAAATCTTTAACTTGCCTCCTCCAACAATTTGTGTTTCTCAATGCCTCCGAAGGAGCAATTATTTACCCAACCACTTCCCAGCAAGCAGATGAATTCTCAAATATTGATGGATGTGCGAGAGCAACATAAATGTATGCTTTGAAAAGAATAATGATATGAAATGTAAGAAATGAGAAAGACAGAACAGAATAAATAAAACCAATATTCATAATTTGGGAGCAGAGTAACAAAAACCGAAACACAGATTAAGAAAGACGGAACAATCAAAAGCAGGAAAAAAAGAGGTGTGAGTGAGAAAGCAGTTAACAAATTGATAAAAGAAAGGCATTAATTAAAGGAAAGCGAAACCCACCAGGATCACACTGCTGGTAAAACTTTTCAACGTCTGCAAGGAAAAGAAGAAGAATAGTGTAAATAGAATATATTATGATAATTGTGACAAACAAAAAGAAAAAGGAGAGAGAGAAGAGTACCGGTGGTGAGGGCCTTAATCAAACCAGCGCGTCTACCCTTAAAGTCCGTGAAAACCTCCTCCACAGTTCTGGGTACTGGGTGCGGTACTCCTTCCATCTCCTCTCTTATTCTGAGCTCAAGTAATTCAATTATCCACCCACGCCACCCCAACCAACGAGGTTTTTCTTGACCGTCTTATGAGTTACTGGGCAGGCTAGGGTTTTGTTTTTCCCCTATCAGTTAGAGAGAGAAAGAGAGAAATTGAGGGAAAGGAAATTCAAACAAGGAGAAGCAAAAACATGAAAGAGTAACAGTAACAGTGATTGATATAAGAAGGAAGAAGCATTGGAATTTGGTGGTGTGGTTTAGAGAGAGATAGAAAGATGGATGGGGTTGAGAGAGAGAGTTGAAAGAGTGAGAGAGATAACCAAAACGGAATGGGGTCATGTCCAGGATCATTCATTATTTAGAACTATATATTTACACCACCTTTCACCCTCTACTTCTTTATTTATTTATTTATTTATGGATTTTTTTATTTCAAAAGATTCAACTGTTATAAATATTTTTCTTTTAGAATAACTTATTTCACTATTTATATAATATATTTAATCATATTTCCTTTATACTGTCTGAATTCATAGATTTTAGAAAGAGATTGAAAATAATATTTTTATATATGAACACTTAATAGATAAATTTTAAATATATAAGTTATAGGACAAAATTAATTTTTTGTCTAAGCAAAATAAACAATTAACGGTTGTTTACTTATTGTCTCTCCGTTATTTATTCACAAGCTATCTTTCCTTAATAACAATTTTTATGTTACAATATTAATATTGTTTACAAGGTACTGAAAACTTATATATTTTCCTGTTTTTATGTTAAAATAAATTAAATGTTTCTTCTTTTTCATCGTTATATCATTCTAATTTATATTAATATTTTATTTATACTATTATGAAATTAACTTGTGTAATTTTTTCACATATTTTTATTTTACTTTTTATAATATATTATTATTATTTAAAAAATTATAATTTTATTTCTAATATTTGTTAAATATATATTGACACCTATCATTTTAAATTAAAATTACAATAATAATTTTAGTTTGGTTCTTTGCTAATTATTATTCATGAAAGAGATTAATTTATTTAACTTTTATTATGGTATTGTAATTCCTTTTTATTTAACTTATTTTTTATTTTATTAAATATATACATACTTATGTTTCTGTAGTATTTATTATTTGTTATCTTCTTTCTTTAAAAGTATGTGAAACTGCAAGATGTAAAAAATACTTTTTAAAAAAATTGGTTTGAAATTAAATTTTACTTAATAATTTATCACTTATAATTACACTTATTTATTAATTAATAAAAATATATTAAGTGATAAAAAGTTTAAATTTTAATAAAAACTTTATCTTAGATTAAGTAAACATTGGTAATGTAAAAATGTTCATATTACTTATTTTTATTAAATATATTAAATTTTAATCATTTTAAAAATATTTTCCAAAAAATATGTAAGTAATAAAATAATTATATAAAAAATTATGTGATGGATTTAAAAAATAATAAGCTTTTAAAATATTTTATTTATCATTTTATGACATTTATTAACGTTGTTTATTTTTAATATTTTCTTGCATGAGACGCCTTTCTTTTTAAATATTTAGTTGAGGTTGAATTATTTTAATATATAAATATTTCTCATATATAATAAACATATTTTAATAAAACATCGTGGTTAACTAAAGCACATATCCATAATGGTTAGCCATTAAACTTTCTTTTTTAATTATAAATATTAGTAAAAAGTGTGAATAAGTAAAAACAAAATGTATGAATTATTCAAAGTGAAAGAGGTGTTTAAAATCAGAGGGATTAAAAAGAAATATAAGTGCAATCAATCAAAATATAAAAATCCAATTAAAACTATAATTTATTTAGAATATTTAATCTATTTTTATTAAATAACACGATTTAGTTTTGTTTTATTTCAAATTTAAAATAAATAATCAAACTAAATCATTTATTGTATTTAATATAATGATATATTTTTTAATTAATCATTAATTAAAAATAATATTCTTTTTAATTTATTGTATTTATATTATATTTATATTTATTAAAATATAATAATAATTTTATATTATAAGTTTTAACTATAAAATTGTTTAATTTTTTTAGAAACATAAGAAAAATTAAAAAAATACGAATATAACAATCATCATAACAATAGAATTCACAATATATAATTCTATTTAACAATTTTTATTATAAAATATTTAATAAATTTATAATAACAATGAAAAACCAAACTAATAAACATTTTTTTAATTCAAATACTATATTAAAATTAAATTAAATAAAATTGAATTACCAATTTTTATTCAAATTATTATTTAATGAAAAATCGAATAAGAAAAAGTAATTTAATTGTACATATATTTTGAGTATCACACTAATTTAATGTGAAAATAAAATTATTTTAATTTTATATTTTGATAAAAATTATTTAATTTAATAAAAACTTTTTCTATATTTTGTATTTAATGTATAAGTTAATGGTCATTGAATAATCCTCTTAACGTTTTGGTTGTGTATAATAAATAGTTTATTTATATTTTCAATAAAAAAATATCTATAATTCCTTAATCTATATCTATTCTATCTATAATAAGAGTAAACTTCATTTATGATTGAAGTGAAAAATCACTTTTTCATTAATTTTTATTCCATATATTTTTTTCAAAATATTAATTCTGAATGTTAAATAGTTATAAAAAAATATAAAGTTGTGTCACAACCATTAATATTTTATATTTTACTTTAATCATTTATATATATTTTAGATAAACTATTTGAGATAAAGCACACCAATCCATGTGTCTTTCAAGGAGGTTCTACAAAGAAGAAATGTATGAACAAAAATAATGGTGAGACATTTCACTTCTATAGAAGATCAAACACCAGAATTAAAACATCAAATTTCTTAACAAAACAACAAAGCCCCAGAGACAATAAACCAACAGGTAGATTCAGAGTTTTTTATACTGGCAACCAATAGCGAAGGATGGGCAAAATAGCATTGGTTTAAATGTTTGTCTTCTGTCTGTTTTTTTGTTGTAACATCATCTCCATATTGAGTGCTATTTTCAGAATTTGTAGGGCCAGAATCCTTTTTTGGTTGTAGTACTATTTGTTCATCAAGCAAAACATTGATTCTCTTCTTATATGTCTTATACGTCTCAGCTCCCCCCATCATCCATGTTTTCAGGTGAAAATTTTCTTGATGGAGAAATTCTTGAATTTCCACCAAGTCTGTCTTCTACTAAGCAATCACTCACTAAAACAATCTCTGAGTATCCCTCTGGATTTCTTCCTTAAATTACCTTCATCAAATTCTAATCTTAAATCTCCAGCACTTCATGTGTGAAGATGCTACAAATATATTAGCCCGATCAAATGAGCCAAAAATCATACAGCCATATTTCCCATCATGCTAGAAAGTAAACAATGTTAAGTATCATTCATAAGAATACAATGTGTGAGCAGATACTATCTATAATTCAAATATTTCAGCCACATACGGTTAGTAAACAGCATATCAATCACGTGAAAAAAGGAGAAAATATTTCATTCCAACTTCCAGCAATATATTGAACTTACTTCCAATGTAGAAACCTGCTTCCCCACCCAAAAAAATAAGAGTCAGAAATAATCATAAGCATCTGAAATCTGATGCTAAAGGGCAGGAGCAAGAAAAACAACAAAGAAAGCTCTTATGTTTATAAGTTGAGACCTCATTACATTACACACGACCAAATTTTTGTTACAACTCCTGGGAAGATTGTACTTTTTAAGTAGTTCAACTATTATATTATTTGTTTTCACCTAATCTTTGGGTATGAATGAAGAAATTTTTCCTTTGGGCAAACTATTTTAAGATGTGTATGAGACTGTGTGCACATGTGTATGTGTAGCATATTTTGCCCAAGTAGGCAAATATATATATATATATATGTTGACTGTTTTTAAATGTCCCTGCCACCCAGTTTTATAATGCATTAATTTGATGAAATGCCAAAATTCCTTTAATCTATGTGTTTATCTTCAAGATAATATACTTAGTTGATCATGCTGACAATTCAATTTTGCTATTTATACAATGTACAACATACCACAATATATATGTTTCAAAAGTACTACAGATACCTATCTATGCAATACACCAAAGTTCAATTCAAAAAGCTGGAAGCCTTGAAAGAATGCAGTAACATCATTGAGTGGTTAGTATATGTCGTCTCAAAGAAGACAAGTAAGAAGGCTGCTTATCAGACTAAGACACAACACACATAAAGTGTTGAGTTGTCAGCACCCCTCGAAGTTAAAGTAACAAAGAAAGTAACATTGTGAGGTAACCAACATAATTTCAACATAAAAAGTAATCAAGTTCTTGTTCAGTAGGGTAGATTTTGAAAGAAAACAAAAGTGGTTTAAGAACATAAAGTACACTCTAGCTTAATCGGCAACGAGTGCCTTCAGGAACTACTTGGTCATAGCCTCCTAGGAATCATCCTAGGTTACTTTTTGGCATGCACTTTGGCATACCTACAACGCCCCACACCAGGTCCAAGACCTCAAACTCACATCAAGAAAAAAGGCTCTAGTCCAAACACATCAATCAGTAGGTACGCCTCCCACAGTAGGTCTAAGATCTCAATCTTTAGGAGAGGCCTAAGAGAAATGTATAAGTCCGGCATGCCTGGTCCAGTCTAAGCAGATATGGCAATAGGATCCCAAAAACCCAAACGACACGTTTCATTAGTAGCTGCGGCCAAAGAATCATTGGGATCGAAGGGTAATTGAGATTTTATTCAGGGCAACAATAGGTTTGATTTAAGGTGCATGTTTTCTTAACCAGTTTCCAACCTCTAGCTCAAGAGGATGCACTCTATCTCTGGGGACCAACCAAAGCAACACAAAAAGAATACAAACAGTAGTACTTTGAATTGAAGGATACACATTACTTCTGTACTACATGTGTAATTCATTCATCCCATTCAAATTGAAGAAAAAGCATTAGTAAATGGTAACACAGCATGGTATGTCTGACATACTCTAAGGCAGAGTAAGGGAAGCACGGTGTGTGCATACAATAGAAAATCGGAAACAAACCTTGAGTCAGTGAGGAAGAGTGCAAAGTAAGACCTTGCTATAGCGTTTTCTGTCATAGAAGCAGTTCTGTGGAGGGTAGAACCGGAAGAGGCTTCAACTTCCAAGCCAGCAGAGACCAAGACCCTGAATCATAAGTCACCTGACTTAGCAACTCCTTCTGGTATGCGCGTCACGAGTAACATGATAATGAGGGGTGTTATATACAAGAGTCTCCCTTCTCCCAATCGGACTAAAACCAATAAAATTAACAATTACCTGGGTGAGTGTGACTATGGCTAAGCAATCATCAAAGTTTGTGTGTATTTCAGTGGCTCACTGGTTGAACAATGAAGTTGTGGAAAACAATAATGATACAAGAAGGAAAAGAGATAGGAGTTGGACACATGACAGTGCTACCAGCTTAGAGAATCTGTTACATTTCTGTTTTGGAAAAGGAGATTGGTTAGTTAGTTAGAGATTGGCTGTATAAGACAAATTGTAAATAGCTATCGTTGTGATTTAGATAAAACAATTTTTTTTGTCTGTAACTCATTGTTTTTCTCAAGAATAATAAAATTGGATCAGAATTCCTTCTTTTCTTGTAAATTCCCTTCTTCAGTGATGTTCTTCGATTGTTTATCTTTTCTAGTTCATCCTTATCAAGTGGTATCTTAGAGTCTTACCTTACCTTCCTTCAATAATGGAGGCGCAATTTCAGCAGCTACATGTGAGGTTCATGGAGTTAGCGGCGAGTCTCAACAACGCTCTTCAATAAATGTTCCAGCAACACTCTTTGGGACATTCTCAAACACTTTGAGGTGATAAATCTTCTTCCTACTCGTGTATTACTCGTTTGACTCGTTTAGATTTTTCAAGATTCAATGGTGAGGGAATAAAATTGTGGTTAATTCAATGTGAAACGTTTTTTTATTGATAATACACATGAGAATTATAAGATAAAAGTGGCAGTTGTGCATTTTGAGGAGAAGGCACTACAGTGGTATTTTGCATATGTCAAATTGGTGGGATAGGGAATTTACCTTCTTGGCAGGAATTTACTCGAATTTTGTTGGATAGATTTGGTGATGTCTGTGAGGATCTTATGGCGGAACTAATGAAACTAAGACATAAAGGGACTGTGTTAGAGTATCATGAAGTTTTTGATGTAATAGTCTCCAGGTTTGAATTGTCTAAAGAACACCAATTGAGTTGTTTTATTAGAGGATTGAAACAAGAAGTGCAAATGGTTGTCAGGATGTTTCAGCCAGATTCAGTTAGAAAAACATTTTCCCTTGCAAAAATGTATGAGTCCTATACTGTAACTCAAGCCCAATCCAAACCTTTTGTTAAGTCACAAAAATTAACCTTCACTACCAAACCACCCCTACTGCCTAACCCACCCAAACAACCTAATAACCCTCTGCACAAAACACAAACCACAAACCACTAGAAATTTAACACCTGAATGTATGACTGTAAGAAGGTCCAAAGGGTTGTGCTATTTCTGTGAGGAACCCTTCACACCAGAACACAACTTGAACACAAGAAGCTCCAAATTTATGTGTTGGAAGTTGAGGAAAATGCTACTCTACATATTTCAGAAAATTCTATTAGTGAAGAGGAGAGAGATCATCACGGAACCATTAATATCTGTCCATACTTTGACTGGAGTAGCTAGTTTTAAAACAATGAGGTGACTGGACAACACAAAAAGAGATCATTGGACATCCTAATTGACAGTGGAAGTAAACATAACTTCCTTGATGAGACAGCAACTAAGAGGATGGGATGCAGATTGAAGGTTATGCAACCTGTAGCTGTTATTGTTGCTGATGTAAATAAGGTTCAAGTCTCTAATATGGTTAAGAATTTCAAATGGTCCATCCAAAACACAACTTTTATTTCGGATATGATGATATTGCCTTTGAGTGGTTGTGATTTAGTATTGGGGATTGATTGGTTGGTGATCTTAGGTGATATAACCTGGAATTTTAATAAGTTGACTATGGAATTCTATGTACAAGGAAGAAGACATATTGTGAGAGGGAATACAAGTACAGGGCTACAAACGATTAGGAAGCAGCAGTTGCACAAGACCTTGTCATGTGGTATTCATTTATCAATGATAAGCCTTGCAGACTCCGATGCAAATTCTTTGTTGTATTCCCTGACTACTCATGTCACCCAACTACCCCTACACCATGACATTCAGAAATTGTTGGATGATTACAAGGATGTGTTTGAAATACCTATTGAGTTACCACCTAGCAGACCTGACCATGATCACAAAATTCCTTTAACACAAGGAGTCAACTTGTCAATAAGAGACCATACAGATATGCAAAGCAGCAAAAGGATATTATTGATGGTCTAATACAGGAATACCTTAAAACTGGAGTGATTCAACCTAGCAATAGTCCTTATGCAAGCCCTGTAGTTTTGGTAGGAAAGAAAGATGGATCTTGGAGACTTTGTGTGGATTATAGAGACTTAAACAAAGGCACTGTTAAGAACAAATTCCTAATTCCGTTGGTGGAAGATTTTATGGATGAATTGCATGAATCAACTATATTTTCTAAGATTGATCTCAGATCTGGCTATAACCAAGTACGAATGAATGAGGCTGACATCCATAAGACAACATTCAAGACTCATGGAGGCTATTATGAATATTTGGTTATGCCTTTTGGGCTTACAAATGCACCTGCAACATTCCAGGCTTAATGAACTCAGTTTTTCAGGCCTTTCTAAGGAAGTTTTTACTAGTATTTTTTTATGACATCCTAATATACAACAAGACTCTCCCTGATCATATCAGTCATCTTCAACATGTTTTGGAGACAATGAAGAACCATAGCTTATTTGTCAAACAATCTAAGTGTTACTTTAGAGTGGATAGAGTAGAGTATTTAGGTCATTTCCTGCAAAGGTTGAAGTTGTGCAACAATGACCTCTCCCTCAAACCTTGAAGCAGCTGAGAAGTTTTTTGGGCCTAGTCGGTTACTATAGAAGATTTGTTTACAGGTATGGTACTATTGCTAGGCCATTGACAGAAATGTTGAAGAAGGATAATTTTGTCTTGGACTCCTCAGGCAAAGGAAGCATTTAAACAGCTTAAACAACAACTGATTCATGCACCAGTTTTAGCCATGTCTGATTTTTCTCAACAATTTGTAGTAGAGGTGGATGCATATGGACAAGGATTAGGTGTTGTTTTGATGCAGAATCAGCATCCAATTGCTTATATCAGTAGATGCTTAAACAAGCAACAACAGTCTCTATCCATGTATGAGAAGGAGTTCTTGGCTGTCGTGTTTGCAGTCCAAAAATGGAGACACTATTTGCTCAATAGAAAATTCCTCATAAAGACTTATTATAGGAGTCTAAAATATATATTGGACCAAAGATTAAGTACTGCATTTCAGCAAAGATGGTTGGTGAAACTTATGGAGTCTGACTTTGATATTGAATATAGACAACGTAAGGAGAATATTGCAGCGGATGCTTTGTCCAGAAGGGAGTCAATGGAGTACAATATTATATTGAGCATGGAACCTGATTCAGACATGTTGGTTAGAATTAAGCAATCTTAGCCTGATGATTTAATCCTACAGAATATCATTTCAAACATCAAACTAAATCCTGCTTCACACAAGCATTACTCATGAGAGAAAGATGAGTTAAGATGAAAACACAGGCTGGTGGTAGGTAATAATGACAAGTTACGACAGGAACTACTTGTTTGGGTGCATGGTTTTGCTACTGGCAGTCATTCAGGGAGAGATGCTACACTGCAGAGATTGAAACCTGTGGTTTATTGGAAAGGGATGTCAAAAGATTTGTTGCTCAGTGTGTCACTTGTCAAACTAACAAGTATGAGACTACTGCATCTCTTGGTTTATTACAGCCGCTACCAATTCTGGGACAAGTTTGGCAACATCTAACTATGGATTTCATCGAAGGTCTTCCTAACTCATTTGGCAAACAAATTATTTTTGGAGTGGTTGATAGATTGAGTAAGGCAACACATTTTATGGCATTGTCACACCCCTTTCAGCAGTTGATGTAGCTCAGTGTTTCTTAGACAATGTCTTCAAACTCCATGGATTTCCTGGTTCAATTACAAGTGATAGAGATCCCATTTTTACCAATCAATTCTGGAAGGACTTTCTCTCCTTACAGGGCATACAACAGCAGATGTCTACAGCTTATCACCCTCAGACTGAGGTTGTTAATAGGTGTCTTAAAACTTATTTAAGATGTATGTGCTCAGATTCTGTTTCTAGCTGGTCCAAATGGCTTCTACTGGCTGAATGGTGGTACAATTCTTCTTACCACAACACCATTAAAACTAGTCCTTATGAAATTGTGTATGGTCAGTCACCTTCCTTCCATTTACCTTATCTTCCTAGAGAATCCAAAGTAGCTCTGGTGGATAGAAGTTTGCAGAAGAGAGAAGAGATGCTTAAATTAATCAAGTTCTACATGCAGCAAGCAGCTTGCTGATAGACACAGATTTGACAGAGAATTTCAGATTGGAGATTTGGTGCTGGTAGAATTACACTCTTATAGACATATATATGTGGCTTTCAAAAACAATGCCAAACTTTCTCCCAAGTATTTCAGGCCTTTTATGGTGGTAGACAAAGTGGGTAGTGTAGTTTATTAGCTAAGACTTCCTCCAGGTTCTCAAATTCACAACGTGTTTCATATTTCTCAACTCAGGAAATTTGTTGAGAACTCTTCTATTTCTCAAAATTCTTTTTAACCTATCACTAATCCAGTCCCAAAAGAACCTGAGTACATATTGGATCATATGAATGTTAAGAGAGGGAATAAGGTAGTTACTAACGTTCTTGTTAAATGGAAGCATCAATTGGAAGAGGATGCCATATGGGAGTTATATTTTGATATGAAGAAGAAGTTTCCAAGTTTCAATCCTTGAGGACAAGGATTTTCTTAAGCAGGGGTTGATAAAGGAAGAAAAGAGATAGGAGCTGGACACATGACAGTGCTAACAACTTATAGAATCTGTTACATTTCTGTTTTGGAAAAAGAGATTGGTTAGTTAGTTAGAAATTGGCTATATAAGGCAAATTGTAAATACCTATCGTGGTAATTCAGATAAAATAAATTCTTCTCTGTAACTCATTGTTTTTGTCGAGAATAATAAAATTGAATCGGAATTCCTTTTTTTCTCGTGAATCTCCTTCTTCTTGGTTAATGTTATTCGATTGTTTCTCTTTCCTAGTTCATCCTTTTCAAATAAGCCTCTTGATGCCGGTCATTTGATCCCTCAAGCTAGGTTATGGAGTTAAGTAACATCACATCCTGCAAAATTCCTTCACTTTCAAATGGAAATTGGTGTCTTAAACAAAAATTGTGAAAATCGAAGCGCAAAACCCCTTTTCTCTTGTCATCTTAAAAGTGTGACTAATCTTCTGCAACTTGAATTCTTACACCTAGATTCAAGCCACCTCAATCCTATCTACTTGCTGAACTTTAATAGTAAACGAAAAGAAGTAAAATTTTAAATGTGGATCAAAGTTGCATTTCATGGCAGACTGGGCCACTACCCTGACAAGTTATCTATGATATAAACTGTGAGCTTATAATCTGAAAGAAAGTAATCAAAATGAAAGTTTAGGAACCATGGATGTAAACATAATTTGGGGAACAAATATATGTTTAAGAAAGAAAAAGTTATAACTTCTTGTATCACTTTTAGCAATCCGATTAAACATGTCATGAGTTCTACCATGTTTTCCTGGCAAGGTATCATCATGATCATCCGACTCATTCAAATCATAAATTGGCTTTTGTTTGTTAAGTTACATAATATTCTCTCTCACACACACGCACGCACATTGGGCTTAGTACTATTCAACCAAAATCATAACTTTAACTATTTCCAGTTTGAGTTCCATTTCCTGTATACAACTGAAACTCAAATGTGGAAAACCTGAAACTGGCAGTGGAAGACTATGACCAATATACAACTTTGTAGACACCTGAGATGGGTCCACACACACACACAGAATATAATTCAAGTCCAAAAAAAAAACTTGTACAGGAACCTAAGATATGAGGTTATATTAATGCGTACTGCGAATGTAGCGCTTCAATGCATCGGAAGTATAATAAATTGGAAATCAAAAGATCGAACTTTAATGAAGCAGAACCGCTGTAAAGGATGCATTGAAGTCTATGGACTGAATTAGAGAAGCAAAGGGCGGGGTGAAGAGAAGTCTCTCTGTGCGTGCGGCAGTTAATTCAAAATGTGATATTAATGAGAGATGAGAGAAAACCAAGACTTCCATAAATTTTGAACGGATAGGATATTTCCCAGCAACCTCAACAAGATTTCAATTATCAATTCATTCCGCCAGTTGTGGTGCTCCGCGTTCTCCTTTTTCCCTGGCGATTCTGACTCTGACTCTGCATTTTAGCGGTTATGTGAGAAAGGACACAAACTCAAACTCCAATGCAATATGAGTAGGATTTATTTTGATTAATCAGGAATATTCAACTAACACAATAATAAAAGTGTTTTTTAACTTTAAACTGATGTAGAATGGTGGGATCCACTTGAATTAAAGTAATACCCATGAAAATTGCAGATGATATAATAGAGGAGTAGGATGGTGCTTGGTCAAACATTAATTCACTGCAAGAGAGGATGGGGATCATCGAGCATGTGTTGTTGTTTAACGTCAAAGACGATGTTGCGCCGTCGGAGGCAGAGACCATGGTGAAGCGAATCGATTCCCTAGCCTCCCTGGAACAGCTTCTTCACCTCACAGTGGGGCCGCTGTTACGCATCCGAACCTCCACCCCGTTCAATTTCACTCACTTCTACCACACGCGTTTCAACTCCAAACACGATCTTCACGCCTACGTGGCGCACCCAGCCCATCTGGCGGTCGTCGATGCCAACGCGTCCTTGGTCGACGACCTCATGGCACTTGATTGGGTTGCCGAGGTTCCCGGCGGCGCTGTGACGCCGCCGGGCTCCGCCCTGCGGGTGACGTTCTTGAAGTTGAAGGAGGGCGTTGGAGATGACGTTAAAGAGGAGGTTGTGAGGGCTGTAAGAGAAATTCAGTGTGAGTTGAAACAGGCTATTCAGCTGACTTGCGGGGAAAATTTCTCAGCCGGAAGATCCAAAGGGTTCTCCATTGCTTCCCTTGAAGTGTTTCCTGGATTAAGTGAACTAGAGGCAGCGGATTCTGATGAAGAACTAGGGTTGTATCAGAAAAACGAATCGATAAAGAAACATCTCCAGAGTGAGATGGTGCTTTATTATGTGGTGCCATCCTGCACAACTCAGTCACCAGCTTAATTACCTTATTTGTAATAATCATCACTTCCTGTATCAAAACCTGTACTTCCTGCATCAAAACTTGTTTCATTCGCTATAATATTGTATCATATAAAACATCCTTCCTTGTATTATATTTATAACTTAATCATTGTTCATTCATCTGGGTTCCTTTGTCATTCAAGGGAGCTTCAAAATTTAAAAAAAAAAAAAAGGCATAAACACCAAGATAGGAGAAGACCATTGCGGTGTTAACAAGCGTACCAAACCGTAGTAAATTGGAAAGTCTAAGTACGGTTTCCCAAGAGAGATCAGCGCTTCTTTACACAGTTTTTGCACTTTCGTGGCTAAGACCGATTGTCACTAAGAAATCGTTTTCAGTTTTAATTTAACATGAAAAATCATCTGTTACATTTCTTAAATTCATTGTAATGATCTTTTATTTTAATACCGCTTCAGCGTCTACGGTCTCAATTCTAATTTCTAACAGATACAAATATACGGTAAAATTCTTTAATCCAGTTTGCATTAAGTTTTCAAACATGACTTAGAATTGATATATTATGTTTAATATTAAGGTATAGTTGTTTACTATCTTTTCGTTCCAGATGCAATTAAAAAAAAAATGTTGGTTTTAAGTATCTAATTTTCTAGTCAATTGTGTGTCATCTTGATTTTAACTTTGTCAGAACTTATTACTATCATCTCACTTGTATATAACAAGATAATAAAATTATTTTTATTAAATATATTATAATAAGTACAATATCAATATTAATAATTAAAGAATAAAATCTTTTATACCAACAATTACTTATTTTAAATCATACAGAAATTTGGTCAATAAATCAAGGTTTCTTTCTTTAAAATATATTGGTTGAAGCATAAATATTTATTTTTCAAGTTTTCTACGAAAAAAAATAGTTTTTATCCAATTGTTCGATATATAAATGAAGTACAATATATAAAGTTATAATAACTTTAATTATCTATTTCTTACATCGTCATCATAATTGTAACCACGCTGACAACTTCTATCCTGTAGCCACACGACGAGGCGAACGACCTTTACACTGTGGTCATGTGACCGAAAAATATAAAGGTTGAATTTCCTCAAAGTCCATAAAAGGCCTATAGGTGACACTTTTAAAGTAAGGACATAATACATCGAAGAACAAGGTTATAGATATTCGACAACACGTCATCCGGAGTATGAAGCCAAATCACCATTTGGCAGGAAGTTCTCGGTCTAGCAAGAATAATATTCATATCGTTGATTGGGTTTGTTACTTATGTAAGTTTATTGATTTGAATAGTATAAAATTGTCTTTTCAAAAATATTATTTTATAAAGTGACTTAATCTCATGCAATTTTTATGAAAACATTCCAAATCTTATTTAGTATAGTCTTTTCAACAATACTAGATAAAATTACATTTGTCCTTATTAATTACAAATTTGCAATAACATTATCATTCATAGCTTCTCACTTTTGATCTATGATATTCAAGAATATTTATTTAATTACATCTATACAATTGTTATTTTTCAAATTGATTTTCATCTTCAATTTTCAAAATGATAAATTATTCTTATTAAACTTCTCTATCTTATATTTTGTTGTCATGACTTTAAAATCGGTTTATACACTTCTCACCATGAATAATATTATTTATTAGAAAAATAAATATAAATTATGAATCATTACATTAGGTAAGTTTTTAAAAAAAATATAGGTATAAATATCGTAATGTTAAAATTTTCTTAAATATTATATATTTCACACTATCCCATTTTATATATAATAAGAAGAATAATTCATTTTTTATGTGAAATATTAGACTAGTTGTAATTACAAAACATATTTATATTTTTTTACAATATTGTTCTAATAACAATAACAACAAAATATAATAAAAAATTAAATAACTTTGATATTATTATTAAGTACTAAAATAAGGATATAATAATTCATAACTAAAATAAAAGAAAAACGAAAAAATAAAATAACAAAACAAATGTAAGACAATAATATAATTTTCCTTAAAAGAAATAAATTTACATATTTTTCTCATTAGCTTTAAGGAAATAATAACATCTCTATTAGAATTAAGAAAAACAATTACTAAGAAAACTTCAAAGAAAAACTAGTTTTCTCTTTTAAAATTTCTCTCAAGTATTAAAACATTAAAGAGAAAAATATGAGATTCAGTATATATGTTTTACTAAGGAAATAAGATGTGCCTTTTATAAGATAAAAAGTAAGTACCAAATTAAATTATCGGGAGGTCAGACTTCACTTCTCACGTCCAAAAGTTATTTTTTTTCGTATTTTCCTTCCATCTAAAAATTCACCACAAAAAGCACATTCAGTGGGATGAACCAAATCTTTGTTGGACAAGAAGAAGATTACCATCATTACAAAATTTATAATTTTTAGTCAACTAGTATATCTATTTGCTGGGTAAAATTGACAAACTGATTTATTTTTTGAACGTATTTCTCGCTATGTTTGTGGTCATTTTTTTTTTCATTTTCACTTTCAACTATTAATTTATACAAAAAATATACAAAATATGAATAGTAATTTAGTTTTTAAATTTTAAATACTCTTATAAAAAATCAAACTTATTTATAACATAAATTGAAAAATACGTATAATATATATATATATATATATATATATATATTATTTATTTATATAAACCTAATTTATTGATAGAGAAAGAGAAAGAAAAAGGAATAAAGATGGTGTATAATATTCTTTATATAAGGAAAATACCTAAAATAATAAAATAAAAATATATAGCATATAAAATATTAACAACCCAATCAACTTATCAAAATAGAAAAGATATGGTTAATCATAATAATCAAATTAAAAGGAATTTTAATTAGAAAATATTATATGCTAACATTCCCCGCAAACCCAAAGTTATTGAAGGAATAAATGACTTTGAGTTTGAAACGCATAAGAGAGAAACGAGCTTGAGAGAGTGACTTGGTCAAGATATAAGCAATTTGATCTTGGCTGGAATATGAGTAACAACTAAGGAAGAATTCAATACTTTTTCACGAACAAAAAATATATCAAGCTTCATGTGCTTAGTTCTCGTGTGTAACACAAGATTGTGATTGAGAGCAATTGTGTTTTGATTATGCAGTAAATGATAGGTGTAGCACAAAGAATGTGTAATTCCTTACGAAAGGATGACAACCACAAAATTTCAGAAGCGGTAATAGCTAGATTGCGATATTATGCTTCAGCACTTGAGCGAGCAACTAGAGTTTGCTTCTTTGACCACCAAGAAACCAAATTTTTGCCAAAGAAAATGCAGGCACCAAAGGCGGACCTTCGATCATCAATGTCAGATGCCTAGTCTGCATCACAATAGGCAATAAGAGTGTACTGGACAGAACTGGAAGCAGGATGAAGATGCAAACCATAGGAGATGGTACCCTTAAGATAGCGCAATATATGTTTGATGGCCTTCCAATGATCAGTCAGTGTTGAGACATAAATTAGTAGACTTTATTAACGTTGTAGCCAATCTCAGGTCGAGTAATAGTAATATATTGCAGGGCACCAACAATAGACCTATAAAGAGCAGGATCATCAAAATAATCAAACCCAAATCTAGTGAATTTCAAGCCAACTTGAAGAGGAGTAGAAATGTCCTTGGCCTCATCCATTCCAGCCTTAAGAAGTAAATCTTGAATATATTTGGTTTGAGACAAAATGAGAGAACTGTCAAGAAGATGTTTGACCTCAATACCCAAGAAATAATCAAGTTCACCAAGTTACTTAAGAGCAAAAACAACATGTAATTTAGAGATGATTGATTGGAGAAGAGTGGAGGATGAGCCCCTGAGTATTATATCATCAACATAAATGAGAACATAGAGAGTATCAACAACAGTGGTAATAACTAATAGAGAAGGATCACACCTACTCAGCACAAAACCAAAGCTAAGCAAAGTAGATCCTGTTTGAGACCATAAATGGAATGCTGAAGCTTGCACACAAGAGAAGAATTTGTGGACTCAAAACCAGGGGGTTGAGTCATGTAAACATCTTCATGAAGAATGTCATTGAGAAAAACATTATTAACATCAACATGTTGAATAGACCAATGATTGGTGAGAGACAAGATAAGAATAATACGAACAGTGGCAGGCTTAATCACAGGTGAAAATGTTTCAGAATAGTCACATCCAAATTGTTGATGAAACCCCTTGGCCACTAAACGAGTTTTATATTTATTGACAGTAGCATCTGAATTCTCTTTAATGCGAAAAATCCACTTGCAACCAATAGTTGTCCAACCAGGAGGAAGATGAGTGAGCTGTCACGTATGATTAGCTAGTAAAGCATCATAATCATATTGCATGGCTTGCCTCCAAAGAGGAGAGGAGAGAGTTTGCTTAACAGTAGATGGTTCTGCAATAGTGAAAAGCAAATTAGGAAAGCGACAAGGCTTAACAATATTTGATTTGGAAAGTGTTTGCATAGGATGAGTGGATGGAAGAGAGAAAAAACTAGGAACAGATGCTAAGGATGGGTTAGGGACAGGAACATGAGGAGGATGAGACTGAGGAGGAGGAGAAGAAACAGAGGACTGAAACACAGGAGATGACACAACAATTGAAGATTTCAGAGTAGCATGCTGAGTGGGACTATGAATAGGACTAGGAAGGATGCCAAGGGATAGGAGATGAGAAGGGAAGAGGGTAACAAAGGAGTGTGAATTTGAGTGACAAAGGGAAAAGTGTTTTCATCAAAGATAACATCCTTAGAAATAAAATTTTTACCATTGGAGTCAAGACACTTATACCCTTTGTAACACGAAGAGTACCATAAGAAAGTGCAGGTCGTGGACCTATACTGCAATTTATGATAATTATAAGGGCGAGTATGGGGATAACATGCACAACCAAACACTTTAAGAAAATGATAATTGATTTCTTTATTAAAAGGAGTACAATAGGGAATAGGATGAGGAACATTTGATGCAGGGAGACGATTAATGAGATACACTGCAATATGAAAAGCATGATCCCAAAATATCATAGGTAAAGATGATTGAGAGAGAAGGGTGAGACCCATTTCAACGATATACCTATGTTTGCGTTCAACAACGCCATTTTGATGATAAGTATGAAGATATATCAAACGGTGATGAATACCCAAAGAGGTAAAATATTGAGTGAAAGATCTAAATTCACCACCCCAATCAGTTTGGATTTCCTTAACTTTATGATTGAATTGAAGTTCATCAAAGGTCTTGAATTGTTTAAAGACATTCAAAGTGTCAGATTAAAAAAAAATAAAAATAAATCCAAGTATATTTACTATAAGCATCAATAAAAGAAACGTAATAATGATATCCCATTGAAGATTTGACATGAGAAGGACCTCAAAGATCACAAAAGACAAGTTGTAAAGGTGTAGTGTAAGAAGTTAGGAAAGTATGAGAAGCTAATTGGTGAGATTTGCCCATATAGCATGCTACACAAAAATCTGTAGTAGTTTTATTTGGTGGGGAAACATTACAACTGTGAAGAACATTATGTAAAACAGAAACAAAAGGGTGACCTAACCTATTATGCCAAAGAGAAAACACAGTGAAAGTGTGTGGGTACAATGGAAACAGAGGGGGAAGGGGGAATATCAGAGACAATGGACACATTTTTAGACGCGGGTTTGGGAATGTAGCGAAAGGAGAGGAAACTGGTATAGACCATCCGAACCAAGATATCCAATCAACAATATTGAGTGATCAACCTAAGACTTAACAAAACAAAGAGTGGAATGAAATTCAAAATAAACATGGTTATCCCTAACAAATTGACTGACACTTACAAGATTTTTATTAACAGAGGGAACATGTAATAATTTTGTGAGATGCAAAGGAACACAATGATTAGAAGAAGAGATAGTTGTAGAATCAAAATATTGAATAAGAAAACCTTGTCCGTTTCCAAGGAAGACACAAGCATCTGTGGAAGGCAGGATGAGATTCTGAAGGTTGGTGGAATCAGGGGTTATGTGATGAGATGCCCCAGGGTCAATATACCAATTCTGGGATTGTTGAGTGGGCACAAACATCTAACCAGACTGAGCAACATAAGCATGGGGTTGAAAAGCCAAATAATGAGCCTGAGAGGGAGGCATCATGGGCCAAGGCGAGGGGGAAACCCCTGGATGTGAAGGACCAGGAAAATGAGAGAGAACCCCAGACTGATATAAAGAATAACCCATGGTGTGATTAGGGGGCGGAGCAGCAAAAGCCGGATTAAAACGATGATAGTAGACAGTAGCAATGTGGCCATATCTGTTACAAACTTGACATTGAACAGATGCACGACCTCCACGACGACCCCGACCACGACCACGACCATGTTGAAAATAGCTAGTAGGAGAAAAAGTAGATGAAGAAGGGGAAACACCCTGAGCGAAGTTAACACTAGGAGAAGAAGCTGTTAGAGAAGGGGCTTTTGTGAGATTAAGCAAAACCGTATCACCATCACGACGAAACTTTGCAAGCTGAGCTTCCTGAACAACAAGTAGAGATTCTACTTCATCGAGAGAAAACAAATCTGGTTTGTTGTTGATGAGAGCAAAGAATGACTCATATTCAACCGGAAGACCTTCAAGAATAAGGTCAAGTTGTTCGCGATCAGATACAGGATCACCAATGGAGCGAAAAGACCAACGTCTTGAGGGAGAGAAGAAAGTTGTTAATGGTCCATTCACCTTTCTTCATGGTGCGAAGTTTCGTATGAAGTTGATGAACCCGAACTTTGGTCCGAGAGGTGAAGTGAGGATGAATTTTCTCCCAAACCCGAAATGAATGTTGACACCAATAATTCGAGCCAAGAAGGAGACTGATAAAGAAGATTGAAGTCATGAAAGAATTTAATACATAGATAAAATAAGTTTTTATATATAAAAAAGAGAAATTTAATGAATAAAAAGGAATGGCCATATGATTTTGTTATTTATATTTAAATAGAATTTTAAGATTTTCAATTTTATTTTTATTATAAGAATTAAAATGTAGTTAAAGTTTATAAATTCATATTGAGTGTAAACCTTACTGAAAAATGTTATAAAAATCAAACCTATCATATTTAAATATGTCAATTAAATCATTAATTTAAATTTAAAGTTCAAGAACCAAACGTATATATAATTAATAGAAATATAAATCATTAAAAACTTATTAATTTTCAATTTCTAAACATTATAAAAACTTCCATTATTTTGTATTATTAAATTATGAGAAGATAAATATAATATTTTCATCATTTTATTTTATTATATTTTTTTACAATCTTAATATCTTAATTAATATTCTCATTTTGAGGGTTAAATTAAATTTAAAATTAAATTTAAAAATAATGGATTTAAATGTAATGTTAAAAAAAGAGAGTATTAGTCCCTAGTTTCTTAATTGCAATTATGATTCTTACTAAATTTAAGTTACAATTTTAGATCCTAATTTTTTTAAAATAAACTTGTTTTGTTATTCGTTAATATATTGTTCAATTTTTAAAGCTCATCGATTTGTCAATGTAACATATATTAAGTTGTTATAATATTTTATTATTAATATTTGATAACATTAGTATTAGATATATTACCTTTTTAACAATTATATATGACATATTAAAAGTAAATAAATATTATATAAATTTAAAGAACTAAATCTGCAAATCAAATCTTAAAAGAATAACAATTATATATTTAGAAAGATACTATAATCTCATTTTAAGTCTAACTTGTTTATAATGATTAAAACTAACTCATTTTCTCTAAAAAGAGTAAAGTTATGTTTGCAGGGTTTAAAAAATATTTAAGAGAAAAATATTTATTTAAATCTATTAAACAATTACAAATCATTGTTAATAAAAGATATAAATATAGATTATAATTTTAATAGTTAAAATATAAATATAAATTATAAATAATTTCATTGACTAGTAGCTAACATAAGAGGGCAAGGCCCAAATGCAATACAAGAAGAAGGCCTGTCAGGCTTTGAAGTTTGTAAACCCTAGTCTTCTTATTTGCGTCTTTTCGTCATTGTTCTTCTTGTTCACTCCCTCTTGAAGGCGCAGCTTCGCAGGGCCTCTCTTTGGTAAGATTAATTTATTGAAAGTGATTCGTTTCGATTGCGTGCTTTTGTTTATTGATTAAGGCTTCTCTTTAGTAGGATTCATTTACTGAAAGTGATTCGTTTCGATTGCGTGCTTTTGTTTATTGATTCTAATTGACATTTGCGTTCAGTGAGCGACTATGGTGAGGGTTAGTGTCTTGAACGATGCTCTCAAGAGCATGTACAATGCTGAGAAAAGGGGGAAGCGCCAAGTCATGATTAGGCCATCCTCTAAAGTTATTATCAAATTTCTTTTGGTGATGCAGAAGCACGGTATCTCTCAATAATATTTTTTTGTTCTGTTTCATCATTGACTTTATGTCTTGAATTATTGATGTGTTCGGTGATTTATCGTGTAGGTTACATTGGAGAGTTTGAGTATGTTGATGACCACAGGGCTGGTAAAATCGTGGTTGAATTGAATGGAAGACTGAACAAGTGTGGGGTTATTAGCCCCCGTTTTGATGTGGGTGTCAAAGAGATAGAACCTTGGACTGCTCGGCTTCTCCCATCGAGACAGGTCAGTTAAAGTGTTTTCTTTTTCTTTCATACCCTTTGTGTGTCCTGTTCAAGTGCATGTTTATATGAACATTTGCATATATTTGAACCCGCACTGTTCCATGATAGATATGTCTATAGTTGAGATTGTACAAATACACCACTTGGGAAAGAGAGTGCACCCCTAATCTTATATTATTTGAAAAGTAAATTGTCCCATTGACTTAGGTTCTTAGATCCATCATACTTTGTTATGTTGAAATGTCACTAATGGTTCCTCTACTTATCCTTTTTTTATTATTATTAATTACGCAGTTCGGGTATATTGTATTGACTACCTCTGCTGGCATAATGGATCATGAAGAGGCTAGGAGAAAGAATGTTGGCGGTAAGGTCCTAGGCTTCTTCTACTAGGTTATTTTCAATTGAGGATTGCAGTGATTTCAATTTTGAGATTAAGCGGTTGTAATGGAGGATATGTTAATCCCTTAGTAATATCAAGCATAGCTGGAGCTGTTTTGTTATGCTCTTTATTTTGGGTTCCAAATCCAACTTGGTAACTATTACTTTTTCTGATTTCTTTTTCATTATTTATCTTATACCAAAATGTACTGGTCAAGTTATTTTAACTGAAAAGAGCTTTGATTAGAAAGTGGGAGCACCGCGATGGTTGAGAAAGTGTGAGAGTTAGAGTTTTATATTTACTTTGAATAGATTGAATTGTGAAATTAGTAGAAAATATTCATGTCAAAAACCAGATCTATGTTATCCTTATTCCAATTCAATATTAAAAGGATTTATTTTTAAGCTATTTTCATTCTTTTGACCTAGGTTCTCTGATTCAATTATTCTACAAACCCCTTTTTTCAAGGTAATTTAATACGGCAAACTAGTTTAAATTAAGAAGCATTTAGATATTAAATATTCACTCCGGGAAGGCCTTTTACTTAGTAAACTATCAATTCGTTTCTCAAAAGTGCCTTTATACAATTATTATAATTGCGCCTTAGCCTAATCGGAGAAGTGATTCCTGGCTTAACAAATTGTATCTTTAAAATAGAAAGTTGGTTTGAGACTTTCGACAAAAACCCATTTTAAGCAGTCTCACAAGAAAACTACCGGTTCTAGTTTCTGCGTCTTTTAACAATTGGATGTTAAGATATAATCGATGAATTACGTTGACAATGTGCCTTAGAACACATCAGAAATTTAAAAGTGATTTGCATCTGACATTTTTGCTCTCAGTGAATTTTTTTATTTCATTCTTTGTTTGTGATTGCCAGCGGGCTCAACTTTCTACACCTTAGAAATATTTTAGATTTTCATTCGTTTTGTCATGCATTATGGAAAAAACCTATTCATTCCTGTTCTTTACATACGTTCATCGTCTCAAGAAATTTCTTGACTTCACAATAAAAAACCCTTGTCAGCCGAATCAGAAGGAAATATGTAATGGTGGGAAAGATTCAATTATCGAGTTTTTTTTGTACGACAGAGAAAATATGCAAAGATGGAAGCATAAAAAGAAAATTTTCTTTTATTTGTTTCACGAGAAAAAAAAAATCCCTGCATTTTACTGAAGTACTCTGACTGTGAGTGATTGACGCTTTCAAAGGCCACGGTGATTTTTTTTTTTTAAATGTCATAAAAGGGGTATATGAAGAAGAGAATATCTTAGTAGTCGTTGTTGGGGATGTCAAGGCATGCCGGGCATCTCTCGGGCCATTGGGCCCATATATAAAATAAACGGGCCTAAGATGGAGACCGCCTAATCAATTTAGAAGAAAAAAAAAAAGAACAAGGCTAAGCCCTGAGCGTCAGCGTCAGACAGCGATATCCGTTTGAAGGTGGTAACGAGATGTTGCGTTTGAGAACACCAGTGTCACACCCGTTTTCTCTGGCGTTCTCGGCCTCCAGACAGCTCCGTAAGGTTCAGGCGCGTCCCTTCAGATCTTCCATCAGGATGGCGTCAGCGAAAACGGTGGAGCACGTTGTCCTGTTCAAGGTGAAGGAGGAGACGGAGGCGTCAAAGGTGAGTGAGATGCTGAATGGACTCGGCTCCCTAGTGTCGATGGACACGGTCCTCCACCTCAGCGTGGGCCCTCTCCTCCGTAACCGATCCTCTTCTTTAACCTTCACACACATGCTCCACAGCCGCTACAAATCCAAGGAGGATCTTCAAGCCTACTCCGCTCACCCTAGCCACATCACCGTCGTCAAGGAAAACGTCCTCCCCATCATCGACGACATCATGGCCGTCGATTGGATCGCCGATGGCCTCGGATCCCTCGTTCCACCGCCGGGCTCGGCTGTTCGTGTCAGCTTCTTGAAATTGAAGGAGGACGCGGCTGGGGACGAGGTTTTGGGTGTCGTCAGAGGAATTCCCGAGAGTTTCAAGCAGATTAGTGAGTTCAGTGTCGGTGAAAATTTCTCGCCAGGGAGAGCCAAGGGTTTCTCAATTGCTTCGCTCGCGGTTTTCCCGGGACCGACTGAGTTGGAGGCCCTGGATTCGAATCAGGAGTTGGTGAATTACCATAAGGATAAGGTTAGGGATCAAATTGAGAGTGTGGTCGTTGTTGATTACGTGGTGCCGCCACCTCCTGCTCAGAATGCGAGCCTTTGATGAGGTTATTGTGTATGGATCTCCTCTGCTCTGTAACTGCAGTTATCTTTATTTGCCAGAATAATGAGTGTTGATGTGATGGTTATTATTCACTCATTCGGTCACATTGTTTTAGGGTTTACACTGTAGTGTACTTATTTGCTTTCTTTCTTTCTTTCTTTTTCTTTTTTGCCCGTGTGGTTTAGCAAGTTTTAGTGGCTGTAACGACACTACTGTTTAGACTATTATCTCAAACAATTTTCTAGCAAATAATGGTGTAAGAATGAGAATAAGAGCAAATTCGCACACAGTAACACAGCCAACCCTGCCTTTGCCTTTTCACAGGCTTCATTTTCTACTCTTCAATATCACCCAAGCATGCTTATCCCTTATGTCTGTCATTCTTTATTCATCAGTCGTATTAACTCTCCGAGTAAAATCCCTATTCACCTTTAAATATTACCGGCTAGTGCAACTTTAAAACACACGCATGTTAAAGCTCATTCACTCCTTCATAAGACGATGCCCAACGTGTCCACACCAAGCATATCTCATTGGGTGGGAGGTACCCATTTCCCTTGAACGTGTGTAATTAGCTCTTAATTGCTGTCATGTCCACACCATAATGTGCGGGCTTTGTTATTTTCTCTTTGTTGCCTACTGGAGACCTGATCATGTCTCCTTGGGGAGCCTTTGTGATAACTTGGTATCATACTTTACAAAAAGATGATTTTTGTTCATCTCTAATATTGGATGTTCTTACTAGTTATATAAAAACGATTATTCCTAGATGCATGCTTTGTATGAATGATATAGTTTTCATTACAAACTAGATGGTTAGAATATGGGGGCAAGTGAGAGCTATTTTACCGAGAGTACTTACGAAGGAGTTTTATTATGTGGTTATATTACTACCTATATTGGTTACCATTGGTTGGGATAACATTAGAAAAGATAAGCAGCAGAAATGAGAATGCAAAGATGAATTAATGGTCATACAAAAATGAGGCAGGACACTGGATAACTGCATATGAGAAGATATTGTTGCGACACCGATTGAAGAGAAGATGGAAAATCGGTTAAGGTGGTTTGGATATGCAATTAAATATGGAAAATTGCAACTTTTTAAAGTTGTAAAAGATGGATAGAGGAAAACTGTAAAAGATACTGAAGAAAATGATTAAAATAACTTTTATAGTAAATGATATTTTTGAGAATTTGTTTCTTGGCAGTAAATGGCTTTTATAGTAAATGATATTTTATAGTAAATGGATAGAGTTTGCAATTTTGTCCTTGTAAAAATTGTATGAGTGTGTTAGTGGATGTAGGCAAGAAGAAGTGTCGAATCACGTTAATTTCTGAATTTATTTCTCTATTTTTGTTTCTATCGTGTATGTGCTTCCGCAGTGAAAATTTCTTTTTCCCTTTGGTACCCAACAATTTGTCTAATTGTTGTTACTTGTTTTTCTCTTATTCCTATTTGGACTTTCATCAATTGTTCATTAAATGTCGATCTATCTTTATGGAATTCATTTCAAGGGTCAAGATCAACTCGTTGCATGTGTGTAGTGATCGGATCTTCTTGAGATTGAGTGCCATGACCCCCCAAAGTTTGGTAACTCCCATGTAATTTATGATTTTGACTCCCTCCCAAATATAATGAACATTTAATATATTTACTAAGTATATTTATAATTTTATCCTTTCAGACTCTTCTTCAGCTTTAGTAACTCTCATATCATTTATGATTTTGTTTCCCTCAAACTTAATGATCATTTAATATATTTAAGTATATATCTACAATTTTATCTTTTCACCCTTTCATATTCTTTCTTCCTTTTATATTTATTTATTATTTATTAATAATATATTATTTGGCTCCCCAAGATCAATGGTCAAGATCCGTCATCGCATGGGTGGTGCAATATTTTGTGTGCTTTGTTTCTTCTTTTGATTCATCCATCCTGGCCTTTAACGAGTAAGGTGTGACCTTAAGGCTTTTGATATAACATATTTATGCTTCCTTGGGATCTGTTCTAGCCTTCACAATTGTTTCATCTTCTACTGAAAATTTTATTGTCATGTGTATTGTGGAAACGACTGCTCCAAGATAATTTAGTATTCATCTTCCTATTAGAACATTGTAAGATGTTTATGCTTTTATGAGTATCTACTGGACCATGCCTTGTTTATTATGCTTAGCCAAACCAAATGTGGTGATTAGGTCCACGTATCCTCCGGTATGTACACGTTCTCCGGTAAAGCCGAGTAGTGGTTCAGGATAAGGTTGAATTACTGTAAGGGGAAGACCGAGCTCGAGGAAGGTCAACCAATATGAGACATTCGTCGAACTCCCTTGGTCTATCAATACTTTTTTTACCTCCCAATTAGTCATCTGTACCGTGACTACAATTGGGTCGTCTAGATTTGGCTCATGAGATTCGAAGTCCTCGACATTGAGGACAACTTTGAGATGTTGTTTTCGGGCGAAAGTTGATGATTTTCCTCCAGTGCAACCCCCTGTAATAGTAATGATGACACCGCAGATGGCGAATGTTGGCCTATTTGTCCTTTCATCCTCAACTTCTTGACACTTAGCATGATTTTATTGATTTTGATGGGATGCTGGCAACGGAATAGCGTCGCGACCACGACCTCATCCCTAAAATCCTCCTCGTCTTCCTCAGCTTTGTCCTCGATGTTGGAAATTCAAGTGTGAGTTAAATCTCACATTGAATAAGAATGAGAAAGTTGAGTAACATATAAGGAAGTATGACCCATAATCTAATGTTTTAAGGTTTTGGGTTGAGAGTGGTGTCAATAATTTACATGGATTGGGTTCATGTCTCATTGATGTTGTTCTTCCCAATAAATCCCCCTCGAAAGACTCAACAAGTAAATCCCCCTCGAAAGACCCAACAAGTAGTATCAGAGTCGAATGTTGATCAGTAGTGGGTTAAAGTGGTCTTTGTATTGAAAGTCTTCTTGACAGAGTAAGTCAAGTAAGCGTGTCCCGTTATTATGAACGACGGTATATAAAAGGACCGCTAATGAGCTCGAAAGGATGTACCAATATGGAAGGACTCACACTTGAATGGGAGATTGTTGGGAATCCAAGTGTGAGTTAAGTCCCACATTAAGTAAGAATGAGAAAGTTGAGCAACATATAAGGAAGTATGACCCATAACCTAATGTCTTAATGTTTTGGGTTAAAAGTGGTGTCAATCCCTTATATGGGTTGAGTTCATGTCTCATTAATGTTGTTCTCCCCATTAAATCCCCCTCAAAAGACCTAACACCCGAAATCCACCGCGTCCACGCCTTGTCCCTTATGTGGTTTGTTACTTATAAATTGTGTGAGCGATCCCACCTTGATGAGTTCTTCAATAAGGTCTTTAACCTTTAAGCATTTTTTCGTGGTGTGCCCATAATTTTGATGAAATCGGCAATACTTGGTCGTATCCGCGTGGACTGGTGTGGGCAGTGGTGGAAGGGCATGTATGAGTTCCAGATTAAACGCTTCTTGAAGGATTGTTTCCCGACTAGTGTTTAAGAGTGTATATCGCTCATATTTGATGGTCCTAGGTTTTTTAAAAGGTTGAGTAGAAGGTGCTCGAGAGTCTATGTTATGCTTTTTCTTGTATTAGACATTGTTATCTTCCATTCGGATATAATTGACTACTCGGGTGCATAACTCATCAAGGGGCTTTGGTGGATAAGCAAAACAATTTCCTATTAAGGGTCCTCATTGTAGGACACACAATATGGCATGTGGAACCACTTTTGGATGGAGGTTTGGTATTGTATTTAAAACTCGTGCAAAATGATCCATAAAACTCTGAAGGAACTCTTTTTCACCTTGTTTCATGCCTTCCAAGGCTACTGATGTGGTTTCGTGTATATTACTAATCGCAAATCTAACTCAGAATCCTTCTACCAATATATAGTACGAATCTATGGAATTATATGATAGGGAATTATACCATCGTAATGTTGTTCCTCTCAATGTGGTGGGAAACACTAGACAAAGGATGACTCCACTATTGGTATACAATTTTACTTTTGCTTTGTATATAGCCAAATGTTTCTTGGGGTCTGTCATCTCGTTGTACTTTCTTATGTCTAAAGATTTCCAATTAGGTGGGAGAAACGTTTGCATGATTCTTGTGACAAATGGATGGTTGGTATCCTCCTCTTAAATTTTGATTCTTTGGGTTTGTGTAGGTTGGGCTCGAGATGGAGCTTGTATGGTAGGTTCTTTCGAAGGCGGGAGCTGAGGTGTGACTTCATTAGTGTGTACGTGTCTTCCTTGCTCCCTTTAATGATTCGCCCCCCTGGAATTTGGAGATCTGCCACTTGGTGTAGGTGGAATATCCGCTCCCTGGATGGAAACTTTAGATTGTTCTTGATCTTGAACTTTCGAGCCTGTTTTATTGGTCAAGGCTAAGAACTGTTCGGTACGTGGTTGATGTGATGTTGCAGTTCCTTCCTTGTTCGTATTCAACCTAGTTGTTTGTGGTCATTGGAATAACATTTTCATTTCTTTACGCAGTGTCTATAACTCGGTTTGATGTTTTTTTTTTTTTATCAACTGTAGTTCGTTGGCCGCCTTTTGTTAAATTGCTTGATGTTTTCTCCGAACTGCCTCCAATTCTTCTGTTGTCTTCTGTTGGATCTGAAGTAGCTTATAATTGTTTTGCTCTTACAAATTCTTTATCTTTTCTTGAGTTCTTTGTTGAGACTCGTCCATGTGCTTCTTAAGATTGTCAATGACAACTGAGGGATTCATGTTACTGGGATTAGACATCGTCTGGCTACAGGTTAAAATCATAGGATGAGAGAGATTGTGGGAGACGTATTATCGTGCCCCATGGTGGACGTCAAATGTTCTTATCGAGTTCAAGATGATCAGTAGTAAGATGTTTGGTGAGCTGAAGATGATCGATAAGACAAGAAGATGAAGTTAGTTGATCAATCTTCGAATCATCTTTGAAAATAATCTCCGAAAAAGCGCAGATGCCCACCTTTTAAAGGTAATCCGATGCTCAAATCAACTTTTAGACAAGAGATTGATGTATATGAGAATGAGTTATGATGTGATGTTTACTCCTAATTAGATTTCTTTATATAGTATTTAAAAGATAATAATAAGTTGAGATATAATAATTAATAACTTATAAAATAATAACTAATATATGATATTATACCAAACTAAAAATAATTAATAACAAAATAAATAAAAATAATATTTTTAATAGATTTTAGTGAGGTACAATAATTTTGGACAGGTAGGTACTGTTTACTATAATTTTATTTTAAATTGTTATTTATTAACAGTTTTTAGGTGATGAGTTATATGTTAAATGATACGGTTATTTGATAAACTATTTTTTGGATAATAAAACTTAATAATGGTTTGGGTGGATTCAATATAATAGGTGTATTTTTTTTATTAGTACATGCTAGAAATGAAAATAAAAACATATTTTTATGAAGAATCAAAATAAGACTTTCTTTCTAAGAATTATAATTTAAATCATATTTTATTGACGATTAAAAATTTATTTAAGCCTAGTTCATAAACATATATCTTTTTTTAAATAAAAAAATATTTGCCATTTTTTTTCGTGGCAGTAGTATCATTTTTATTTTGTGAATTTGTCTGCACCTTGCATGTCACAACACGAGGTTTCGCCTGACTCGGTAAAGTCTTGTAAAAAAAATGAAAGAAAAGAGTATTTGAATTAATTATTTACACAGGATAAATAGTGTTCAAAAAACGAAAAATATATTTTGAAGCATGACTTAATTATTTTTTTTAGAAAATTAGGAGAAATTATGATTATTTGAGAAAAAAATATTTTTTTATCTTTTTCAATTTAGTTTTTTTTTTCTTTTGATTTTGTCATTAATTTGCTTAACATTAAAAACTTTTCATACCATAGCCACTTATTAATTATTTTCTTCTTTTTTTATTCAAACGTTCTTTCTTCTTACTTGTTGAATATTGATTAGAGTGATTGGAAACTTTAAGCGTGTTTGTGTTGACTTAATCACTTATTTGAAAAATGACTAAATACGTAAGTCCTTTCTAACATTAACTGAAGTTAAGGTTTTTCGCCCTTTCATCTCATACAACTGTAATCATGTTTATTATCATCTAAAACTTTAACTTTTTATTATAATTAAAATTTGTTTGTAATTTTTATTATTGAAGAGTTATCTTTAACGTTAGATTTTATAAATATATAATTTCGTTTATTTCTGCAAATAATTTTGTGTTTTTAATGATATGAATGTTATTTATTTATCGAGTTTATTGATGTGACGTGTGATAGCATCATAAATGTTGGGATTAATGGAAACAATTAACTACGTACATAAAAAATAAAAAATATCAGAGACAAATAAAAAAAATCATCCTAATTAACATAAAAGAAGTGAATTAATTATAATTTTTTTATATAACTTGCACAGAAGAAGTAATTAACACAAATGCAGATTTTACTCTTTATTTACACGTATAGATGAATCGATGTACTGTGATGGAAAATATTGAACAATAATTATGGAAATAGTACTTTCAGCTCTCAACAACATGCATCTACCAACGATAATTCCCCAACACTTTCATAATTTCCATTTTCAACCTCAATTCTCTTCTTCCCCTTCTTTTTCATCGTCAATATTCACATCAACTGTTTGTTTTTTATCCCCCACAAGCTTCACTTATTGCAAGAGTGTTCCTTGGAGAATGTATATATGTACTGCAAAAACAGGGGCATAGGCCCCATCTAGGCCTGTTGTATATACTTCCGTTTCAGCCAATAATTGCAGTGGCTATGTTTTTTTAATTTGTTTGTTTTTTTTTGAAACGTTGCTAACGTTGGAATGGACTGAACGTCTTGGAAAATATATCGTGGTCCTTCGATTTATTTATCTCTGCATGATTTCGTTCTTACTTGTGTTTCTTCTTCTTCTTCTTATGTATCTTCTCTTCCTCCTTCTTCTCTTGCCACTTTTTTAGTTGAAGAAGAATGTATTATTTGTGCTTGTACCACCAATAAGGCTTTGATGCTCATTTTGATTTGTCATTTAAAAAGATTAGAATCATTTCTTGGCATATACAAGGTCACGAGTCTGCAGAATAATCGTTATAATAATATATTACGTACACAGTTAGATTTCAAGAATATAAACTTGCTTTTAAATCCTAAAATAAGCAATTATATTGGTAATCTATACCAATGAGGTAATAAGAATTCCATTAAAAGGAAAAAAAATGAAAGAATTAATAGTAAGTTTGAGCAGAATTGCTTGGAAACGGTACCATCTAACGTTCAATCTCAAATTCATAATGAATGGCAGTTGAAATAGAATAAGGAATGAAGGATGGAGAAGCTGCACAACACAGTGAGAGAGACCCTCATAAATATTCTCTTGCTGTCACATTAAATGACGCTTTTTATTTATATGCACGTTTTGTATTCGCCATTATCTTTTTTATTTTTTTCCACCAGGTTTTACCCTCCTCCTGTGACAATATAATGCTATTTTTGTCCATATACATATATACTTGACCTGTCCACTTCCTCCAAACGCGCAATGAAAGCGCCATTGATGGAGGAAGATTCCATAATTGTTGAAAAGATAGTGGTCAGGCACATTACAAAACTTGCAGAATGGAAAACAACAGAATTGCAGTAACAAAATAGAATCTAGTAATCCCCTCGATGGATGAAAACATTCCACCCTAGTAGTCAACAGTTTGTAATGGAGAAGGGACTATTTGCTCGAAGAGTATGGACAAATCCTTGTTATCAAGTTGATGAGGGAGAAGCTCCGAAGTCATTACCGGAAATTTACTGGTTTTCTGAGTTGAGATTGACTCGTGTGATATCCTAAATGGATCATAAGGTGGTGGTGGTGGTGGTGGACATGGTTTATTATTGTAAAATTCATCACAAATAGCTCTTGTTAGGGTACTAGTCATGCTATTTCAACCTTTTTTCATATCAATATCTGTCAAAAATGTATTCATATGAAACTAACATTAATTGTATATGTTAAATAGATGTTGATGTGCTAAAATCCATCCAACGGTTCATGTAACTACAGCAGAGAGGCTTGAGAGGAGTTTCGAGGGAGAGGATCCAATCTTCAATGTTGATGTACTGGTTTTCTGAGTTGAGATGGACATGGTTGAAAATTCTAGAATTCATGAAAATAATATAAAATATACACAAGTCTCCATTTTGAGGTGCTCCTGCAGACAATGTAACATGCTAAATTCATAAGTCGGAGAAGCATTTGTGTACTAGGATTGACCCAGAGCCTTTGGAGCTTTTGTCGTTGGGTACAATGGCTGACAACCTCCTGGTCCCCAACACAATAAACCCTAAGATATTTCTTAAAAAATATATATATATATTTATAAGGTGATTGTGTTGGTTGACAATGTAATTTCATCACTGTGAATAAAAGTTAATTTACTTTTGACTGGCACTGGTTGAAAAAGCTCTCACATGGAAAACAGTGGAAGAAGTGGTGAAAGGAACAAAACGGAATATAGCGTGACGTGGTATGGAAAAAGGAAGAAAACGTGATGAAAAACAAATGTGAGAAGGACATGAATGGCTGAAAGCAGTTCTGTGCAATGACCAAACTGGTCTCACAGATTCCTGGAGCTGGCTGCTGCAACAAACTTTCCAACACCAGAAAGTCAGTTTGAGTAGACCTAATTAGGTAACAACAAAATCATCCAATCAATCTCCTTTTCTTTTAATCATGTAGATTAATTAGTAGCATACACCCACTTTGTGACGTCCTTAAAAAGTACACAGAATCTCCGCTACAAAGTTAATTATAATCGTATATTTCTCATCCATGCATCCACACATATATAGTCTGCATGTTACTTGGAATTTCATCAACTCACCATCACACTCATAACAACACGCTTTTACTATTGAAGGTCTTGACAGTACCAGAAAAGAAAAACCCTAATATGCTACTACGCACCACGAAAAGTCTTGGACAATTTTCGCTCCATTGGAATACTTTTTATTTAGCTGTTTCTCAAGTACTTTTAATCTTTTTATTAGTTATAAAAAGTTGTCTAATCTTATTAACAATATTCAGTCTCAGATATAGTATTTTTAAAACATGAGGTAGCCATGGTGTATACTCACTCATACCAAGTGGTGGCTTCGTCCCTTATTATAGTTTCTTTATTTTACATTAATGTTTTAAATTGCTTTAGTAAAAAAATATATATATATATATTAGTATTCTTAATTTATGTATAAAACCCTTAAACCAGATATAATTTGCGACGAGTGTATAGTATATTATTATTATATCATGAGTTTCCGAAAAGAGTATTAGTCTCTGGACGTTTTAAAAACACGTAATTAATGGTTTTGAGGAATCATTGGCTCCAAAATTCAAAGATTGTTCCGTTCTGTGAGGACAAATGAGCCCACATGCAACTTGAATGACGTATGATCTTTTGTCACTTATTTATTGCAAGAGTTACAATCATACAAAGTGTGGACCACACCAGACAGATTACAATAAAATTATTGCTATATAAGTAATTCACATGCCAAACACTCCATAGCTAGCAGACTAAGCACCGAACACAAGGAGAGAGATATGGGGAGAAGCCCTTGTTGTTCAAAGGAGGGTTTGAATAGAGGTGCTTGGACAGCTCATGAAGACAAAATCCTCAGAGAATACATTAGGGTCCATGGTGAAGGAAGATGGAGAAACCTTCCCAAAAGAGCAGGTTCCTTCTTCAATTAAATTCATTACAAGATAATAATAAATCTCATTTGTTGGGTTTTCCCCATGCTAGTCTCATTTTTAATCACTAAATGCATATGGGTGGCCATGCACGCAGGTTTGAAAAGATGCGGGAAAAGTTGCAGACTTCGATGGTTGAATTATCTCAGACCTGATATTAAGAGAGGCAATATATCCTCTGACGAAGAAGAGCTCATTATCAGACTCCACAAGCTCCTGGGAAACAGGTCTCAACATTTCCCTATCTTAATTTCTTAGTTTCATTCCCTTATAATTAGATAAATGTTTGGTACGTGTTTATGAAAATAATGAGATGTTTGTACATATAGATGCTTCATTTTTTTGTCTATGGAGCATGAAAAGGATTGAGGAGAAAGGTGTTGGATATAAATAGTAAGATGATAATTGAATGAATGTGTCACTTTCTGTATAGATGGTCTTTAATAGCGGGGAGGCTTCCAGGACGAACAGACAATGAAATAAAGAATTATTGGAACACCAATTTAGGTAAAAAGGTGAAAGATGGCCACAAAACCACAAGCTATGCAAACAGCACACAGCAGAATCCAATGTCCCACTTGCCCAAACAACACACAGAATCTCTTCCTAAGCTAGATTCCCACCTGGTCCGCACAAAAGCCACCAAGTGCACCAAGCTGTTTTTTCCCCACCCATCAATGCTGCAATTGCCCAACAAGTCCAAGGCTGATGCAGAAGCAGATGAAGAAAAAGCAGAAGAAGATGAAGGAGAAGAAGAAGAAGAAGAAGAAGAAGAGGAAGAAGAAGAAGAAGAAGAAGAAGACGGAAAAGAAAAAGAAAAAGAAGGCAGAGTTGTGGACGGCGTTCCAAGTGAGCAAATGGAACCCACTAGAAACGACAACGGGTTCCTGTCTTTACACGATGAAGGAAAAGAAGTCCCAACGGACATGCTGATAGATTTCAACGTGGGGGATATCTGCTTGTCTGATCTTCTGAACTCGGATTTCTCCAACACTTACAACTTCAGCTGCACTACTAGCATTGCTTGTTCGGACCAACCTGACCCCGTCTTCTCCGATGAAGCTCTCAGGGACTGGATGCAAACCAATTTAGCAGACGAAACGAATGCATCCAACAACCTTCATTCTTTGTTTTTCCTCGACACAACCGACCATAGACTTGAACAATCATAATAATAGTGGTCCATTTGTGGTAATATATATGCATTCCCCAATAAAATTCACCACTTAGGTCTTTTGTTTTCTTACATCCCAGGTTAGTGTCTGTGAGGAATAAGAGGGAGTTTTCTTTATCTGCCGTACAGGATGTATTCATATATATTCGATTTTCAAAGCTAAATAGCTGCCAAAATAAATAAACCCCAATCTTCTCCTGCACTAATTTATATTTTCTCACAAAATATCCTGTCAATAAGTTTTAAAGTATATGAATGATTCTTATTTTATAAAAATATTTTTATCCTTTTTTTATTGATTAATATCATACAGAATTTTAAATAACTTTTGTCAGCATACCAATTCTCCTTCCTGATGACGGTGCTAATATAAGTGTGAAAAAGAAAAAAAATAAAGGAAAAATAATGAAATAAAGTAAAAAATTATTTTTATTTTTTTAAGAGGGACTGATATGATAATAAAAAAATTTATTTATTTTAAAATATAATAAATAATTAAATAAAATTTAAATACTTATTTAATTATTTACTTATACAATTATTAATTAATTTTTTATTAATAAACTAGTTATTTTTTTAATAATATATAATTTAATGTATAATTATAAAATATTTTTATTATAATTGTTTTTCTAAAATTGTTTAAATTTAAAATAATATCATATTATAAACAAATAAAAATATATCAAATTATTTATTTAATTTTTATAATTATGATATTTTATTAAAATAGTAATTAATATATATATATTAAAATTATAAATACAAAAATAAATAAATAATTATTTATTTAAATAAAATAATTTTATAAAATAATATTTTATTAGTATTTTTCACCTTTTTTTTTTTTTATTAAAAACATTATTATTTTCGACCATAAGCTTCCCGACATAAAGAGCCTAATTCTCAAAGATTTATTTAACATAGCAACATGTATCATTATTAAAAAGTTCATTTTAATACACATTATCAATTAATTAGAAAAACTATATATCAAATCAATAATAATCTTGTGACATGTTACACCAGTCATGATTACGTAGTAGTTGTAATAAAATTACATTATAGATGTTTTTTATATTGTATTTGATTAAACAGTATTTTTTTTATACGTATTTCATTTTAAGAAAAATACAGTTTAACCACATAAATAGCTTACTTTTATTTAAACTCTATTAAAAATAAGTACCCCATATTAATTTATTTTACTAACATACTTTTTCTGTTCTATATTGAAATGAAACAATTATAATTTTTTTTGTAGGAGAGATTAATAAAACCCCTTAATCAACAGCATAAAAAAACGTGGATTTAAAATAAATATCAAGGAAAATATGTTTTATTGAAATAATTTATTTTCAATCAACTATACATAATAAAAATGTCAATAAATTTTAAGACTCGAGGAACTAAAAGAGTGAAATTGACATGAAAATTTTAATATTTATTTGCAATATAATTTAAATGTTTATAATTTTTAAATATTACTATTACACTTAAAAAGAAATATTTTGTTTATTATTGTTCTGTGGAAACCTTTAACAGTTATCATGTTAAATTGTTAAGACTGTTAATTTTAAAATGACACAAATTTAAGACCAAACTGAATTTAAAAAAGAAAGAATAATTTTTCAAAATAAAAGTTAAAATCAAATTTAATATGTAAAAATGAATTAATAATGCAATTTAACTTTTGCTAAAAGTTTAAAAGAAGCAAAATAATTAATTATTTAATTCAATTTTTGAAATTTGATCTATTTTTAAAAAAATTATGAACCCATCATTTTTACCTTTCATTTCCTTACTCCATTATTGTGTCACAAAACTCTAAGCTTCTCTTTTGTCCCAATCTATCTGAAACCATAACGAATCATTTTCTGTTTCCATTTCAAGCCTCTCGTCTTTATTTTTCTTTCGTCACCCAACCATTTTTCTGATCACTTTCCTCCGTCATGTCCCCCTAACCAAACTTCAAACCTCACAAGATTTTTCAGTCAGTTTCCTTCTCTTAAAACATTAATAAATCATTTTTCTACCCACCTTTCTCTGCTCTGTCTCTTTTTCTGCCGTTACTCTCTATTTTTCTAAACCTAATTCCATTGATTCTGGTCACTCACTTTTGTTCTACTTTCATTCTTTATCTCAACATTAAGACCTTTTTATTTTTGGCCTGACGCAGTTAGTCAAATGATTGAGCCCTTCGAATTATGTATTTTATATATGAAATCATAATTGTTTATATTACAGACCAAAATGTCAGGAACTAAACCAAATTTAAGCTTCGTACGTAAGACCGGACAAGAACAATAATTGTGCTTAGCCTATGAGACTAGGCTGTTTGGCTAAGACTCCATAGATCTCTCACCAAACACAAGCATCTAACCATGCATCAACAATAGACAACATTCTCCAGCAAACACTCCCATCGGACACTCGTCACTGGAATTTTCTTGTGTTTGACGAAATAATTGGCGAATCTGTCCTTGTTTTATGGAAGTCGTACAATTTTCACATTGTTGTCCCAACAACCCTTTCACTTGGCCCAAAACTTCAGGGAATTCCTGCAATACAACCAACTTGTTTTATGAATTCTGCACACCTCACTTCATCATTAAACAAAGATGTAAAGTGCTTGAGATTATTACATAATTCATTATGCTTGCATCAAATGATATTTACCAATAACTTTTTTGTCGTGTTGCATGGACCAACGTTCTTTAACATTATGCAGCATATTGAAAACTGTCATGAGATAAAAAGAACAGAAGCTAGGTCATTGACCTGTCTTCCAGGTTTTACCTTAAATATTAGTTTTGCTTTTCCACAATTGCAATCATGCATGTACATTTTCCAATTTGTGTTTATCATATATCAACACCATCTTCTAGAGCTAATAGGGAACCCTACAAATATATATATCAACCTATCATCCCCCAAATAGATAGATTTATTGTTATGTATAATACTTTTGTGCAGTGATACAAGTTAATGGAAAATGCATATTAATTATTGAGTTAAAACAATTCTTTTGCAGTAGATTTACCTGCTAGTGCCAATTATCACTTTCTGAATTTGAACATGAGAATGAAAATATAATTTAGTTATTTTTGTTGAACTTCATTTTCGCTGATCCCTTCTTCATGTCTTACCTTAACTGATTCAGTCCAAATCATTTCACCAAATGCATTAAACCAGACAAACAACACTCTCCCTCTTTTCCTCATTTTTAGCTTAAAGAGTATATATAGGTTCTGAAGTACTATGTGCCCTCCCTGCTTTTCCCTCACAAAGAAATGTAGTAGATACATTGCGTTTGTGGGGAAAAACATGTTTTCCATTTCATGGTAGATGATTGTTGAAAAACTCTGCAAAATAAGCATTGGACCACTTTCATCGAATCATCATCTCTTCACATATCTATTCTTTCAACTCACTTGTTTGCAATTAGGCAAAAAAAAAAAAAAGTCATTTCAAAACTATTTTTAATCAAAAAGAACAGCTGTTAAAGTGGATATCTTGTTTGAACAATGTATATCTTACTATTAATGAATATCAGAGGTGGTAAAATTGAGTTTTAACCTTTGAGCGAATTCAACCAAAAATAGTTTAACAATTGGACTAATTTAACATTATTTTTATGTAAATGTCCTTAACCTTTTAACTACAAGAAAAATTAAAATAAACTAAAATGACCGACGGCGGTAAGTAGATATTTTATTATTTGTTAAAAAAATTTAATTATTATTCGGTCAATAGATATTTTATTATTTGTTAAAAAAATTAATTATCATTCAATTAAAAGCATTGTGAACAACAAGATTCGAACTTAATATTTTAGAATTGGAGGCTGATACTCCAAATAAGTTACTAGAATTTTTTAATAATAATTTACAAATAAATTATATTTATATATAAATAAATGTATATTCATATAAATATATAAATACAAATATATTTATATATCTATATATTTATATATTTTGATATATTTATACGTTGAATATGAGGGTGCACTCGAAGGTGAAATTGTATGTTAAGTGAGTTTTTAAAATTTTGATGTCAAATTTGTGAGGGGATATCTTTATATGAGTTTGTAATTTAATGATAGAATATAATCTTTATAATTTATTTATATAATGATATAAAATAATTTTTTTTACTTTATTTTAATTTATTCTTCTATTATTTAATTAAAATTTTTATATTAAAATAATTTTTTTAATATTAAAAATACTTAAATATTTATTTTTGAAATTATTTAATTTAACAAATTATTATAAATTAATCTAATTACGATTAAATTAAATTATTAAATAAAAAAATATTTAATTTTTTAATTAGGTAAATAATTAATTTATTAAAATATATTTAAAATTAAATAATTATTATATAATTTTCAATATTTAATTTTTTTAATTTAATGTTAATTTTTAAAAATATACTTTAAATATGTCAGTAATATCCGTTGGTAACTAATTGTTAATTTATCAATGGATATATCCTTTGATAACTAATTGTTTATTAATTTACCGACGGATATATCCGTTGGTAAATAATTATTTATTTACTAACGGACTTATCAACAGATAACAAAATTCCACAATTACTTTAAATCACTGTTATTAGTTTCCGTTGGTAATCAATCATTTTTCGATGGTTGCATATCCATCCGTAAATATTTGTTGATAATTAATTATTTTCTTGTAGTTTTTTTTTGCTTGTTTTTTAAGTTTACTTTGTTATATATTTTTATGTTTTTAATTACTATATTTTCATGTATATTTTTCAATTACCAATTCGTGAGCTATTTTGTGAACCAAACCACTTAATTTGATTTTTTTTAACCGTTATAGATTGTAATGGACATTTAATTATAATTTAATCAGCATATCATTAGTTATACATTAATTAATGTATTATCTTGTTTTCAAATTTTGAGTTCTCACTTTATCTTTTAAAATATTATTTTTAATTTTTTTAATTTCAGTAAATATTTTCATTTCGTCTATTTCGTACTAACGTTATGTTTTACATTTTATGACAGTGACGTTACCAAACACGTTATTAGGTAGAAGTTTGTAACTGTCCGTGAATTAAGGGATAAAAATGACTTTTAACAATAGTATAAATAATTAAAAAGTATATTTTATTAGTTCAATTTTTAAAATAGTGTTTTTTATTATTATTCTTTAACGACTGGAACTAGGATATAGGAGACATGAGAAAGTGAAATAGTTTTTATTTTGTTTTTATTTTTATTGTTATTATTCTCTTTCTTCAATCTCAAAGATAAATAAAAAATTATAAATTAATAAATTTTCCATTTTCTAGGAATAGTTTTCTTTTATATTATTTTTATTTTATTTTTTTACAATTTTTTTCTTTTTACCAAACATTATATTTGGAGATGGACTCTTGGATCACTAAAATCACACTTTACAGTTTGCTTGAGTGAGGGTTGAGTTGAGTGTGTTTTTTTAGCATATTTGTTTTGACAATATGTTTATCAAAATTTAAATTTAGTTAAACAATTAAAATTATTTTATTAAAATTAAATTATTAATATTTAGCTAAAATAAAATTATAATTAATACTTTTTATCTATTTAGAATAAAAGTTTGTTTGGAATGACACGTAGACATTTTCTTTTTCATTTATCTCTTTTTTCTAATTAACTAAAAAATCGTCTTATTTTTTATTCTCTTTTTGATTTTTTTTTAACCACACATATATATAAAGGAACGTTTTATTTAAGAAAGAAAAAAATTATATTTTAGCTTTTAATTAAAGTGTAATCTTATTTTACTTTACTTTTATTTTTTAAACGTGTAAAATCAGTGTAATATTTTTCATTAATTCCAGATTCTATTTTATTGTTTTATATAAATTAAAATAAATTTAGAATGTGACTTGTAAAAACAGTTTATTTGAATAAAAGTAAAAACAGTTTAAAAATTATTAAAAAAAAATTTAACTACTCAAAATTTTGATAAAACTATCATCTCATTAAATTTATTTTTTTTTTGTCTTTTCTCTTGGTTTCTCATTTATTTTTTTTATATCCAAGCAGAGTCAAATAAATCAATTCTATAGATTTCTAATAAAGGTAAAAAAAAAAATTGTCCATTTTTATAGCATTTATATGTAAATTTGAAGAATTTGCATTTGAGACCTAGTGCATCTATGGGGATTTTCAAACAAAAGATGAATCTTGATTAGTATAGAAATATTATAATATGTGTCAAATTATTTATTAAATTTTTTTATGAATAGAATTTGACTTCCTATAAAATTTTGAGTACCTGAAATTTTTTATTGAGAAGTTAGAAGATAAAGAAAACTAAATTTATAATATAGTATCCTAAGTTCAAAGATTTGAATGTATTAAATTGATTTGATCACAAATATTTAAAATAGATGTTTTAAATTAGTTGAAAAAACAATTTTTGTTGACTTTTACATTTTACATAATTGTTTTTTACAAAATTGTCACTAGAGGACTAATTACTCGTTAACTTAAATTTATTGTAACTTAAATTTATTGTAATGAGAATCATAAATCCTAAACGCTAAACCTTAAACGAAAAATACTCATGGTTGAACAAATTTGACATGGGTTTAATTTACTAAGTAAACATATTTATGAGTATTCTTTAATTTTCAAGTAACATGTTTTTAAATGATTCTTAATACTAAAATTGTTTATATTTAAGGAAACTATTATATTTTATCAAATTAATTATTATATTTGAATATTTATTATTGTTTGATGAAAGATGAACTAAAATTTTTAGTATTTATGTTTGTGTAGAAATGTAAGTTTTAAATGATAAGTTATAATTTATGAAATGATGAGTCATGATAAAATATATATGACATGATTTTGAGCAATTGTGAAAGTGTTTATAATATAAAAACTATCCAAACATATTTTCATATGTATTGTGTAGCTTGTACAGATATTGAATTAGAAAATTTCCACTCTGTTGACTTTAAATCATATTTAAAGTTGAATAAGATTTTTATAACTTTAATATCAATATGATAAGATTTATCCAAAAAATGTATATATCATTGTGTGTACTTAATGTTAAGTACTTGAGGAAGTTGCGGTAACACAAATATATATTTTTAAGTATAATTTAATGTTACGATTAATTTTTCAAAATTTGTTTAAAGTTCATGTGACATTATAATGAACTTATTTGAACGTAACATGATGTATTATGTTTATGTGATGCATCAAATCAGAAATAAATTTATACAGTGTTAATATACGTGCAAATATATTTTCTTATAACAAATCTAAATTTAATATATTTATTTTAAATTATTAACTTATCTAATATGATTTATTTATTATTTTTAAATTGTGATTATGATGTATTTATTAAAAACAAACTATGTAAGTGTAAGATACCAAGAATAGGACTAAAGTTGATAGGATTTTAACTTTTTATTTATATTTATGTATATATTTTATGAGAAGGAAATTTATACTTTAAAATATTTTATATAATAAAATTTTATAAATATTTATTATACGAATAACTTTAGAGCTATCACATTTTATATTAAAATTAAAATAAAAAAAATATGTCTTTTAAATTACATAAAAAAAATACTTCAATCTCTCGAAATGGAAAAAGAAAACTATTTAGGAAGATTAAGTATTTTTACAACAAAATATTTATAAATACGAAAGAGTTAAAGAAATATTTAATTTATTATATTTTTAATAACATGTTTTTTATATTATCATTAAATTTTAATTGTTTTTTTATTTTATATTTATTTTTCACTTTAATATTATCACAAATATATTCCGCACATTTTCATCAATAAAAAAATTTAAAAGAAGTCAAAAACTAGTTAACCATTAAGTTATTTTCTGTTTTTTTTTTTTCGTTTTTTTTTTGCCATTATAATATGAAAGTTATATTGTGTGCTATTAAGTATAATATTTTATTTTATTTTTAATTTAATTACTATTAATAGTAATTTATCTATGATTATATATAATGGGATTTTATTTTATAATAATTCTATTAGTGTGAGAGAGAAAAATAGTATCATAGAGAAACAATTTATATATTTAAAAATAATAAAAATATGAGAGAGAAAAATATGATATGTAATTAGTAGAGAAAAAGAAATCAATATATTTAAAGAGTGAAGGGAGAAAATAAACTAATATTTAAAAAAAATCAATCATAAAAATATGAATAATATTCAAAGAATAAAGAAATTTTAGAAAAATATTTTCACTGTTGATGATAATGAAATAAAGAATAAAACATTCCAATACTATGCAGTCAACATAAATATTGATTTCGCAATAAAAGAGTTTTTCAATCTCTATAATAAATTATTCATTTTCTTATATATTAAATATTAAATTTTGTAATCACAAAAAATAAAATATCAAACTATTACTTTATATATTTAATATATACTTTTTTTTTTAAATAACTCCTTCTTTACACTTCCATCAGGCTAATAAGAGAGGACCCGCATCGGGTTGACTTGACTTTAAACTTTTTGTAATTTAAAATTTGATATATATATATATATATATATATATATATATATATATATATATATATATAAAATATGACATTTTAAATTAAATAATAATATCTTATAATAAAATTTTAATGTATACATAATATATATTAATATTAAAAATAAATTTAAATTAAATATAATATTTTATTGAGATGTTATATTTATTATTATTATTTATATATTTTTTAAATATATTTTAGTATTTTGAAGAATTTTATATTATTTAAGAATCGAGTATAATTTTTTATTTAAAATTATAATAAACAAAAACTTTAAAATAAATAATATTTTGAATGAGAGAATTGATATTAAATATTAAATTAATTTATTAAAAAATAATCCTAATAATATTATTATTACGACTGTTCTTAAACATGATCGTGAGATGGAATAAACTCTGTTTCTAATATCTTTTATATTAGTTGGATTTTTTTTCTATTATATTAAAATATGGGAATTTCTAGAAAAATAATATTTTTTTAATTATATATTTTCTAAAATTAGCTTTGAATAAATAACAATCTATTTAAAATCTGTGTGATTGCTCTTGGTAGTGTGCATTAAGCAACTTGGCGTCTTACGGTTTTCTGAAACAAATTTCAATTTTGAATTCTTAATGAGTAGTTTAGAACACGTGCTTGGATTAGGCTCAAATAGATGATGATGATGAGCTACGACGTTGACATAACATTTTTGTCCTTGTGTGGCACGTGCGGACAATAAAAGATATTAAGATTCTCAAATCTATGTGCTTCGCCCCACTCGACGGTGACACTCAAAACACACGATTTTATTTATGGGAACAATATTGATTTTGTTAGATTAATTTTCGTACTAAACCTCCATCTTAGATTAAATATTTTAAAATTATTATAATTAACCAACCTTCACCATTTTTAAGTTTTTTTTTTTTAAGTTTCTTATGAAATTGTTGAATAGTTATAATCCAAGTTCTCAAATTGAAATACTCTTTTATTGTTGAAGTAGAAATATTATATTTTTTTAAATGGAAAATATATTATTTTTCATTAAATTATTTAACGTGATATTGTCATTTGTATTAGTGATATCGAATTGAGTCTCTTTAACTAAACCTCCATATTTAAACTTCGTATATATATAAAAATGTAATTGGAAAGGAAAAATAGCACTAAAAATGGTCATTAAAGTAAATATAAATAAAATGTGTTAATTAATAAAATTTATTGTAAAAATACAACTTATTCTTTCATTTTCAGAAATAGTAATAATATGAATGTAGTTAAAGCCAAACAAATGTATTTTATTAATTTCTGTGATAGAAAATAAACCTATTTAAATATTTCTAGAAAAAAAGAGAGTAAAATCAATATAATTTATCTTGTAAACTTTTCGATCTTTATTTCTCTTTACTTTTTATTTGATATTATGATATATTTTTTTAATGTTAAAGTAATATGAGAAGTAATTTGTTTAATAACTTATATAATATAAGAGTATAAAATAAATAAGGTTTGTGTAGAATAAAAAAATTTATAATTCGATTTGACCCATAGATTAGTGAGTTAAGTGAGTTGATTGCAAAATATATTTTTTTTATAAATTATTAAAATAGGTGAGTTAGATAGATTAATTTACTAAAATATTTTTTTATAAGTTTACACTAATCTATAAATAAATTGAAAATTAAGAAAAATAAATAAATTAAAAATAAAAAAAATTAAAATTTTCAACCTAAGTAACTGCTAAGGCGGCTAGTTCACGGTTATAAGAATCCTACTATAACTTATACATTCAAATAACTTTTCCTTAATTATCGATATTGAAATCACGTCTCCCAAATATTGACTTCAACTCCTTTTTGAGATTTTCCATATCAATCAATATTGTCCGCATTTGGAAATTCTTAATGAAATCCAATCGGATTCATCAATTAACAATTGTTTTCATGGATGAATACCCGATCCGTACATAAAGTAATAATTTAAAAAAAAATCAACTCTATTGTTAAAATATTTTATAAAAAATAACTAAAAGATTTAACTATAAAAAACTGGTTGGATTAATTTTTAATCGATGGAAGAATCTATTGACGTTTAAGAGATAATGGGTGGATCACATTGGTCATCCATAAAGTTCAATAGATGGATTTGATGTGCTCTGTTTAGATATATTTTTACAATGGATGGGTTTACTTGGAATGACACAGAACCTACTAACTCCAACAAATGCTTATGGAAAAACTTACAAAGAACAAAATTACAATATATATGGAAGTAACTTTATTTGAAATATAAAATATGAAACAAATTTTTCAATACGTAATAATTATAATTCATATTTTGTCATATAATTAAATAAAAGTTATGCTTTAAATAACAATTTACTGATTTAAAAATGAATTTAATTGTATGAATAAAATAACTTGATGTGATCTACAAAAGTAATATTAAAAATGAGGTTTTCGAATTGGAAAAAAAAATTGAGACCAAATTTTTCAGTCATCTCATATACAATAATACAACCTTAAAATATTAAATTTTTAGTTGATTGATGAGAAAAAATGAAATAAATAATTATATAAAAATCTTAAAATAATTATTGAATGAATATTTAGAAAAAAAATGAGTTTTCAATATATCATAAACCCTTTGAATCTGAACTTTGATGCTAACGTTATTTCGTTGAAGCCCATGTCTTCATCCTGAACCAACAGACTTTAAGAACTCAACCACTAAATAGACTTCAATATCTAATAGCAAGGAGATTGTCTTATCTGAAAAGCGTTAACCACATGCCTTTCAAACAACAAAATTGGATGCCTTATTGAACAGAAAATAGACACTAATGGTGGAAGAGGAGCAAGAAAAGGAAACCATCAACAGTAAACTAGCTAAAAAATTATTCAATCAAGTTATTTCTAATGGAATAATTGTGCAAGCTACAAAAATTGAGAAGTTCTGACAATCTGAAGACACAAACAGCATTAAGCATAAGAAATTAAAAAAGAAATCATTTAGACTTATTTATATTTTCCCTTCCAGCGATCAATTTTGTGGTTCATCTTTGCTCCCGTTTCAAGATAGAAAACTTCATACTTATTTTTCTTATTTCCTCTCATTTAATTGTTTATAACATAATTTTAACAAATTCATAAATTTAATGTAAATGTAAAATGCCCTTTTGGGTAAATATAAAACCTATCCCAAAACAAAATGTGCATTGAATTTATCACAAATCAGGAAAATTGTCTAGTACGGCATCTATATCCGGGGTTACAGTAACATGTTTGCTGATTTCCCCTATTGTGCAACAAGTTTTTTCAGCCTTATTGATAGCAACCACGTCTTGGGAGAAGGTACAATTCATACCCGACGAAACCTGCAACACATTTAAAATCAGGGGAAGTAGACAAGTTTAGCTTATAGAGAAAGCAACATTTCAATTATTAACCGTGCATTTACTCATTTAGCATCAAGAAGGGTGAGTTGGTTCTCACATTACAACATTCTTGCAGTAGTAAGAATTTTGAATATTTTCAAATTTTATTTTCTTCATAATACATTGGTATTAAGTATTTAAAATGATAACACTAGTATCTATATCTTGCAATTTATCTCCAGAATGCAAAATACTTACATCATAAAGGGTATTGCCTAGCTTCAGCTTGATTTTACCACTTTTGTATACTAGCATTTTACCCATGTAGCCAGATGGCAAGTCTTTCAACTCACACAGCTTCTCCACTTTTTTTGAACCCCCGGGAGGCTTAGACTTTCCTTTAACATCTTTTCCTCCGTCTGACTGTATAATCATAGGCAATTTTGGAGGCAATTTAATCAAGAACATATCTGCCTCTAGGTTTTCCTCCTACCAACAATTTGTTCAAAGCATTACTATAATGATTAAAAGAAGCTGAATTGATAAATTTTATTTCTTAAACTTCAGTTTACCTACCAAAAGGCCTAGTTCCATTGCTGAATTTGAAGCATCTTCATCGTAACTCCTGGACTCTGCAGCCTGCCCAAATTCTTCCTCATCAAGAAGAGCTATCAGAAAAAACATGAGATGTTCAAGCCACTAACCCACTAGATATTGCAGATTATACAGCGTGTATAACTTTCAAAGTACCAAATAACTAAATTCTTAACTCCAGTCAGGAAAAAAATGAACAGTTTAGACTCAATGAATGTAACTAAAACTGTTACAATTCTGTAGATGAGCAGAACGAGTTTTGTCAATAAACAAACTAGCTGAAATCACATTTATTGAAATTCCAAATCACTTTCACTTCATTGTTTTTCTTCTTTTCTTTTTTACAAGATAGTTCTTGGATTGTACCTGGGTTTCCAGAATATGGCCTCCTCAAGGGAAGAGTTACTGGATAATTACTGTAGTAGTCCTATGGCAAAATCCAACAACCAATACATCAGAATGAAATAAGCTCGAACAACTACATCAATTTATGACAAAAAATAAGATAAAAACAGTACAAAAATTAGACAATATATTCCATTCATTCAGTATACTTACCCACGGTTCTTTGTATTCTTTCTCTGCCGCAACTGCAATTAAAACATCAGCGTATTGTTAATAGAGGAAGGATATTGCAGAAAAAAGCAAAACATTGTACGGTAGTCTATTAAATGAAGTGTATTGATGGTTGCATACCACCAAATGCTGAATTCTGATTGATGTTAGCACTTCTCCCACCCCTGGCAACACCGTAAGATTTCAAAGAAGTTGATTCGCCACCATGTCCAAAAGCAATTTGTGAAGCTGACACTGTAAACCATAAATATGAACAATGCAAGTTTAGAAAGCAGAAATCAAGATGGTACACTTGCCTAAGAGGGTGTCATGTCAACCTTCACTACGAGATTTTTATACCAGACAGACTAGATACTAAATATCCAAATTACGCTACTTCAACAAGAATTTAATCAATAAAGTCAGAGGAACTTGCATAGGCATTCGTAAGAAGGGAACGAACATTTGAAAGAGTAAATGATAACTCATAATATGGCATGGTATGAAACGTATTCTCAGTAAACATTCCTCTTGGTGTCAATGCAGTTATTTGTAGCAACTTGCTTTGCCAGCAGTAATAATAATGAAAGCGATTCACAGTAGATGCACACAACATATGACCTATAATTAAGGAGTTGAATTTAACAGTATTACAAATGTGTGAGTGGGCAATGGAGAGTGTATAATAATAAGAGAAAATAAGGAACAAAAAATTGACATCAGTTGTAGGGTAAACAGAGGAATGGAAAATTGTCGCTCAACACTTTACTGATACCAAGAGATATATAAAATACATAACTAAAGATGCTATTAAATCTCCCATAATGTCAGAAATACATCAGTTGAATAACAGGCTTAGTCAGCTCAGCTCCTACATTACTGTTTTTCAAATCTAAAAGCCTAATGACAACCCGCATCAAAACCGTGATATTGAATATCTACAAGTATCTCTATGTTTGGCAATCTAAATATTCCCCGTCACGGGTTACCCACTCTAATATTATTAACAATTGCTTCATCATGCTTCTCTATTTAACAGTCACATAAACTTCAAACATTTGTGCCGTGTGCAGGTTCATTATGAGGACTTATTAGGAGAGGTAAGATCTATTTTCATGATTCATATTCGAAGGACAAAAAGAAAAAAACATCGAGGTCAGAAAACCAACGCTGGCGACATAAAGGACAAAGAAAATTAAATGAGAATTTCAGTAACATAAACCTTTTTTCTCGACCTTGTTCCTTGCCTTCATCGCACTCTCCTACACAAAATAAGGGATCCATAAAATCAGAGAAAAGTAAAATAATTATAGTAAAGCAATCAAATGAAAATCACATATATACATTGAAACGCCGGAGCAGATCCTTAGCCTGGTTTGCGCCAGCATTAGCATCCTCAACCACTTCACTGCAGAAACATAAAAGTAAGAAATAAGAAACAGAACAAATAAGAGGAGCATTAAATTAAGCTGCACTACACCATAAACTATGGTCAAAGCAAATAATCAATACGTTTTAACTTCTTTCTTGGGAACAAGACGGGGTGGAGCTCTTGGTGCAAATTTATGCTGCAATGTCGAACAACAACAGCAGATTAAATAGTTTGACTTAGTGATAAAATATATTGCATTGACAACAACCATATACATTGAAGAAATTAAAAGCAAACCTTCCTTTTGACGGGTGGAGAAGGGTCTGAATCCATAAGAGTGTAATGGTGATCGGAAACTGAGAAAGAAAAGAAACTGCGAATGAGATTGCTAAATGATGAAAATGGAGAGAATGAAGAAAAAGGTTTTGATCGGAGGGGGAGTGAGATTTTGGGAAAAGAGAAACACACGTAAAACAGAATGCAGTGTATGTGTATCTGAAATCAACGGGGAGTTGTGAAAAAGGAGACGAATAGCAAGTAATAAGCCGCAGGTTTGGCCACTACTTCAAAACCTACCAAACCGAACCTTTTAAAATGCCCACAAATAACCTATTTTTTTTTTTTCTTTTTATTATATAGGACTTTTTGGGCAGTTAATGATAATATTCTATTCTGTTAATTATTCTAGAATTACTTTTTAATTAGCCTTAAATTAAATGATACATATTTCTGTTTATTTTGTTGTTAAGCATCACATAATATTAAATGTATTATTTAGATTCTTGTGTTTATTTTAATTTATTTCGTTTAAGAAAATATTTTTATCCTTAAGCTATAATTTCCTTATATTGGAATTTACTTTTTTATTTCAAAAGAATCACACCATATATTATTCAGAGGATTGTCCTTGCTTCAATTTATTCCCTCTAAATAAGATATCTTTTCTCCTAAGTCAACCGTCAAAATTCTTATAAAATATTATTTATTTATTTATTCAATTTACTCATTTTATTTCCTTCACATTAAAGATAATTTACTGATTTAATTATTTAGGTGACCGTGTGTATTTCTATTAACAACTTCTTATTAAAAATAATAATAATTTACTATATGTTTGAATTTGCATTTTTAACATTTATAACATAATCCAAATATACTTACTATTAAGATAATACCAAATCTTTAAGATATTTAGTTAGTATTTGAAAACCGTGAAAATATAATACAACTCAAACCTAATTGTTCATTGATAATATATAAATCATTGTAATCATGTTAAATGTTTTTTCATCATTATTTTATTTACCTATTTTTTAAATTCCAATATGTAATTTTACTTTTATCATTAATATATATATATATATATATATATATATATATATTAAAATTGTAAACATAAAAATAAATAATCATTTTTATTTAAGTAAAAATAATTTTATAAAATAATATCAAAAAACATATCCGGTAGAAATATATCATTATAATAAAAATAAATATTTTCTCTCTGTTACTTAATTTATTATTAAATAAAGAATTTTTGTTTTGTTTTATTACATTAATCACTTTTCACCTAGCACTTTTATTTAAACAAATAGAACCTTAAATACAATTAAATAAAAAAATTAACTTTTATTTTCATAAGTCATTTTTTAACTATTCATGTATTTATAATTTTTTATTTATATATTATTTTATGATTTAAAAACAAATTAATTATTATAAATAAGTATTAGTTTAATATAATATTTTAATTTAAAATGAGAATAAATTTAGGAGGTTTTAAATTTTTATAAATTATTTTTTAGAACTATAAAACTTTTTTTAAAATTATAAGATCAAAATTAAAACTAAACTAATTTACAAAAATTCCAAAATAGTTAAACAAACATATATATATATATATATATATATATATATATATATATATATAATTATAGTATTGTTATTATTTTGTAAATAAAATATTTTTTCTATATTTTAAAATTTATTTATTTTTAATAAATATAATTTTTAAGTTGATTATTAAAATAATTGAAGATATTTAGATACAATATTTTATTAGATAATATTTTTTATTTATTTTCTATTTTTATTTTTAAATGTTGCTTGTAAAAATAAATTTTATTTTATAATTATTTATAAGATATAGATATTTTTTGATAAACAACTAATTAACCAATTTGTACTGGAATTCCTATAGTGGTAAATAAATAATTGAACATCTTGGGCTGGAGTTGCTATAATAAATAATATTTTCATTCATTTAAAAACTTTTAGTTATGTGTTATGCTATTTTATATTTTTTATAAATTATTGTTTTTTATCATAATTATTTTTAACTCATTTCAGTGAAATTTGAATTGGAGAAAAAAACTAATTATTTTTTGCATGGGGTGTGAATTGAAGAAAGGGAGGAAAAAAGAGTGCAAATTATTTTTAAAAAAAGAGAAGAAGAGAGTGTTTAATAATGGGCTGTGTGACTCTCATTTTTTTTTAAATTATTTAATTTTTTATATATTGGTGTTTTCATTTGTTAATATAATTTCGTTTTATTAACATTTCAATATAAGAAAATTATTTTTATTTTATATAAGGAAAGTATCATTTTCCAAGTGGTAAAAAGAAAAAGAAATGAATAATGATTTTTTTACGAAAAAAAAAGGAAAAAGTCAAATTTTTACACGTATATTATTTTGTTATCACAAATATTTGTTATATAAATAATTTCAAATTTAATTTTAAAGTGTAAAAGATAATTAAAAAAATATAATAAAAAGTCATGAAAATATCTTTAAAATGATGTTTATTTATCTAATTTGGATTATTACTAAATTTTGAATCTAAATTTCTTTACAAATTCAATATCTATTTTTGAATCAAATATACTATCGATTATATGTTTCTTATAATTTTTGCATCCATAGAAATAGTTATAATTAAGTCTTCAACATAAAAAATACAAATTACCATCTCCAACGATTTATCTTTAGAATATTTATATTATATGTTAAGATGAGAACTTACTTTTTAATTTAATCTTATTAACAGAATGTAATTAATTTTAGTTATTATTAAATTTTGAATTTAATTATTTATTTTTAAATATATGTTTATACTCTTTAGGTTATATCTTCTACTATGTAATGGGAAAAAAAATATAATTTAGTAATAAAGTATGTTTTTAAGTGTATTTTACATATAGTAATTAATTTTAAAAAATTTCATAATAATCTCAATATCCACTTATATATATATATATATATATGAACAGACAAGACAGCTTTCGTTTACATTAGTTTTTATATAAGTTCTTTAAATGAATATTTTTAATATAATCAAAATTAACAAGTATAATTGAATATAAATTATATATATATATATATATATATATATATATATATATATATATATGTGTGTGTGCGCGCGTGTGGGAGAGAGAGAAATAATTTATCAATTTAATAAATTTATTTTATAATTTGTAACTTTTTTACACTTCCTTCAAAACTTTATGCCGTTTTTATTATTATTATTATTATTATTATTATTATTATTATTATTTTTCTCTAATTGTTTTAGTAACTTGAGGCAAATGAATAGGCATGGCAACGAGGCGGGTGGTCCACCCCGACTTTTTAACCATTCCAGTCCCGCTTCGATCCATAGGAGTTAAGATTAAGTCTCCATCCCCGTCCCATCGGGTTTCGGGTTCCGTCCCACCCCGTCCCCAATTTATATTATTTTTAAAAAGATAATTATATTTATAATAAATTAATTTTACTATGTATTTTTATATATAAATAAATATTTATAATTTATAGTTATTATTAATTAAATATACATTTTAATTTATTATATTTATATTAAAATATATATGTAAAAAAAATATTTAATTATTTTTTATTTATATATATATATATAATATTTATAACATTATTATTATTATTATTATTATTATTATTATAATACTATATTCAAATATTTGAATATTTATAACATTATTATTATAATACTGTATTCAAATATTTAATTATACATATAAGTTAATTCATTTTTAAGTTGTCAATATATAGTTTATAAGAAAATATTTAATAAGTTAATTCTTATTTAATTAGTTTGAAGTAATAAAAGTTTAAATTATTAATTTCTTTTAATCCTTTAAAATGCAATTATTTTATTAAGATAAAATTTGATATATGATAAATAAGCATAATAAGATAAAAAAATATGGCATAATAAATATAAATTATAAATAAACTAATATTAGTTACTACTAAGATTGATGTAAAATATTTAGAAAAAGATAAAGAAAAAAGATTAACTTTGTGTTCATCAAATTGATTGAAAAGATTGAAAAAAAAAACAAATTGATGGGAGAGACTAAAAAAATGTGAAAAACTGAAAGATAAAGGAGAGAATAATATAATAAATTAATTGATATAAAAGATTGAGAAAGATAAAAAAAATTAAAAAGTGGGTAGAAGAAAAATAAAAATTGGTGAAATATAAAAAAATAACCTTATATGTAATAGAAAAAGAAAATGAAATACTTTTAAAATATTAATATTTTAAAATTTAAATTTAAATATAAAGTCGGGGCGGGGACGGGGTTGGGATTGCATTACCCATCCCCGCCCCCGACTTTTTAAAGCGGGGAAAACCCGAACCCGACCCCGCCCCCGCCCCCGGTCAACTCGGGGTTTCCCCGTCAAACTCGGGACGGGGACGGGTCGGTCCCCACGGGTACGGGTTTAATTGCCATCCCTACAAATGAACTTAATAAAAAATAGTTTCTGGATTAGAAATTTCAAAAATAATAATTCTGAAATAGATTCTAACATCATTCCTTAAACCAGTTCCAGCTTTAAGAAATATTTCTTGCAATTGTAAAAAGTCAATGAACACCAAATAGAAGATCTTCTAAACATTTCTGCAGATAATTTGGGAAACAAAGAGTACAAAAAAGAAAAAAGATTTTGTCAATTACATTTACATTCTGATACACTAACCAGAACCATTTCATAATCAAAAGGAGTATCAACACAGTCTACCTAGTTTCGTAACTGTGAAGATTGAATTAGTTGGGCCAACGAAGCAGCATACTGAACAGCAGTATGCTGAGAAGTATAATTGTCAGAAAGTCCATATTCTGCATAATTTGGTTCTGTATGCATGAACTGACCCGCTAAGGATTTTTTAGACACTACTTCTTTCCACATATCGATGAAATCTTCCATAATTCTCTTGGATTTTTCAACTGACGAAATAGGGAGATACTCAATCTGCACAAAATGAACATTGAATATTTAAATTTAGGAGGAAAGCAGAACTATGCATGATTATGCAAACCTCCTCTACACAAAAGACAATCTATGTTTTAAAGGGGAGAGAGTAAAAATGGTCAAATTCGTAAGGAAAGAGATCTTTAAGACTAACCAGATCATATGCAGATAAGTCATCCCATGACAGAGTTAAAATTGGTTTGAATAAAATTAGTTATTCATATATTTGAATAATGTTAAACTATTCAATACATATATAACAATTAAATTTTCATTGGGTCTAAAGAGCAAATTAAATTTATTAGTAAAGCATAAAAATAATCGCATGACATTGGGACACTATTGGGTCTCTTCTTTCTTCATTTACATTGTGTTAGTTACCAATTTATTTGCAATTGTAGCCATCCTAACAGAGCATCATGCACACCATACAAGGTACACACTTGTCAAGTTGGGTTCACAGTATGCACCACCACCATGCACACTGTCAAGATGCATCATTCCATTTTGATCCCAGAATTTCATTCCGATCCGAAGGATATATCTTACAATTAATATGATGAACGAAGAATTGCCAACATCAGATAACACAATAATCTCATGATAAATGAGGGGAATGACAAAGTGAATAAATCTTTAGGTTTTAACTTACATGATAAAGATTTCACCAAGAGCTTACAGTCCAAAAGTTTATTATTCAACTCCTTTGATTTTACATAGAGGGGCAAGGACTTCACTCAAAAGGAAACCAAAGGAAAAAAAAAATATCTTTAGGGTATGTTTGGGAGAAAATAAGAGAGGGGACACAATTTTATTTTCAAATTAACATTTGTATAATATTTATAAAAATAGATAAAAGATTAAAATCATTAAAGTCATGTTAATTTATCATTTTGAAATAATATCAAATTAAAGAATATTTATTACAAATTAAAAATCTATCCTCCTTTCCCTCTCCAAAAAAAAATATATATATATATAAACTCGTAAATATGTTTGGATTAATGGAAGAGAGTGGAATAGAGGGAATGAAATATACTATTATCATGTTCCATAGTTTACTTTGATTTCCCTCCCAGCTGGGAAGGAAAGCGAATTGTTCTATTCCTCATAACATAACAAAACAGACAATGAATTTTCATTAATACAAACATAGGTTTAGTTAAATACATGAGTACTAGACTATTCATGCAGTCAATTTTCAAATAACAGAATGTAGTCAGTCTCTTAACATGAAGTACATGATAAGCTATCTCAAAATTTCGTGCAGCTGCAAAGGACATCACAGTTTGTGACCAAGATGTGAGATGAGTGACATTTTTCCCCTCAGTCACATTGCCCCACTCCCCCACTCTTCTTAATGTTTCCATCAGTATTTTGTAATGAACAACCAGTTTTTATCTACATTCAACTCAACTTTTTATGCACATATAATTTATTTATTTCAAGTAATATGTACCTACCGGCCACGAGAATATGGGATATAATGTAAATAATCGTAATATTTGTACCGATATACTCAAAATTATTCAAGATATTCAGAATTATCCGAGATATTCAGCACGTACCCAACAAAATATTGGTAAAAGTTTTAATCTATAAAAGGTTTTGCATCCCCTTCGCTATGCATGATTTAAATCTGATCATGCATTTTCATACTGATCTAAGTATCAGGTAACCCTTTTACAGGTTCCCTTTCGCCCTGAGTACACTCGGAAAAAGACTAAAGAGAACTCAACCGTCCTCAGAATCCAGTTAACAACACAATGCAACTTCCGCTACTCTTTCCTCTACATGATATATGAAAATTTTGGTTCGACATTTTCCACCATCGGTTATCGATGACATTGGTTCAGCATACCATAAGCAAATCAAGACAAGTAACAAATATGTATTATCACCAACTACAATTCAGAGTTAGTAACCTCAATCATAATTCCTCGGAGACTTTCTGCTTGATTGGGAACAACTTTAATCACTCTCATCTGAAAGTCACCCAATTTATACAGCGTTCCCTGCACCACCAACGCATATTAAGTGAGCAAAAATAAAACAACAAAAGCCATGGCACTGGCAAAACCAAACGGACCTCGAAATGAAGGGCCACTTTGGACTTGTAGGACTGGAGTTTCTCCATGATAGTCAAGATAGAATAATCGGCCTCCAGAACAATCTTCTGGCCGCGAATGATGAAGTAGTATTTGTTGGGCTGCTCTAGCATCGAAATCCCAAGAAAATCTCGCGGAAAATCAATGGCCGCCGACTGGTCTGCGAAAATGAGAACGAAAGAAAGGGTTTTATAGAAAATTAAAACCCCCTAAAAGGAACGAAAATGGAGTTGGGTCTAGCTGAATGGATTAATCTGTATAGTAACAATCAAGTTTCGGATTCTTGTCAAAAGACATGATTTATGTTATCGTCCCACGATGTCCCGAATAAGATTGTCGTGTTGAAAACAAAAAAGGGGGGCACAGTGCAAATAGGTAACCTCGTAAATTAGGTCTGTAGAATGTGAGAGAGGCTTTGCATCTTCCTTCTTTGACACCATTAAGGCTTTCAACGCACTGCGAAATTTCATTGAGGATTTGGCTGTTCACCATGGTTCCTTGGCTGGGTTGCCAATGCAGAATACTAACAAAACAAAACAAAACGCCATAAATCACTTCTGAAAAAGTTCAAAATTAAGGGTTTGGTTTTGCTCATACCATCTTACGGGCATCCTCGCTTCTCCTTCCAACTCCAAAGAGATAGACTGTGTTGTGCGACACCCTCTTCCTCTCTTCTTCCTTCCAATTTCGCAAAATCGCTTCTTGTGGTTTCGATATCATGATATCCATTTTATTTACTTTTTATTTATTTTCAATTTTTATTTATAACAAAATTTAAGTAAGAATTAATTTTAAACCTTGATTACATATTTATTTTGTCTTATATAACACAATCATTATATTCGAACTACGATGATGACGTCTCCAAGACTAATTTATATGGTTAATTATTTATAAAAAATATTATTTTAATACAAATTTTAAAATAATTGTTTATTCTTAAATAACTCTTATAAACAATTTTTATCATGCATTCTCTCTAACGTAACAGATAAGGAGTATATCTAGTTTATTTCACGCAATTTTAGTTGCTTGATTTTTAATTTCTATGATTTTCTTCAACTTTCAGATAAATTATTTGTAATCTTTTATTACTTTGAAGGTGACACGATGAAAATGGAGAAAAATTTAACATAAAAGTTACTATCAAATTAAAAAGAATAACAATTATAAGACTTGTTAGCAAATATAACTTAGCAGTTATTTAATATTTTTTAAAATTAAAATTCAAATAATTAAAAATTAAGACAAAATCATAAATTAAAACTATGGACAATTAAAAATTAACAGTTATAGGTGGTGAGATTGATAATAGAAATTTGAAGGTTGATTGATTGGATAAGATGTGGGGTGAGCGACAGAGGAAGAAGGGTTTGAATGTCGGGTAAGGAGTGAGAGTGGTAAGTAAAAAGGGATCATGACTCTCCGCAACACACCACTTTCTTCCTTACCCTTTTCTTCCACCAATACAACCCTCTTCACTCACCCCACCACCACATTTTTTCACTTTCTTACTTCACCTCTCTCTTAAATAATCACGACTTGTTTTTTTTTCTGTAATCATGCAAAATGAAACAAAATCTTATTTATATTACTTCTTCCCTTGACCCTACCCATGTGCTACGACTTTCCCACATATTATTTAACAAATAAATAGGATTTCGAAAGTGGAATATTCTCCTCTTTTCTCTCTTGTTTACCACTGTTGCATTTCACTTTATGCAATACACACTTTTCTTGTTTTCCTTTCAGCTTTTTTAATTGCTTTTCATACCATTTTAATTAAACCAAAAATTATCATCGATTATGTTTAAATAAAGGATCAAAATGGCTTTTTTAAGAATTTCAACATTATCAGATCGGTTAGCTCATCTTTTAAGGCTTCTTTTTTCATGGAATCTCATCTTTTTTAAGTTCCAATCTTTTCATTTCAACGTTTCTTTCCAAATCTTTGCTTGCATATTCAAAATTTTATTACTATTACTTGTTTAAATCATTTTTATATATTGCTTATGTGATATAGGTTTTATTTAAAATAGAATTTAACCTATTTATGTGATATTTTTTTTAAAGCTTATTTAAAAAATGTTTTACAAACACTAATGCAGTATATAACCTACAATAAAATATTTGTACAAAAGGTTTAATTTTTATGTCCAGTAAAGATTTTTTTTTCATTGAACCGTGCAATTTAGAATAATTATTTTACAAAATTAACAGTTTTAAAGATATCATATAACATTTTGAGTTGTCTATGTATGCGTGCTCAAATAAGAACAGCTTAATCATTGAAGCCCAGTTATGGTTTAAATCCATCAAAACACCAACCAAATGAATTAAACAACCATCACAAAAACATTTTTGCAAATAACCCTTGTTATTTTTGTTGCTAAAAAAACCCTTGTTTCATAATCACAGTGTTATTTATTGAACAAAACAGAAAAACAATACTGAATACTATTATAATATAGGTGTTATTTTTCCAGTTAGAATCAAAACTTTATTTCAGTTATATATAATGAAAGATTTCGTTAAATATTTGCATGGTATTGAAAAAAACTGTTGAATTGCAAAACTATACTAACAAAGTATATATGATTTTATCTAACTTCTATCAGTAGTTATTCTCCATTTCTGGTTTAACTTGCATGATGCTACCAACAAGTTTGAGAGTTAAGGAGTGACAGAGAAGCAAATCCTTGGGACCATAAAGCATCCAAAACATTGTACTCGCCAGAGAATGATGAATAAGCGAAAAAGGACGTGTCTTTGAGAGTTAGCTCAAACCACGAAAAAACAAAATGGAGGAGTCAATGAGAGAGAGAGAGAGACTAGACTATAGAAAGAACACAAAATGGAAAGCAAATAGCACACAAACACATTGGATCCCTCCATGGAAACACATAAACTTGAACAGCATTTGAAAACAGATGGAGAAAGGGGGAGCAATCAAAGAGACCTAACAAATCACAACACAATGTGAACCCCATCATGTAAGACATTATTGGCCTTTGATTCAAGTACAAGGACTGAAGGACCCCACTATTCAAAGCTTAACTCAACCATCTGCAAACACAAAATGGAACTTATAAACAATTCCCAAGCCACTTATGACCCCATAATGAAAAAGAAAAGAAAAGCAAGACACAAAGACTCAGTCATTGTTCATTACCTCGTTGGGTTGTTGAACTGAAAGTTGCAAAATCATGAGAAGAAGTGGGAATGGAAATTGAAAGCTGGGTGGTGGATGATTTATCATCCAAATCTAGCCACGATCCTCTGCTCTTGGGGGGCCATTCATCGAAGAAGCGATGAACAGTTTTCTGAGGTTCTTCTTTCCCAAGTTTCATGAAGCTTTCACACTTGATATCACTGCCAGTGCCTGATATGTAGCAACCCTGATCTTGCTGTGGCTGTTTTGAGTTGTTGCCACTGAGGCTCTGAAGTTGCAAGTAGGAGTACTCGTTGTTGTCGTTGGATAAACCAGAGCAACTCCTCTGTTTTGAAGAGGAAGATGAGCTTATGGTCAGTGGCGTGAGTTGCCATGAATCTTCCATTGAGGAAGCAGAGAAGCTTCTCATTGTTCCAGAAGGTTCGGTGAAGAAGGCATGTTCATCCACCTCCTCCTTCAGTCCATACACATACCTGTTCCTTTTCCAAGAACAAAAGGAGAATCACTCACATATCACTCAACAACTTCAACCCAAAAAGCTAATATAACATAAACTTCTCAATAACAAGTACTCACGGGTTGGTATAAATTATAAAAGATAAAATGAATTAAATTTCTTTCGGAAGTCAAAAATTTTATTTAAAAGAAAAACCCCTCGTTTGATAGAATAGAAAATAAGTTTTTGTAAACTAATCAGGAAACAAAGAATCATGTTAGTTTGTAGAAAATACTATATGGAAAACTTGTAACCAAACATGATAGATGTTTGATTTATTTTCTGCTTGAAGTACTTGTTGAGATGTTATGTAAAGAGGAGCTGTGTTCTAAATGTATGTAAGTGTGTAGTAGTACAGCTTTTAGTTATCAGAAAAAAGAACCTGCAGTCAGTGTTGTTATTCTGAGAGCAAGAAACAGTGTCGAGAAACAAGGGGGCACTGTTGTCTTGAAATGACAAAGCAACACCGGAAGAGGGTCTCGAGGGTTGATGATAGAGGAAGGAGTGGGAGGAATGTTGAGGGTGGTGATGATGGTAAGTGTCATGAGAGGACGCGGAGAGAGAATGTGTGGTTGGGGAGAGTGCAGGACTGTTTTTGGTGATTGATAAGATTGTGGGGGTTGAGGCATCTGTGTTTGTTGTTGCTGTCGTTGGTGTTGTTTTCAAAACTTCCACAGGCTTTCTTGAACGGTTTTTCCCTCTATGCATGTGCCTCTCGCAGTACTTTGAATCTGGATACGCCTCCTTTGAGCACCTCCATTTCTTCCCATCTGTTCTCCTACATCTCCCTGGCTCAGGGTCTATTTTCCTCCCCAACCCCATTGGCAAATAGTTCCACCCAACTGCATGCACACCAAACAAACGAACTCAAAACTATTCACTCAACGATCTCGACACTCACATCTACCAAAAGAAGCTTTTAAGATATCATAGTTGATGTTGCAATTGCATGTCTCAAAAACCTTGATGTTGCCACTAAGATGATTTTTTAAAACCTTTTGTAAGTACAATACAATATCGTGATGCTAGTGTTGAAGGGTTTAAATAGAGTGTATATGACAGATTCTAAGTTTAAAGTTTGTTAAGACTATTCTGCAGATATATAAGTTGGACTTACAGTGTTGAGACTGGTGAGGCAGGAGCCTTGAGGAGAGAGGAGAGTCCAAGTGGGTCCTTTTGATGGTGAAGAGAAGGTCAGGAGGGATAGAGATACCTGAAGCCATGTATTTGTAGATGAGGGCTTGGTGTTCAAGCTCTTGCCACTGGGAGGGAGTGAAGGGGAACCTGTTCCTTCCATTCATCATCAAGCAGAGGGAAAGGGAAAGAACAGGAAAATGAAAAGAGTAAAAAGGAATCAAAGAGCACAAAGGCTGTTGAGTGATAGTAACAAATGAAACAGAAGCTATTCAGACCTCACAGTGTAGTAAAAGAGAGGACAGGTTCAGGTTCACGTTCAGGTCAGGGAGAAATGTGAGTAGAGGGGAAGAGAGGAGAGTGTTTATGGGTTATTGCTTGTTGTTTGTTACATTGGCCCCCTAGAGTAGGTATATTTATTTCAGGGACCATTGTGTTACAGTAATAAACTAATGGTTCTGATTACATAGCTGCATGCCAATGCACAAATGCACACACACACACACACACTCTCTTTCTCTCTCTCTCTCTCTCAGCTCCTATTATGACTGCACCTCTCTGTTGCCACTGCTTCTGCGACTAAGCTGCCTCTCTGGCAGGCCTTGTCTCTGACATCTTTACGGAAATCCATAAACTAAAGGAGAGAGAAAGAAAAGCTCCAAAAGACAAAAGAGGAAATAGTTATTATTGGTATTATTGTATACGAAACTATTTAAGAGTTGGTGTCTGAAGCCAATGCCTGTCTGAGAAGATTGTACGGTTGGAGCTTTTACTGCTACTAACTCATTTACTTTTTCTGTTCCTTTACCTCAGACTCAGACCCCTCCCACTTACAATTTGACCTTTTTCCATTCGAGAAATGTAGAAAATGAAAGATGCACAGATAAAACTAGAACCCCTCCTCCAGTAATCTTTTCAATAAAAAAAACAAAACAAAACAAAATGGTTGTATAGTTCACAGGTGTGAGGCTATTATTTAACTGGGGTTATTTTGTGTTGTCCTTTTGCTAGTTCCGTTGAAACAAGTTGGACGTTCTGTTAAAGCAAGGGTACTTAGGGAATCCAAGTTTCAAATATTTATCTGTACTTATAGTGGTTAGTGCTCAGATGCTGTGAACTTTATTCAGTGACTTGGTATTAGAACTTGATCCTCCGTTTACCCTGGAAGTTGAAGATCATTCTCATACAAAATTTACACAGAAAACAAAACACCAAACTTTATATAGATCCGTACTCAAAATGAAACGGCCCTCACATGCTTAAATATGCGATATGCCACCTTTTTTTTTCTGTTTTATGCAAGACAGAAGAAGATGGCAGAAAGGAGGATTGTTTGAGTTTCATAATAAATTAATCAATGGGAAATTGTAGAAAACACGTGCTAACTCTTTGGCTCATCTAGTCTAAGCTAAGTACCACTGTGCACTGATGCTCACTTCTTAACAATAGCAGAAGACTACAATATGAATGTAGATTGCAACCAAAAGCAGGTCAATAGTGTTGGCATAGCTAGCCAAACAAATATGGTCCAAGTCAGAAGGTTTGATGGAGCAAAACCAATTCAACCAAAAAGGGGACACATAACTACGCAAGTAAAACTGGAGACATAGATTGGCATCACCATTTATGTTGTTTCGTTGCATTAAAACCTTTGGAGTTATTCTTATGTTGTAAGTTTGGCAGTACAATTGCACCATTTTTATCCCCCTAGTAAACACAATTGCCTAAACACATCGTCTCTACCTTCGTACACACTTAACTTCAACCAACCAAAAGAAAAGAAAATATCCTCATTGTGTGTACGTGTGTACTCTTCTCTTGCTTGGTTGTCTGCTAATACTCTATTTCACATGTAACCATCTCACTCTTTTTACCTCAATTTCGTTTGGTACTTAAACTTTCTGTCAAATTCTAACAAATTTAAGTACTTCACTGGTTAACTGGCATAAACACACCCTCTCAACATTATGAGCTTGTTGGAATAAAAGACGATATTGCACCAAACAAAATATTGTACACTGATACTTGCAAAGTGACAATTGTGAGGTTACTGCTAAACTACACATGTCATGTATTTTTTTTTTCTGATATACAGTGTATTATTTTGTACCATTAATGTTGTCTAAAGGTAGAATATCCTTTGATAATTGCATCATATGTTACAAAAGCATATTCGTTATCCTCACCAAGAGTTGAAGAAGTTTTATAGATATTAAAATTTGAAATTGATGATGTCAGCTAGATGATTCAATTAAAACATTTATTAGCAAATATTAATGTAAGTTGCTACCCTTTTGGTTGGAAATATTTTTTCTTTGGTCAAAATAAAGAAGAAGAATAAAGTAAACCATAACCCCACTTCAACTAACAAACAATACAGGTATAAATCATTTATCAGAAAAAAAAAAATACAAGCCAAAATTTATTAGGTTGTTGGATGTTTGACTCCATCTACCAACTTGGCAAATGTCAAGTGAAGCTTTTCCTTGTTTGCTATTTATCTGTGGCAGGTGATAACTAAGTGAATTACTAATTTAAAAGCAAGAGTGAACTGTTAAAAATTTTCAATGCTATAAATTGTATTATACCCTTTAGTATTTTAAAAAAAATGACATATTTAATAAAAATACAGAGCAAACTGCAAAATATAATCTAAGCATTAGATTAATCCTTAGTGACATCAATCTAATATAAATCTGATTCTTAAGTTTAATCACATAGAACATATATAAAGATGGGTTATAGAAGTATAATGTGTATGAGTATTATCTTTGTTTCTATTAATTTGAATACTGGAGTAAAATAAAGGGGAAGAAATAGATTTGAAAAAAAAAAAAGTCTGAAAATATTTTCATAAATGAGAAAAAGTGGTAGGAACACCTGTACTCCTTCCATTATTTGTTTCACTTTATGAAAACAGAGAGGGTGGAGGGGGTGAATAAGCATGCGATGTACTTTTTTTGATACCTTGCACTGATGGTCATAGTCATAATCAATAAGTACAAATGCTTAATCCAGGCTCCACAAAACTACCAAGTTACTTAAAACGGTGACACATTTAAGGAGTAAAAGGTCCAAAGCAGGGACACATCAAATGTTTCCATTAATGTAACAGCCAGAAGGGCAAATCCCGGCATCTTTGCTGTGGCATTCTGGTTTAGAATCAAGCACAACTCAACTGCCACATCTTCCACTTGGACCACACTCACTGCTCATATGTCTATCTGTGCAATGCAAATTGGACAAAATCTCACAACAAGTGCAAACTTTCAACATCTTTAAACTCTGCACATTATTTTTCAAGTTCAAGACTTTCAATTTTTGTATAAAACTCCTCTCCTCTCTTCTAGTATAATCAAGACTTAGAAAATATTCCGAACCAAGTATTTTATATTTGAAAAGTTTGATCGTATTAAACTATGTATGAAAAGTTACAGGTTCAAAAAGGTTTTTATCAGCTAAGTCAGATACTCTTCAAACTTGTTAACCTCTTTGTTTAGTAACAGTTATTAAGTTTTTTTGTCAAATAAATATATTTAGTGCAGTCCATTTTACAAGATTTCGTTAAAAACCAACCATTTATTGGTATTGAATGATATTAGTCTCGACGATTTTCTTAATGTTGAAGTATAGTAAATAGAAAAACTTTATGAATAGAAAAATATAACTATGAAAAAATAACATTCCCCGAGAGAATTATTTGCTTTAAGTTTATAATTAAATCGCGGGAACACTTCTGACAAGGTTTTAGTGGGATCTTTAAAAGACAACAGACATCCATTATTTCTCCGAAGAAGACAGCGTGAATCCGAAGCATATTTAGCAGAAGGGCGAGAGGATAAATAAATTCCCATCCCTGCTATAAATATTCGCTATAATGCACAATCAAGGAGAACCTGGAATGAACTCACAGAAACAAACAGCAATAAAATTTTTTAAACTAAAATGGATCAGTCTTAAGAGCATATAACATTGGTTGCAATAGATTTAATTTTGCATAAGATTGATCATATGTTTTAGTATTGGTGCATGATCAAAAAAACATTACATCATAGAATAAATTCCCTGTAACCCTTTTAGGCTTAAATACAACAATCAAATTAATATTTACAAGTACCGCAGACGCAGAAAGCCTAGGAAAAAAAGGGCCTGGGGACCGTTTTAGGGGCAGGGGCAAGGAAGAAAATTTTAAATCAACATAGAAAAATTATACAACACTGAACTTGCGTTCAACCTTGAAACCAAACAATAATATAATATTACCAAAAATCTTCTGCATGGCAGCCCTATTCCTTTTGTAAGAAAGACAGAACAAGGTCTGTATGTACAGAAAAAAGCTGTGTATCCACGAAAAGCTGTTTAGCACAAGGCAACAAAGGGGACAAAATACAAAAACTGAATTAGTAGTCTGAATATATAGTATGCTTATCATTTGAATACGCAAACCATGAGGAAAAAATAGTATGCATATATTCAATTGGCTTTTATAAGAATTGCTTCTCATTAAACACATTCACTAGTGTTCTCACACATATTTATGGGTCGTTGCATCAAATAACAAAAAAATCAGGCTTGTTATTGCTTGAGACTAGCACAAACCAATTCCCTAACTAAATGGTCCTTCGATTTGAACTCAAGGTTTTGAAAAAAACCTGATGTCCAGCTTAACTAGATGCACCAGTACATGAAGCTTGCCAATGTAGCATGATTCTGAAGCATCAGAAAAACAAATGATAGAAGAGAAATATCAACCGACAAGCAGGGTCAACTGGTGAAAATAAATCAAACCCTGTGTGCAATACAATCACTCCCAAGCCTCTGCAACACTTCAGCTGATTAGGTAGGCCTAGCTAGTCCCTTAAATTGATTATACTGGTTAAATTCACTTAACATATTCTACATGTTCTTTGTCTGAAAGGTAGTGTCTGCTCAACTTAACCAAACAGATTTGAGCAAAATACCAAGTAGACAATAGTTGTGATCAAATAAAACAATAAACTGGATGTTTGAATAATATTTACATACTAAGTGAATATATTGGGTTCAACTTCCAGAAATCAGACATAATTTGCAAGTCCATTCTGATAATGAATGTAGGCTCATGAAGAAACACAGTTATCATAAGATATGAATGTAGGCTCATGAAGAAACAAACCTTCATAAAATGCCGATCCCGGTAAGGGAACGAGTCAATGAAACTCTCCTTCAAAAGCAATGATACCTGAAGGTACAAACCATCATGTCAGATCTTCCTTATATTTACTAAAATATGCTATTTTCAAAGAAAGCCAGTGTTTAAATTTCAGTTAAAAAAATTAAAATTATTTATAATCCTGTTTCAATTACTGTTTTCCTTGAATCTATCCAAGTACACCCAAGCTTTATCAAACAGCCTCCAGATATTCTAGGACTTGGGTCCTTCATATCACTGAACTTGAAATTATAACCAACCAACAAAGATTAATATGAGCAATTTAAGGTTGTTATTGGAAACAGTTTCACTCAGAACAGACTATGCTTTCTTGGATCAAAAGGAAGAATTATAAGTAAGAACTGACTTAAATATTACATTTAAAAATTAACCATTTCATAACAGGGATTAACAACATTACAATTGATCCCTTTTTAAGGAATAAAAGTAAGACCAATTCAAAGTTGGTTCTAAATTAAAATTCTAAATCAAATCCTTATTTTCCAAGGTTAAAACCTTGAGATAAAAATCAACATGTCTAACTTAATTTGTTGGTAAGACTAAAATACAGACCTTATCGTCATTGGACTGTACATTGGTGATTGTGTGAGAACGGATGTTATAGGAAAGAGAATCCAAGTAAGATCTTAACACCGAAAGGAACCCCTTTGCAGCTTCAATCTGTATGAAAATAGTACACATGAAACATACTAAAATGTTGAGACAGTTTGACATTGCTTAGAGTGACATGTCGAACCAACTAAGAATCAGTAATATCTGAAGATGCACAACTAATAATGATCTATTAAAAACCTGGATAAATTTTTTATCGCAAAAATATTAAGTTGCTTTCACAAAGTAAATTAAGCATGACTAACGTCCGTAATAATCATTAATCTAATCATGATACCAAAGGTGATCAAAATTGGAGAGTGACAAAGGTAGAGCAATAAAGAGGAAATCAAGAATAGTAATAATAAATAATGGTGATTTCATTAACATGGGTATACCTGCACTTCCGTGCATTCATATACTGGCCTTCTCCTACCCAAGTAACTTTCTCCTACAAGAGTTGCATGATAAGGACGTAAAGAAGAGACAAGCTCTTTCTGTCTTGGCAGTTGTGGTATTGTTGGTGACTTCACCTATTGCAACATAATAGCAGTGTGATAAGTAGCCACGTGTGTCTACAATGATGTTAGCAGATAATCACATGAAAAACTAATTATTGGGTTGTATGTCAAAAATAAATGGTTAGTAGTCCCAGAATCATGTAAACACTAAAAACAAAAACAATTAGAATAGGTTTTTCTGTGATCTTCAAACCTATGACAAATCTGGGAGCTTACAATATAAATCTTCAACCCATCTTACCGATCATCTAATCAAATCCTAAGCTTTAACTGAAGCGCCTAATTCTAAATTCTTTTGCTCCCATTACATATGAAGTATCATTTGACTCATTAATCAAACTTGCTAATGAAATTATCAACTTACTAAAATTGTATATTGCATCAACCTAAGTGTCAACACCACATGATCTAAGCAAACACAAATTTAACACCAAAATATAAACAAAAAACTTGGATAACGATTCCTTTCTATTAGTTTGGTACAAGTGTTGCAGTTTTTGCTTCAGTTATCTTACAATTATTAGGTGATTATGATTGTAACTGTTGTTCAGTTATTAGGTGGTTATGTTTGTAACGGTTGCTTATTTCAGTCTTTATATTTTGGGTCTTTTTAATACAGTTTTTGTTTTGTATATTGAAAAGGATTGAATACACCAGTTCTTCTATTATTTCTGTGTGCTTTTGTTCTCTGCTCAAACTCTAATACTTTCTGACCAACAACATCAATCAAGCCTTCTTTCACCAGGTGGGGTTGCTTAATGGAACAAACAACTTACATTATAAGAACTTCGTAAACATTTTTGGCCACTAAATCCCTCTCAATGGTTTCACCTATAGTTTTTCTCAATCTCCCTTTGCCTCAAGCAATTCAGCTATTCTCCATCGGATCTACTCTCCTTACTCGACCTTCTACAGATCTTCCCCACAGATACTCTTCTACCATCTTTTCTACCATAAGTGCTACCCTAGCTATTCTCTAATCCATTTGTAAAGAGAGAACACAAGAGACATTTGATGAATTCTGTCTATTTGAATTACACAACAAAACATATATTAGTCCTGGCTGCCATAAATAGAAGGATAATCACAAGAATATACTGTTCCCCAATTAACATATACTTCTTTCTTATTTACATGATTACCCAAAATGTCAATTTGCTAATAGAATTATAAACATTAAAATACAGTGGCAGAAAATTAACAAACGATATGCAGAGTAATGTTTTCCTTCACAATTGGAAGAAAAGATGGTGCATACTAGTATTTCACAAATTGTTCAAATAAAAAGGATTTATTTTTACCTGGTTTTTGTCGGCATCAACTACAATAACATTGGTAAACTTTGACTGAACTTCACTAGTCTTGTTCCTGATACCAACCTAGAATTAATTTTGTTGTCAGTCAAAGACCATCACAAATGGTAGTATCAATTGAAATATTATGGGGAAAAAACAGTTAAACTTGAAATCAAATTTGAAAGTGCACACTTGTGTGGCAAATCTAATGTTTTCTTCTAATGTAAGAAAGGCAATACTAAAAGTTTGACCAGCTTCAAAGCAATATACACAATATCAATATCTAAGTAATAAATTGACATGTGCAAGGGCAACCATTGAGCCTGTATTTAAAAGAACAAAATAATTTATAATGCAAAAGCAACCTCATGACCTTGCTTGAAGAAGATAATATTCTTATCATTTAAAGCAAAGAACTGAATACTCACTACATAAGGGACCGGTGCATCTAAAAACTCAAGCATGTCATTTGGTAAAACCTGGAAGAACATGTCCTCATCAAATACCATAAGGTGACAAATAGAAAGTAATAACTCATTTGCTTCAATAGTGAAAAGAGAAAGAAATCAAACTGGCATTAGCAGGCTTTGCCAACGGTAAGGCTGGATTAGTGGAATAACTGATAAAACTGAAGCAGATAGGATTCCCTGATCATGAAAGAAAATTTTAAGAATTATAAATCAAGCCAGCAAAATTATTTCTAATGTGTTAAGAAAAAATATAAACAATTGTTTTGCAGTGATATTTACCAAATTGTCTCCCTAAAGATTGAGTGTGAAGCAAAAATGGCCATATTAATCCAAAGAATTATAGACATGCATATTTAATTGTTAGAATGACTAATCAGTAGAAGAACAGGATAAGAATGCTGTTGTAAGATAATCAAATCACGTACAAGACTTTAACATAAAAAATAAGCTGCAAAATGAGTAACAACATATGCATAATCATTGTCACAAGATCATTACAAACTTAATAGTACAAGACATACCAAATTAGAACAGACAACAACTATCTGCTTCTCTAGTAGAACTCCTGCAAAGAATGTTAACACCTGCAGAGGGAAGAAGGGCCACAAACAATTAAACAAACTCATCATTGTAAAACTCAATAAACAAGCATGATGAAATTATTACACTTTGATCACAGCATTACAATTTAAGGAAATACATTATTGTGCCTCTAATTTAAATTACCGTAGAGGCGATTGAGCTAATTATTTATACAAGATTTTAATCTTAAATATAGAAGAAATAGCTATTAATAAAGATGTTACTTATAAAAGGTGTTTCACAAATTCCATAAATGCTGAAATCATGATAACTTCTCCCAGTAAAACCATAATGAATCTACCCGCTTATGAGCACAAGCTTGAAATGATGCCACCAAATCTCTAGCAGAAAAGTAATCTATATACTTGGAAATCAAGCATGATGATATTATCAATATACAGGGAAACAAAATAGATTTCATAGTCTTGGACAAAAGCATAAAACATACATTTTCAAGTCTCAATGTACCGCACAAGCAAGCTACAGCCCATACAGATAATGCAGTTGCCTCTTCCACCACGAGAGCAATATGTGCCTGAGTTTAACAAACAACAATGAAGTACTGTACCCACCATATATGTGACTATCAAACAAAATGCTTCCTGTGACATGAAAATATCAAATCTGAAAAAATTATCATGACAACATACATCAACTAATTCCAGACCAGTACTGGACGTTTTCAAATCAACTGTTGAACCAGCAAGACAGAGAACTGACTCAGCTGATCTCTGATATTCCAAGGGATGCAAATGCTCCAAAGGATGAAATGTAAGCGATGAGCCCCTGGCAGGGTAACTTAAACGGTAATACTCGCTAATAATTTGTAGTGGTCCATGGTTATTTTCCTGGGAATTGATAAATTACATCAGCTCCAAAATATAATCATGAATGGCAACTAACAAGGCAAGAACAGGCACAGGTGCTCATAAAAATTACAAACCTTTGCCCATTCAAGAATATCATTTAAGTCATTCAAATCCTCTTGGCCGGAGAAAGATGCTTCTTCTGTCTCGTTATCATCAACATCACTCCTAAAATTTCTGTCTTCACAAGGTGACCCTTGGAAACTGCATAATATGGCAGAAGTCAGGACATCCAATTAAGATGAATCACCTAGAAGAAAGGGACAATTATTTAATTGAAAGAAATTCCCAAAATAAGATAACTTTGCAAAATCACCATACCTTTTTTTTATAATAAATTAGACATTATTGGAAGGAAATAAATAAGGAATAAAAAAAAAGAAAAATAAGTTATTCTCTGCAGAAAAAAAAATTAAATATCACAAGAACAACACATACAAAGCAAGTACATAAATAAGAAACTAGCACTCAAATCCCACTACATGTCATTCAAGGAGGTTCTACAACGAAACATATAAACAACAACTGAGGGAGAGGGGCATTTCACTCCAACAGAAGATCAAACACCAGAATTAAAACATGATATTTCTTAACAAAACAACAATGCCCAAAAGACATGAACCTGCAGGAAGATTCAGAGCTTTCATACTGGCAATAGCGCAGGAGGGGCAAAATAGCATTAGGTAAATGTTTGTCTTCTGACTGTTTGTTTGTAGCAAAAGCATCTCCATACTGATCACTATTTTCAGAATTTGTAGGGCCAGAGCCTTCTTTGCCTGTAGTATTATCTGTTACACGATTAGTAGGCAAAACATTGTCATAATTGATTCTCTCGTTGTATGTCTGCAGCTCCCCATCAACCATTAGGTGCTCTCTTTGACCATCATCAATGATGTTTTCAGGTGAAGAAGACTTTGCTACACTCGATAGAGAAATTTTTGGATTTCCACCAAGTCTGTCTTCTATTGGGCACTCACTCACCAAAATACTCTCTGAGTAACCCTCTGGGTTTTCTTCCTTAAAGTTATCTTTATCAGATTCTAAACTTAAACCCCCAACACTTCTTGTCAACCGCTCCAGCCTTTCTTGTGTGAAGATACTACAAAGATATTCGCACAATGAAATGAGTAAAAATCATACAACCATACTTCCCATCATGCTAGAAAGTAAACAATTTTAAGTATCATGCAGAAGAATACAATATGTGAGCAGATACTATCCATAAATTCAAATATTTCAGCCACAAACGGTTAATAAACAGCATGTCAATCGCATGAAAAAAGGAGAAAATACTGCATTCCAACATCCAACAATAAATAGAACTTAGTCTCTCAATGTAAAAACGAAAAATCAGAAATAATCACAAGCATCTGAAATCTGATGCTAAAGGGCAGGAGCAAGAAAAACAACAAATAAAACTCCTCGGTTTATACGTTGAGTCCTCATTAAACACGTTCAGATTTTTGTCACAACAACTACATCATAGCTCCCAAGAAGATCATCTCATATATTATTTGTTTCACCTAATCTTTGGGTATGAATGAAGCAGTTTTTCCTTTTCTTTTTTCTTTCCTGTAGCAAACTATTTTACGATGTGTGTGCACATGTGCATTGTGCATATACTGTTTTTTTAAATATCCTGTTATGAGTGCATTAATTAGATGAAATGCAAATATTCCTTCAATGTATGTTGTTTATCTTCAAGTTAATATACTTAGTTGATCATGCTGACAATTCAATTTTGCAAATTATACAATATACAAAATACTGTCATTAGATTCAAAAGTACAACAGATTAACAGTTGAAATTTTTACTGTTTTGATGCATACAAGGAGTGCAAAACAGACTGTTTTACTGACAATCCTTCAAAAATTTCATAAATTAAGTACACAAAGAAATTACAAATATTTTCTACATCTAGGTTCCTTCTGATAACTCTTAATTACAGATACCTACCTATTCAATACACCAAAGTGCAATTCAAAAGCTGGAAGCCTTGAAAGAATGCAGTAACATCTCTGGGTGGTTAGTATATGTCGTCTCAAAGATGAGGAAGAAGGCTGCTTATCAGAAATCAGAGAAAGCAATCCGGAAGGCTTTTGTACTAATTCTTCAACTAAGACACAACACCCATAAAGTGTTGAGTTGTCAGCACCCTTCGAAGTTAAAGTAACAAACAAAGAAACAAAGTAACATTGTGAGGTAACCAATACAATTTCAACATAAAAAATAATCAAGGCATTGTTTGGTAGGGCAGATTCGGTATGAAAACAAAGGAAATTGTTTATGCACATAAACTAAACTCTAGCTCAATTGAAAACAAGTGCTTTCAGAAACTACTTGATCCTAGCCTCCTAGGAATTATCATAGGTTACTTTTTGGCATGCACTTTGGCATACCTACCCCTTCCCAACACTTGGTCTTAGACTTCAAATTCACAGCAAAAAAAAAAGGCTCTAGTCCAAACAAATCAATCATATCCTTTCCTGTTTTTTCCAAATCCACTCCACCAAACAGTGCATGCATTGTTGTAGTATTTAGATGCCTTGGTTCTTATATGAAAGAGAACCAAAAATAATTTACTCTAGTAGCAAGAAAATTGCATTCTTGCACAAGAGAATTTGAGGTTATATATCTTGGATGACCTAATGAAAACACAATTAGCCCTAGGAAATGTGAAGTGCTGGTTATAAGGAGGTAGACGTCAAAACAATCATTTGAATGAAGATCAAGGGGATCAGGTCCAAAACTATGACTAAAGAATCAAGGCTAAAATTGCTCCAGCAATATATAATACAGTAATAAGGAAAGATCCATCCAGAAGATAAAGAAATGGAAATATATGCAAAGAGTTCATTCCCACATGTAGTTTTAGAATAAAATTTGAAATAGCTATATTGGTTCCAAATACCATCCCTGGAACACTTTGTTATTAAGAAAAATAGCTAAAGCTCCCATAATGTCCAAAAAAAGAATATGTAACAAAGTAACAATATGATTGCCTTAGATACCTGTAACCTGAATACAAATGACAAATCCCTTTGTTTAAGGTGTTCCTGCAATACACAAAACAGAACTTTAGTTACCAATATAACAACTTACATATTAGTGGGCGCCCCATAGTTGGTCCTGATGGAACCCCAGTTCAGGCACACCACAGAAGTGGGGCAGAAATGACAAGAGCAGGATGGGAATGAGGTGGTGGAGGACCCTGTTGGTGAGGATCCTAACAACAGAATGGCCAGGTGGTAGAAGATCAGTGGTGACGGGAGTGTGGGAAGCAAGTGGAATGGAAGGATAAGGCATTGAATCAGTAGCATTCTGGCTTGTCCAATTTATTTCAACTTTTTTCTATTCTCTGTTATTCATATTGTTTCTATCACGGCAAATACATTATTATCTATCCGGTTCTGTATACTAAACTGTGTGAGATACGAAAGTTGGCAACATTTCGGAGTAAACAAAAATTTGATTATAAAAATATGACATAGTTAACATAAGTAAAAAGTACAAGGTCACCACCACAATAATGTTTGTTTTGACATGGAAAGTTATAGGAATGCAGAAGACAGACTTCCTGAATGAAAGCATAAATGACTCAATAAACAAAATCTGAAACATGTATCAGCAAACAAAGGAAACTAAAAAAATTCATGATAACTACATTGGGGAACAGAATGGCAACTTCATGCAAACATGAAACATCTTCCAGATTCTTATAGAACAAATGCCCACTGGTGTCCAAGTTTCCATCACTGTCTATTTATTCACCAGGTATAAGAAAATTAAAGTTGCATGTACAGGGAAACCAGATTTACAAAGATGGGTTAGCCGATTTGGATGGTATGTTAATATTCAAATTTTTGTGTACTGGGCCTTGTCTAAAAGCGAGGGAGAGCGGGGGTATCAGTGGGCTTGGCTTGAGCAGCCTATATTTCCAGAAATGCTTCAGTACTTTCAACTCAAGGCCCTCTCTTTCGTGTATATCCTTTACCTTGATTCTAACCCTCCATTTATGTGAGATTTCTTTTCCTACACTCCTCCTAAAGCAAAATGGACTTGACCCAATTGTAATTTGTCAATTTCAGCCCTGGCTTGTAATTCAAGCTTGGGCCTCAAAAAGATAATAGGTCTTGCTTTCATTCATCATCTGAGCTTTAGAGGCCTTGGTCTATTTTCATTTTTTTCACTCTTTTTTAAGGCGGCATTATTTTGGTCAGACCCATATTTATTGTGGGTCTTTTAATTTTCCTTGGCCAGTCCCTTTGGTTTTTAAGGTTTAAATTTTCTCTTAGATATGGGTTTCAATTCCATAATAAATTTGCTGGCAATCTCTTGTCCAAGAGTGAAGAAGTGTGTATATCTGAACTCGATTAATAATTAGTTAATCACTCAACAAGGGAGGGAAGAATATCATCACTCGTTAATCAAATATTAAATTTCAAAAATAATTTACACAAATAAAGATTAATAAACCTTAATATTGCAAGAAAAAAATTACCTGCCCAAAAAGAATTTCATTCAACTCACTCATGGAAGGCGTTCTCTCAACAGCACGGACCTGAAATTACATCCAATAAAAATTAAAACCTGATTAAAAGCTCCACAGGACCTACTCACATGTGAAAATAAATAAATGTAAGACAGACAAATAAATGCCTGGCCCTTAGATGATTCACTATGCAAAGAATTTAAATACAAGCTATATTGACACTATTGATCACTTCAATTTTTCAGTTACTATGCATTATCAATACATTACACAAACACAAATGATGTTCCCTTACTCACCCTAGCCCCACCCTACCCCTTGCCACTTATGTCTTATGCTACATCCCCAAGCCAGTAGAAGATGGAATCTCCAATATCGTTATCACACTGAAGTCTTACAGATGGGGCCAGTGCAAATGAAGCAACAACCTCATTGACATTCTCTCTTTTTTTTTTTTCTCAATTCCAGGGGAAAAAGTTCAATTCTTGAGTTCATTTTGGTTTTCACCTACATGTTACTTTTCAAATTAATAATAAAGATAATATTTTGATATAGAAAATGATGGCAGAAAAGACTGAAGTTCATTAAGTATACACCTACCTCTAAACCTCCAGGGAAGCAGAAAGAAAGAAGATCTTTGCATTTAAGTGGCAGCTGTTTTTCTGGAGGGTAAACAAACAAGACCTGAAAAAATTGAAAACTGTTCTTGATCCATATATGTTTGAAAATAGCACAAATACTAAAGACAATAAACAATGAAGTTCCAGCAGTCGCTGTAGTAAAACATAAACGGTAATACAATTAGCAATAGTGCTTGTACCATTTGGTAATAAGAATAATAATTAAAAAATTTCAATATCTGCTGATCACAACCTGAGGTTCAATATTGGGTTCTACACGAGATTGACTCTGATAACCAAGAGCACTTCTCAATTTACCAGAGCCTTCAAACTTCCTATCAACATATTGCCTGTTAAGTGCCTGAACATCACAATTAGGATGAAGTCCAACAACCACCATGCTTTCAAACAGTCGTGAGGGCTCCTTCAAAATCTTATGGTCCTGTGAACTCAGATAAGATGGAGTGCATGAGAATAATCAAGGGGCAGTATAGTTCATGAGATGTGCCCTAATATGCAAGAAGGAAACTTATAGATCCTAAAGGTTGATAGTGGCTGCAGAGTGAAGAGCTGAAAGTTCAAATAAAGGATGCAAGGGCAAGGCAACTTCCAATGAAGAAGAGCATTCAATACCAAGTGTTTAATGATGCTACAACAACATGCAACTTAACCTTTCTTTGTAGTTCATACACGGAGGCTGAAGGGCCATGTAAATATGGTATATCTAAGCAGAACATTGTACCATACCATGTATTGCAACTGAAAGTTTGCGGCCCATTGACGCTTCAGACTAGTCAGGATTTCAGGATTGTAATTTGTGTTTTCGACATCAGGAGGGTGTGCAAAGCTTTTTAACATTCGTGCAACTTGATACTGCAGCCTTTGAAGTTGGCTACCACTATTATCATCCTTTGATGACATTGGAGAGTTAACAGCAGCAGCAACAGCTCTAGCCACATCCTCTTTTGTCTGCGTAAAAAATGAAGCACCCCAACTAGGACTGCCTGACCCTTCTTCCTTAGACATTCCAGTCATCTTGTACCTTCATGAACACAGCATTCAATGACTTAAATAAACAAGAATTCCATGCAAGCAACATGAAGTAAAATAAAGTATCTTTCAAAACTAGAGCTACATTAAACCTAAACGCATTCTGAATGATAAAAATAGAGGAGAAGAATTACAGCTAAGAACAATTATACTGATAATCAAGCCAGCAAAAGCTGAAACTCTTCACCAATGACTGTAGTACGCTAACTCAATGGTAAAAGTAAACTTCAATATTATTTGCTATTGATGTCAATTGCTACTCTTGTTGGATCCCGATCAAGCACTCACCACTAGGTGTCATAGGTTGGGACGTTAAGTCAATCAAATACTAATAGGGGTGACACTCACGAAATAAAGCCAACAACTCTTAAAAGACTTAACTGACTAAAAGTGATGTTAGCAACCTATTTTATTGCTAGTAACTTCACCAACTGAACATACAAGAGCAAACAAACAAACAAACAAAGTAGCCTGTACTGGGTCCACAACAAATCGTGTCAAGTCCCATTTTTCCCATGTCTCCCATATAAGCAAAAGCTTCCGCAGAACAAAGAAGCCTGTGTACTAGCAAAATTAATTAATTAATTTAAAAGTCCAAGGAACATCAGCACATACTAATACTATCCAATAACACACTCAATTACCCAGAGCTCTCTACTTCAATTTTCATGTTCTGCTCACCCTGTCCCACTAACTGAGAAACAAAGAGATTAGAGAGACATCAGGACGCCCCAATTGAACAAAACAAAACAAAACACAGCCAAAAAAACATCTAATCGAATAGAAGCACGCCATACAACTCACTAACACAACACCCCAAGTCCAAAAACAGAAACAAAGCAGAAAAAAGACAAGGGTTCGAATTGAAGCGGTAAAAAAGTAAAATTGGCATAGAAGAAAAGGAAAAGTGACCTCGAAATAGCAGGGAAAGATGAGGCTGAAAAGTAGAGAGTTGGGGCGGGCGCTGAGGGGTGAATAAATTGATAAGTAGTTGAGGTGGCGATTGGTTGCAGGGAGAAAATTATATATTATTAAAAATTGATACGGGAATAGAGAAGAAGAAGAAAAGGGGAATAAAATAAAAGGTGAAAATTGAGAAATAATAGAAGGGTGGAACGAAGAGACAGACAAGTTGTGAAAGTGATGGCAGAGAGGAAGAATAGAAGAGAAGAGAAGAGAGGGTGAGTTTCTTATTTTGCACGCTTTTGTTTGGTGCTAGCAATTAGCAATCAGCAATAGCCGCTGCTTCTGCTTCTGCTTTTTGTTACTGCCACCACCCTTCACTCTTCACCACTTCCATCCATCCAAGATTCTCTTTCCTTCCTAACAACACCATCCAATCAATGCTTCTTCATCTCTTCCCTTTCCTTTTCTACACAAATATCATAACTGTGATTTTCTTTTACTCCTTAAACACTTTTAATTGTTTACTCAGTAATAAATTCATAAATAGTACTCTATATCTTCCTGCAACTATTCATTTTTTTTTGTAAAGATTCTGTTCACAAGGATATTTAAAATAGCAAATTAAATATAATCAATCTAGTGTAAGATACAAATTAGTCCCTAATTTTTAGAATATAGAAAAATAAACCAGTCCTTAAATTTAGTGTTAAATTAGTCACTGAAAAACAAAAAATATTTTTAATTAAATTAAACCTATTTATTTGAAAAATATTTATCCACATTGTTTTGTATAGAAATCTGTGTGAATCGAAATTGTAAGATAACAATAAAATAAAAGACATAATTTGTATCCTTTAATTTTTTAAAATTACACATCTTTTTGTAGCTTCAAAGAATGTGGAGGGCAAAATCATTTTGCAAATGCAAACATAGCCCTTTATTATTAATAAATAAGTATATTTTTTAATTTTTAATATTATGATAGTTATTTTAGAACGTCTCACACTACCTTACAAACGTTATAAATGAATTGAAAATTTAAACCACTTACTATTACTTTTAAAATTTCAGGTTAAATATTTATTCATCTTTTAAAGTTACAAAGTATAGAATAACTGTTCCAAATTAGCTATAAATAATGCTAGGAATCATTCCTCAAAGGAAAAAAAATCTAAATTGTTTCCGTAAAAACAACCCTAAAGTATAACGTACTCATTTCTTAGAAATAAATAAATAAAAGCAAAAGTGTCAAAAAAAGACATAGAAGAAAAGATTAAAACTTTTTAAAAACATGAGAAAATATATGTCCAGTTTAACCTAATATTACCAATTATCAATAAAAAAAGTTAGCAAAACACTTTTTTATGTTTGACTAAATTATATTTTATAGGACATAGGTGAGATTTCAACCATCTCTATTAATAGTTGAGAGAGAAAAGGTGTATTAATATTAATTGGAATTTAAGGGGAAAAAAATGGAAAATGTAAACACTTTTTCATCTTAAGCTAACTTTCCATATAAAAAAGGTACCACCAGCAATTGCATCTTGACCAGTGTGTTTCATGTGACAAAACGTGGACCCAATAACGTGTGATGTGTTGTTTAAGATTAGGAAAACAGATTTCTAACTGTTTCCTGAAAATAATTAACTTCTAAATAAAAGTATCTTTTAATAATAATTACCAAATAATTTCTTTTTTATAAAATCTCCAAAATTTAATGATTTGTCACAAGCAAAAGGGACGACACCGTTTCGGAACAGGTAAACGAGAATAGTAGTTCATGTAAAAATGCATGTATAGTGTCTATTGAATTGAAAAACTTCATTGATTGATTGGTAATTCTGACACACACACACACAAAACTAAACCCTATAAATAAAAGTGGGAAATCAAAGGTGGTTGCAACTTGCAATTCAGTGGTTAATTTTGGTAAATGCAAAGACTTTGGTTGTTATTCTTCCCAACCAGACAATGTTGTGGCCAATCGAGGAGATTCAGCAAATAAATGCCTCATTTTCTTTCTCTTCATTAAATCTTAGTAAAGGATGTTTCTGACATTCAATTCTTCTTACATGTTCATTGAAAACTTGCATTGTTATTATTATATCTTAATCGGCGCAAAGCAAAGTCCAATTTTTAGTTAGGAGGAGTGAATGAAAAAGATGAATGGGTTGAATATGATGAAAGTGACCAAACTCTGTTGAACTTTTCTTGGCAGTGGTGGTGATGCTGGTGGGTGGGGCCACGGGGATTATCATCTTCCATGGATGATGACAAAGATTATCTTGGATCCTTTGACTAATATGATTGTAGCTTCACACTGTGCTAACTACAGTGTTGAAGGGGAGCACTATAGTTATACATATGATCATAACAACTTCAGATAAAAGCATCTTTAGATATATTGATTATTATCACAGCAAATTTCAAAGGTTTTGTGAAATTTAATGTCACATACTGGAGATAGATTGAAGAATTTTTATTTTCATAAATTAACATTAATTTGTGTGCGTTATTTTTAGAGGAGTTATAAAAAAAAAACATTTATAAAAGTTGAAGTAATTACTTTCAATATATGTTGGAATTCAAACTAACAACTCAAGCCCAACTTGGAAAACCTACTTTCAATATTAATTTATTTATGGCAGTATTTAAAAAATTTGAAGTTTTGATGCATATTATTATTTAAAATATGCCAGAAAACCTATTTTATTTTGCTGATAATGTTATTATACCTAAATTAAAATTTTAGTAATATTCATCAATATTTATGAATAATAACTTTATATATTAAAAATTATTTTAATAAATTAAAAATATATAGTATATATAAACTGTAATTGAAATCCACTCTAACAAGTTACTGTATATTAATGTTTTATATTGATTTTATTCAGAAAAATAATTGAAATATTATTAAATACTCTTAATTAAATTGGTTTAAACCAATTTGACCAAATTTGAATCGATTTGTCGACTATTTGATTGAGTTTTGTTTTTGTTTTTGTTTTATTTCAGTCATAAAACAACCCTAATGTAAATATTCCAATACCTAGCCTCAATATTGAATGAGAGTAGCTTTGAACATCGAAGAATAAGAATACATTAAAAGGTTAACGACAAATAAAATTGTGACATCAATAAACATCACGTTCTTTGAGAGTGGTGGTGATGCATTGGCAGAAGAAAGCGAGGGGAAAAGGAAAATGGGCACCAATCCACACTTTTCAGCAGTGGAAGCCTCATCTTTTGTCATCATCATCATCTTTCTCACCTCCTTATTACCAGATCCATTTAGGCATCACCGTCCAAAACTCAACCCTAAAATCTCACCACAATAGATCAGAGATTGAGCACGTGCAAAACCCACCAGAAACACTAATAAACACGTGCAACACTGAAGCAAGTGATCCTTCAATAATTGAACATCAACACCAACGCCTCTTTTATATTCTATCAAAGTCAAGTTGAAGCAAGATCAACGCCAACGCTTCCAACCATGGCACAAAATTCCACCCTATTTTCTCCTTACAACATGGGCAAATTCAACCTCTCTCACAGGTAATTCACACACACTTTCCATTACTTCCTTAATTCTCTTAACTCTTTTTCCTTTTCATCCACAAAACATGGGAGATCTGGCCTGTGATTTTATAATCTGAGTTGAGTTTTGTGCAGGGTGGTGTTGGCTCCCATGACCAGATGCAGAGCGTTGAAGGGGATTCCAAACGCAGCACTTGCGGAGTACTACGCTCAAAGATCAACACCAGGTGGATTTCTCATCAGCGAAGGGACCTTGATCTCCCCCACTGCTCCTGGGTACTCTACTAGTCTCTTTCCTTCTCAACAGTACTTAGTTCATTTGTCTTCTTTTCATGTTGCATTTATTGACAGAGCTATGATCAATACCATTTCTTTTTGCTATCACGCACGTGATAGTTGGTGGATTTTTTTTACATAATAAAAAGTTGCTTAAAAAAAGAATTTAGTTTATAAAATTATATTATAATGTTAAATGTATAATTCATTTTTATTTACATTTTTAAGATATTATTGATTATAGGTCTGTGTAACACTAGTCAATTGATAAAACATCTTCTCCTCGTGTTTCAACGCAAAATTTTGGTGCAAATCAAATACGAAACCTTAATGAAATTGAACAGTCAAACGACGCGTCCCACGGCGGAACGAGGTTCCGTGGTCGGAGGTGAGACTCGTCGTGTTTAAAGAAAATACCATTAAATATCTTTAAATTTATTTTAAAAATATAAAATAATACACACGTGTGAGCGTGTGGGTTCGAATTAGATTTTATTTTCATCCATTAATAAATTTTTTAGGTAACTAGGAATGCTCGAACGTAAATTATTTTGTGAATAGAAATCTTATTATTTTAGTTATTCTTATTTTCATTTAAAGGAATCAAAATGAAGAATGATGAGCTCCAACTAATCACCGCAATTGACCACCGTGTTATTTTTAATTGTTTTTCGATAGAAAATTATTATTAAAACCAGAAAAGAAATAAAAGTTTCACTTTGACAATAGCTATGGTTTACTGTTTATTTAGAATTTTTGATTTTTAAAAACTAAAAAAATTGTTTAAAAAAATAAAAAACTAAAAAAAAAAATCCAATATTTTGGTCACATGAAATTATCAAAAATTGCTTTTGTCAACTTTTATTGTATGGATAATATCAAATTTGTTTTTAACTTATTTTTAAAAATATTTTATCAAAATTAATCTCTAAAATTATTTTTTAACTAGTACTTTGTAATTAAATTTATTTATTTTTTTACATTTTATTTTATTTGGATTAGAGGATGGATTTGAGAATATGGAAAGAGATGGATATGAGAGAAAATAAAGATTGTTTGAATTAAAGGATGGATTCGAGAGAATGGAAAAAGATGGATATCAGACAAAAAAAAAGATTATTTAGATTAAAGAAAAGATGATAGGAAAATGAAAAGAAAGTTTTTGAGTGATTTGATAATGTTAAAAAAGGATATTTTAATTGAAGAAATTTGAAGATGATGACCATTTGCCTTCGGTCACTCCTTCCCTGACATTCGGGTTATCAAATCCACTCTATTCGCCTGAAACAAATAAAAAAAGTCACTTGCTCTTCTATCTGAACAGGATTTCATTAGAAACAAACACAAGGTTAAGGTGTGATTAATTAGTGAGTAATACTAATAGATAAGTGGTGGTGTTGATGCAGTTTTCCCCATGTGCCTGGGATATATTCAGATGAACAAGTGGAGGCATGGAGAAATATAATAGATGCTGTGCATGACAAAGGCAGCATTATCTTCTGTCAACTTTGGCATGTTGGCCGTGCGTCTCATCCAGGTAAACTGCCCCTCATTCTCATCCACCAATTTAATTAGTGTTCATTTTGGGCCCTACTCCTTCAGAGTAAAATATTGGCTTTTGAATTATTCATTAGGTTATATGATCCTAGATTCAAATCTTATGGTTAATATTAAAAAATCACCTTAAACAGTAGAATGGATAACTTTCATAGTTGGTAACACCCTCCATTTGTTGACCATAAAGTGATTTTAGAAGCTTTTAGTGTAAAATGTAATTAAAGTTTTATTGGATCATCTGTGTTAAATTTTAATGAACTTTTTGTTATTTACTTAATTCACCGTACGCATTGTCAAATAGTTAATATTTTCTGATTTTGGCATAACTGATTCTAATGAAGTGCAGCGAAAATTATGATTTGTTATTTTCTGCATGTTACATTTACTTTTCAGTTATCTGTTTGTTGAGTTGTTCACTCATTTTGCATTTTCGTTGACTGATTTACCTGTTAAACAGTGTATCAGCCTGGTGGGGCTCCACCCATTTCGTCCACCACCAAGCCCATATCGGCGAGGTGGAGGATTCTCCTTCCTGATGGGTCCTATGGCGTGTACCCAGAGCCTCGTGCACTTAGCACTTCTGAGATACCTGAAATTGTGCAGCATTATCGCCAAGCAGCAATTAATGCGATTCGAGCAGGTTAGTTTCTTCAAATCAACAACAACCAATGTTTTTTTAAACTAATTAGTCGTCTCAATTAAGATGCTGCTGTATGTTAATGTATGTGTTGAAGTGCAAGTGTCTCTGTAGTATTTGGATTGTCATTAATGATGACATTGCCTACATGTATACACCATCTGTTTCCCTTATCTGATCTATTTTCTTGTAATTTCTTGTCATTAAATTCTCTTTACAATAATAGATTCCAATTACTAGTAAAAGAAAAGTGATATTGACTCTAGTTATGTTATAGGCACAAAATGTCACATAATGTCACATAATGTTTTAATGAGCTTAACAATAAGGAGAAATAACTGCACCATACTTCAAAACCTACAAGATTACAGATTTCTACATCAGAAAATTGAGGTGTTGATTAGTTTTTGTGATACTTATTATAGGGGTTTGCCCCTCAAAGTAAAAATTTGTGTCGAAGCTGTGAAATAATGACTTACTGCTTCTAACCAGTTAATGCTATCTTTAAAATTCTCCGGCAGTTTAAATGCAGCAGGATGGATATTAATTAGTCTAGATCTATTGCTGTTAATTCTTTACATTTCTAGCTCGTGCCTGTGGGTTTGTTCAATAGAGCACAATTAAAACTAGTGTTTAACTTTTAGTTTTCAGAAGCTGAAGACAACAGAACATTCATCATTTGTTGTTATTTGGCTATTATAATTATCATGGTATATGATGAAAAGTGACATATGTACAGGTTTTGATGGAATTGAGATTCATGGGGCACATGGATATCTCATTGATCAATTCTTAAAGGATGGAATCAATGATCGAACTGATGAATATGGCGGATCATTAGCAAACCGGTGCAGGTTCCTAATAGAGGTGGTTAAAGCCGTTGTTTCTGCCATTGGGGCAGAAAGAGTTGCTGTCAGGATTTCACCTGCAATTGACCACCTTGATGCCATTGACTCTGACCCACTTGGGCTAGGCTTAGCAGTGGTTGAGAGACTGAACAATTTCCAAAAAGAGCTGGGCAGAAAACTCACTTATCTTCATGTTACCCAGCCTCGATACACAGCTTATGGCCAAACTGAGTCAGGTAGACCTGGCAGTGAAGAGGAGGAAGCTCATTTGATGCAGAACTTGAGAAAGGCTTACGAGGGAACATTCATTTGTAGTGGTGGTTTTACTAGGAAGTTAGGAATGGAAGCTGTAGCACAAGGCCATGCTGACTTGGTATCCTATGGTCGTCTTTTCATTTCCAATCCAGACTTGGTTTTAAGGCTCAAGCTTAATGCACCTTTAACCAGGTATAACAGGAAGACATTTTACACTCAGGACCCTGTTATGGGATACACAGATTATCCATTCATGAGCAAAGAAAGTGAGACAAAGGACCCAAGGGCACGCCTTTAACTTGTAATGTTTTTGTTGGCTTTTTAAATTTTGATAGTCATATGTATAATTGGAGTGTCTCTATCTCTACTGAATGTCTTCATTCTGAAAATTTGTCTGACACTGTATAGCCAAGCCATCCATCTATATTGCCTGGAAGATGCATCTCTGTATTTATTGTTGAATATTACTTTGTATAATAATTTTAATCCAATTTCTCTTAGCTCCTTCTTACATATGGTCTACTGTCTTTTAAATAGTAAATTAAAAAATACTTTTAATAATTTGAATATATAATAAAGATCAAAGTATTAGAATGAAGTATTATGTTGCTGTGAACTCAGAGAAGATGGAGTGTATGAAAGCGATCAAGCCACAGAAAAAAAAAATAATAGATAAACCATTTATTCCTCGTGTTTCAACGCAAAATTGTTTGCTTTTCTACTGTTTTTTTGTTCAATTCAAACACGAAATTAACGAAATTGAAAGATCGAACAACGCATCCCACGTTGGACCGAGGTTCCATGTGGATATCGGTGGTCAGACTGCGCCTCCTTTAGAATGTGATACTTTTTTTTATCAAAAAAATGCAGAGAAAAATAAAATAAAGATATATTAGTATGTAATAAAAACAAATTTTCACGTAATTATTATGCATAGGAGATCAAAATAACAACTACCATGTATTAAATATTTCAATTTTGTATCAAGTAAATAAGTCAAAATAGCTTAATAACTTTCTTGGTAGCAATGTCATTAATCTGAGTAGAAGTAAATAACATTAAATCCCTTAATTAGAGTTTCAAAAATTAAAATGTGTTTGATTAGATTTTCAAATTTTTAAGAACACATTTTAAATTTTAAATAATTTTAAACTAAAAGTAAAAATAAACACCGGAATACATTTTCTTTAGAATTAAAGATGTCCCAAAATATTTTCTATAATTTTAAATGAACTTTAGATGACAAGTATTTATTTTTTATATTGGTAGGGTATGAATATAAAAACATACAAAAATACAAAAGTGCCCTTAAAAGTATTAATTCCAAACACGTGGTAAGTGGATATTGTGTAGAGAATGTGAATGACATGGAAGTCAAACCGCGTGAAAGCGATGCAGAATATTGCTACCATTGATACATATATTCATGGTTGGATGCATCTTTGAACATATGAACACCACCACCTTCATCACTTTCTCTTCTTTCAACAATGGCGGATAACTCCACCCTTTTTTCTCCTTTGAAGATGGCCAGATTCAACCTCTCTCACAGAGTGGTATTGGCTCCCATGACAAGATGCAGAGCGTTGAACGAGATTCCAAACGCTGCTCTTGCTGAGTTCTACGCTCAAAGATCAACTCCAGGTGGATTTCTCATCACTGAAGGGACCTCCATTTCTCCCACTTCTTTTGGGTATCACACTCTACTCATCTCTTCCCATCTTTTATTTTCTCTGGCTTTCACTTTTGAGTTACACTTACCATGATTCGAAATGAATAATTTGAATATCTTCGATGAACATCCTACGTGAAACTCATCAACACCATCATCATTTGATGTTTTCAATTTTACTTTATTTCATAGCTGAAACCACCGTCCGTAATCCATCTTTTATTTTTTTTACTTTGTGAAAGAATTTGTGTTTTTTTAGTTCTTCTACTTTTTTATTGCAATTAATTTTTCATTTGTGTTTTTATACTGAATTTGTGATATATTATGATTTGATGCATCATGCATGATTTGAGCAGTAAGTAGTAACTAATGTGTAAGTGGTGGTGTTGATGCAGGTTTTCTCACGTGCCTGGAATATACACTGATGAACAAGTGGAAGCATGGAGAAATGTCGTGGATGCTGTGCATGCCAAAGGCAGCACAATCTTCTGTCAACTTTGGCATGTTGGCCGTGCATCACATCCAGGTAACATGCATATGCATCTTTAGTGTTCATATTTTAGGATTTGACACAATTTATCGACTTTAACAGGTTACAACAATAAAAATTTCATAGATTTGATTTGACATAATTATGTTTTTTTTTAATGTGAGATTAACTTTTCAGTTATTATCTGTTTTGTTGAATTGCTCACTCACTTTGCACCTTGAATGGATATGAAACAGTGTATCAGCCTGGTGGGGCTGCACCCATTTCCTCCACCAGCAATCCCATATCAGAAAAGTGGAAGGTTATCATGCCAGATGGGTCCCTTGGCGTGTTCACAGAGCCTCGTGCACTTACCACTGCTGAAATATGTGAAGTAGTGGAGCATTATCGCCTATCAGCAATTAATGCAATTCGAGCAGGTTAATTAATTTGTACTTTGTTTCAGTAAAATTTAGCAAGATCTACTTTGTAAAATTGGAATACTATCATTATCAAATTATCAAGGCATTCACGTATAGATATGAAGAAATGTGACATATACTATATACTAGTAAAGGTTTTGATGGAGTCGAGATTCATGGGGCACATGGGTATCTCATTGATCAATTTTTGAAGGATGCAATCAATGATCGTACAGATGAATATGGTGGATCACTAGAAAACCGATGCAGGTTCCTAATGCAGGTGATTGAAGCTGTTGCTTCTGCCATTGGGGCAGAGAGAGTTGCTGTCAGAATATCACCAGCAATTGATCACATGGATGCCTTTGATTCTGACCCACTTGGACTAGGCTTGGAAGTGATTGAGAGACTCAACAAATTCCAGAAAGAAAAAGGCACAAAACTTACTTACCTCCATGTTACTCAGCCCCGATTCACCCTTATGCAAACCGTATCAGAGAACGAAGAGGAGAAAGTTTATATGCAGAAGTGGAGAAAGGCTTATGAAGGAACATTTATGTGCAGTGGTGGTTTTACTAGGGAGTCAGGAATGGAGGCTGTGGCTGAAGGCCACGCTGACTTGGTTTCCTTTGGTCGTCTTTACATCTCCAATCCAGACTTGGTTTCAAGGTTCAAGCTGAATGCACCTCTAACCAAGTACAACAGGAACACCTTTTACACCCATGATCCTGTCATAGGCTACACAGATTATCCTTTCCTGCACAATGAGACTCATACAAATTAAGTAGGCAAGGACAAGCCTTAGTTTTAATTTTTAAATAACTTGAGAATGAATTCATCATGCATACGTTTACTTCTCTGATTCCATACTATCATTGTTAGTGACCGACAAAATTGATCTATTATTTCTGTAATTTGACAAAAAGAAAAAAAGCTTGTTTCAATGAATTATAAATCCTTCACATTCTTATTATTAAACATATGTATTAGACTATTTCATGGCTACTGCATGGTTCTATTAAACAAAACCCATTAAAAACAGACAGCAAGAAACGTCGCCTGAGAGATTCGAACTCTCGCGGGGAAACCCCATGTACTTAGCAGGCACACGCCTTAACCACTCGGCCAAAGCGACGAGTTGCTATAGGGAACTGTAGTTGACATATTGACCTTTATTTATAGATAATCATGGGCCTGCACTATGAAAACATGAACCTTTTTATATTGGCCCATCAATTATTTCTGTTCAAGCCCACAATTATTTTAAAAATATTAGAAAAATAAATAATTTTGCGTCGCCTGAGAGATTCGAACTCTCGGGGAAACCCATGTACTTAGCAGGCACACGCCTTAACCACTCGGCCAAAGCGACCCAGTTTGAAACAAATATCTACTAATATTTATTAATTTAATATATATATTGTTTTTTTTTTTCAATTATAAACCAAGAATCCTATAAACTAAAATGCTATTTGATATTATCTATTATAATAGTAATATATATATATATTTTAAGTTAGAAATACTTCTAGTAATTGATTAAATATATAGAAAGGAATTATTACGCTTTTAATTTCTTTCTGATACACAAAGGAATGATAAAAACAAAATTGTTATTATTTTTTCATCCATTAAACTGATTTGTTTAACCTACTTAACTATATTAACCAGTTTTATACATCGTCTTTTCCTTTTACATCACAATCAAATTAGACAGAAAATTTCCTCTTCTTTCTTCAATTTTCTGGATTTCATATAATCTCTTTCTTTCTTATTAGTGCCTCTACCTCTTTCTTTCACCCCAACCAAACTGTCTTAGGATTTTTTTTTTTCATATGTTAGAATAAGAATATATTAATATTTCATTTGATTTGGAAGATAAAAAATAAGGAGTGAAAACTATATATATTATGCGAATAAGGTGAAAATAAATAAATAAAATAAGATAAAATTTATTAATTATTATTATTATTATTATTATTATTATTATTTATTAATATTATAATAAAATGTTTGCAACATAATATGTTATATAACATAAATATTAGTAAATTATCAAGTAAGTTATATTAGGGTTAGAAATTAAGTTTATATCCTATTTTTGTTAGATTTTGATTTTTTTTTATTCTGATTTTTCTTTATTATATATATATATATATTAAATTAATTTAATTTATAATAAATTAGTTTTAATATTTTTATATATAAATAAATATTTCTAATTTTATAATTTTAATTATTATTAATTATATCTATATATATATATATATATTAATTTATTATATTTATATAAAAGAAATATTTGATAATGTTTCTATGAATATAGAATTATTGTTCTTTTTTTCATATTTGGTAATATTTAAGAGTCTTTTGGATAAGCGTTTTTATAAGAACATTTAAAAATATATATATATATATATATATATATATATATATATATATATATATATATATATATAAGACGATTTTTTTCATAAATATTAATATTTGCTTATTCCTTTACCTTACCAATAGGAGGAAGTAATAGAACAATCGTTTAGAGGGATTAAAAGGAAAATGCTTAACTCCAAAAAGATGGTCTTTTAAAGCTTTGGAAGAATTCGGTAAAAATGGAGAAAATGTCATCCCATTCAACCAGATTCATCTGTATATGAATATATATAAATTTATACTTTTTTATTAATCTATAAAAATAGAAAAATTATAACTAAATGTTAAATTTAAGAATAGAAGAAAATTAAAATCACATATTTTTAAAATTTAAAAATTGAATTATACTAATTTAAAAATATAAAAATCAAAGATAATTTAAAATATATATATATATATATATATATATATAAGCAGCAAAAATATATTTCAAAAAAAATTAAAGTATAATAATACCTAATAAAAATTATTTTCCACATAACTATTGTATTATTATAGGATATTAAAATTAAATCTACCCTATACGTAGTGCTATGCATTAAATATTTTAATTATGTATCAAACAAATAAGCCAAATAACTTAATAACTTTTTTGCCAATAACGTCATTAGTCTGTGAAGAAATAAATAAAATTAAATCCTTTAAATAGTTTCAAATGTTAAAAATGTGTTTGATTATATTTTAATATTTTTAAGAATACATTTTAATTTCTAAAATAATTAAAACTAAAAGTAAAAATAAACATAAGAATACTTTTTTAGGATGAAAGATATCTATCCAACAATATTTTCTATGCAAACGAGAGAATAAGTATTTCATTTTTTTATATTTTTATAAATATAAAAGAAAAACGAGTGAAAACGTTGCAGAGCAGTGCTGCCATTACTATATATATTCATTGTTGGTTGCATCTTTGAACATGTGAACACCACCTTCATCACTTCCTCTTCTTTCAACAATGGCAGCTAACTCCACCCTTTTCTCTCCTTACAAGATGGCCAGATTCAACCTCTCTCACAGGGTCGTATTGGCTCCCATGACACGATGCAGAGCGCTGAATGGGATTCCAAACGCAGCACTTGCTGAGTACTACGCTCAAAGATCAACCCCAGGTGGATTTCTCATCAGCGAAGGGACATTGATCTCCCCCACTGCTCCTGGGTACTCTACTATTTTCTTTTCTTCTTCTTTTCAAAATCATATAAGTTCCTCTTTTTCATGTTGCATTTTCTGCAAAAAATATATCGGTATTATTTAATATTTTTATTATTTATCGTTATTCACCTATAACCCTAAAGGAAATCATTATTATTTTTTAGTTCTTCTACTTCTTTTTTATTGCAGGATTTGAGCAGTGTGTTAGCAGTAGCTAATATGTAAGTGGTGGTGTGATGCAGGTATGCTCACCTGCCTGGAATATACACTGATGAACAAGTGGAAGCATGGAGAAATGTTGTGGACGCTGTGCATGCTAAAGGCAGCATCATCTTCTGTCAACTTTGGCATGTTGGTCGTGCATCACATCCAGGTAACATGCATATTTTAGGTTTTTCTTCAATTCGTTGATTTTAACAGGTTATGACAATAATAATTTCATAGATTTTGCATTGAAACATATGCATGTATACGTATGGAAAAAGGATTCTTAATTTTGCATACAAATATATGTGTGCGTCATGGTTAATTCCATTCCATCCTTAGTCATGTTTATGAGAGGTTCACTATCAGTTACTATCTGTTCTGTTGAATTGTACACTCACTTTACACCTTGAGTTGATATGAAACAGTTTATCAGCCTGGTGGGGTTGCACCCATTTCCTCCACCAGCAATCCCATATCAGAAAAGTGGAAGATTTTCATGCCAGATGGGTCCCCTAGCGTGTTCCCAGAACCTCGTGCACTTACTACCGCTGAAATATCAGAAGTAGTGCAGGATTATCGCCAATCAGCAATTAATGCAATTCGAGCAGGTTAATTAATTTGTACTTTGTTTCACTAACATTTAGTGACATCTTCATGCTCACCAAAAAAAAAAGAGTTGGTAACATCTACTTTTTCAAATTCTCGGATACCATCATTATTAAACTATCAATATATGAAGAAATGTGACATACTATATACTAGTGCAGGCTTTGATGGAGTCGAGATTCATGGGGCACATGGGTATCTCATTGATCAATTTTTGAAGGATGCAATCAATGATCGTACAGATGAGTATGGTGGATCACTAGAAAACCGGTGCAGGTTCCTAATGCAGGTGGTTGAAGCTGTTGCTTCTGCCATTGGGGTAGAAAGAGTTGGTCTCAGAATTTCACCAGCAACTGATAACATGGATGCCGTTGATTCTGACCCACTTGGACTAGGCTTGGCAGTGATTGAGAGACTCAACAAATTCCAGAAAGAAAAGGGCACAAAACTCACTTACCTCCATGTTACTCAGCCTCGATTCACCTTTGAGGAACCCTTATCAAGGAACGAAGAGGATAGAGTTTATATGGAGAAGTGGAGAAAGGGTTATGAGGGAACATTTATGTGCAGTGGTGGCTTTACTAGGGAGTCAGGAATGGAAGCTGTGGCTCAAAGCCATGCTGACTTGGTTTCCTTTGGTCGTCTTTTCATCTCCAATCCAGACTTGGTTTCGAGGTTCAAGCTGAATGCACCTCTAACCAAGTACGACAGGAACACCTTTTACACCCATGATCTTGTCATTGGCTACACAGATTATCCTTTCCTTCCTGCACAATGAGACTGATACAAAAATTAAGTAGCTACATGAGAAGAATTCATCATGCATGGCTTTGATTATCTTATTTAGAATATCACTGATCTTAGTCGCTTATATGTAATTTGAAAAATAATAAGAAGTTTCGATGAAGAAAACAAAAACAATCGTCGCCTGAGAGATTCGAACTCTCGCGGGGAAACCCCATGTACTTAGCAGGCACACGCCTTAACCACTCGGCCAAAGCGACTTCTTGTTATTAATGAAATTCCTAATAGTAATTAACCAAAGATCATTTTGTTTGTGCTAGACTATATTCTATAGCTACAATCATTCAAAATATTTAACTCAATGGATTTGAAAAAAGTGGAAGAAGACATGGGTAAGGTACGTGCATGGCAGCGCATCAGTGATTTGTACACATCTCGGAAACGTTCACCTTTCTCTTTAGACGTCTCTATTTTTGGTTCAAATATCTCTGAAAATGTACCAGTCCTGCAATGCCTCTCTGGGCAACATCTCAGAGACAGGATCGACAAGGACATTTACGTTATGACAATGAAAGTGACACCAATGCCACCCTTTTCTTGAATTTGGTATGAAATGAATGGCCACTGTTGATTTGTCAAACACATCCTTATCCTTGTTAGTATTTTGAGCATCCAAGAAACAAATTATCTAGCAGATTTGCAATACGGTAGAAGGGAACATTGACCAAAAGAATGGTAATTGCTAATTAAGATGATTAAAGTATATATCAAGATCTTCATTCATTCTTAAGCTGACATTTTGCCAGGTTCCCTACAAGACGGGGAATGTAAGGCAACCTCATATATATGTACTGTCTTAATATCCACACTCACACGCAAACAAGACTTGCAGAAAGGTAGCTGTCAAAAATGTCTTTTTCTGCCCCCATTTTCTTTATTTTGTAACGTTGTTGAGGACCACATGTTCTTCGTTTTCAGATTTTGTTAATGTTTTTGGGAAAAAACGTTAATTGTCAATATACATTTAAGATTAACTATAATTAAGATATTATAGAAACATTGGCAGTTTTTTTTACCAAACAGGAAAAAAAAATAAAGTTGATTGCCACAAATTTCTAAATTTCCTAAAATGGATTGAATAGTGTAAGATGATACTTTTTGAAATCATATTTAAAAGCATAATTTTAATTAAAACTGTAATATTTAGTATGATTTTAGTGATAAGCCTTTTTTATTATTATTATTATTAAAAACGTGCTGGTAACACGAATTTCAAATATTTGTATTGAACTAGTGTCATTGAGTTCTATGTTTTTTTAAAAATATATTATTTATTAAATAATTAATTTCGAATTAATTATTAATTTAATAAAAAAAATTCAACCCCTGTAATAAAATCTTTTTTTTTTTTTTGGATCAGTGTGGTAAAAAAGCCAGCATCGGACAACAATTAATTTAATGAAATAAACTTATATATAAGAATTCAGATCAAGTCAAGTGACTTTGAGATTCCTCATCTCCTAACTAATTAAAATAGTCGCAAATAATGGTAAAAGGGAACGTAAAAATAAAAGAAGGAAGCTTAGAAAAATCCACGAGAAAATGACAGATTTTGAATTTTGATGCCTTAAATCCGTATCCACCATTTCAAGGGTCATAAAAAAACAAGAACTCGAACGAATCATCATGCGTCTGAGTAGGAAAGATATTTACAGTTTCTTACAAAAAATACATTATTCTAACTTACTGATGTTATAAAATATAATCTTACAACACAACTCTGAAAACATCAAATATCTTCCTAAATCACAGTCAAACTCTTCTCCATGGCACTTTCCAGTACATGAGGTAATAAATTATTATTATACTTAAATTGATTTTGTGATTACATTGGTCACTTCATCCAGAAACAAGTTGAGACGAGGAAACATTACTCAACGGAACTCTTTAGTTGATGAAAATAGATTGCAGATATTAATGCAACAGAATCAATTTATTGGTTAAGTAGTTGATAATGTATAAAGGTTGGGAAAATGAAAATACAGAACAATATTGACGACAAAACTAACAATGCATTTTTTTTTTGTGTCCAAATACTACATTTTCACTTTTACCTTAAACCCCCTACTGTATCCCTGTTCCTTCGTTACTAAATCCTGCATAAAATCAAATTCACCATGAGTTTGGTTGTTCAATGTTCAGTTACGACAGATTGAACCAGAATTAAAAATAACAACTACCAGAAAGAGATTTGAGTTTAGGTCATTACCAATAATCACGCATGCAAAATAGAGCACTTGAAATAATATCTTTTGCTGTAAAAGAAGATACTCGAAAGATGCCTATGTTCCTCCTTTACATTCAAACAAAAAGTAGGTCCTTGTTATCTAGAAAAAAGGTTGACATTCACATGCACCAATCCTAGCTCAAATTCTGTCGTTTATGGCTATAGGTGAGAAAAATCTATCCATGTTCAATCATATTGAAACAATTCAATGGCCATGGTAAAAAGAGGTCCATCCATACCCTCCCCTCAAATTATATATAATGTAACCAACCAAGCACCTTATCAATACTGCTTCAGAGTTAAGGTGAGAAGATTCCCATCTACAATAACTAATGATTCTCATTATCTCCCTCGTTTTTTCTCTTTTCTCCTTCTCCCATGCTTCTGTCCTGGATTTCTGTGTGGCAGATCATGCAGGTCCTATTGGCCCTGCAGGATACTCCTGCAAGAAGCCTTCGAAGGTCACAGCAGATGATTTTGCTTTCAGTGGCCTTGGCATTGCTGGTAACACCTCTAACATTATCAAAGCTGCAGTGACCCCCGCATTTGATGCTCAGTTTCCTGGTGTCAATGGCCTTGGCATATCCGCAGCCCGTCTGGACTTAGCAGCAGGGGGAGTTATACCACTGCACACTCATCCTGGAGCTTCAGAACTACTTGTTGTAGTACAAGGGAGCATCTTGGCAGGATTCATTTCATCTGACAACACTGTCTACCTCAAAAATCTTAAGAAGGGGGATGTTATGGTATTCCCTCAAGGCTTGTTGCACTTCCAAATCAATGCAGGTGGTTCGTCAGCCCTGGCTATTGTAAGCTTCAGTAGCTCCAATCCTGGTCTGCAAATTCTGGACTTTGCTTTGTTCAAGAGTAATTTCCCCACACCATTGATAGTGCAAACCACTTTCCTTGATGCTGCTCTGGTGAAGAAGCTTAAGGGTGTTCTTGGAGGTTCAGGCTAAACCATGGGAAGTTATCCATGAAAGAGACTGAACTCAAGCATGTTGTAACTCATGTTTAAGTTTATTTATCACCTTGGTCTACATTTAGGATTTAGTATGCATGTGTAGTTAGGACTCTGCATCTTGTCATGATTTCATTGTTGTTGTCATTTTAATTGTTCTCAAGTTTCAGTTGAAGGCAGATGATTTCGTACTTGAGATGAATTTAATATGTGGCCCCCTTTCTCGGGTATATTTTTATGAGTGGTGATTGAAAAACTTTCTTTTAATTACCCACTTGCAGCCGTAATCCAACAATCTAAAAATTTAACCTTGGTTTTTCAAAATATTCATGAATCCCACTTCTTACTAAGTACAGAATGTCTTACAAATATTTATACAATAATAAGGAATGTTTTGTTACCATAGTTCTGTCATATTATTCTAAACTTGCTAGGATCTTAATATTATTTTAAATAAAGCACATGCTCTGTCAACTCACTATGTAAACAGAAATTAACTGTTTTTTTTCAATGTATTTTATGGATATGTCCAACCGGGGTGATGTATTAGACACAAATAATTGAGTGTTTTTTTTTTATATATAAAATTTATGTAAGGACTTCAACTTCATTTAGTGAACTCCACGTGAGTTTCACACAATAATAAACAATATATTAAAGAGTACATTCCTGGTATTACTCTTCTAAAGAAACCTATTTAAAAAATCAATAAAACTAGATTTCTATTTTTTAATCTTATTGTACAACAAGAATACAACTTATTAAGTCCCAACCCCATTTCTTGCTATTAGTACAAGCAATGAATAAAATATAATCCAGAAAGAAAGAAAAAATGATTCATGTGTGGTTAGAGATGAGGTTTGCTTAGAAAGGTACGGTGTTTAATTTCTATTGCATGTATTGACAGTGGTATACTCTGGCCTGTCTCTGCTTGATCCTTAAATTTAATACTGCTGCTAGGAATCTCAGTTTCTTATCCCCCACCTTGGCTTCCTGTAATCTTATCCCAATAGCCAGGAAATCAACAGCACTTCACCAGACAGCCCTGCATATTGCTATCTCCTCTAGATAGAAGTGTGGAAAATATCAGACAGCCAGTGTCTTTTGATTGCAGCTCTGCCATGCCATCATTGGACAGACAACCTTGAGAGCAGTCTCCACTGCTATCTTGTTTCACAAATACATCCTGGCAGAGGATTTGAATAAAAACTTTCCTCCAGTTTTGGAAATTCTCCACGTTCCCTTGGATATGGGGCACCAATTCGGTCTCCATGCAGCTCTTTTACCTTGGAGCTGAACACTTTCCATGAAATTTTTCCTTCATCCAACTGATCAACAAGGTTAACAAAATTCATCCTGCATCAACCATTAAATCAACTATAGTGAGAATGAAGAAGAATCAGTCGACACAGATCTAAAATGAACATGACCAAATCATCAGGGTTGAAGTAATTAATAAAAAATGGTTAGGAGTATATTACTTGTCTGGATTGATTGTCTTCTTGAAGTTTTCAAAGCGCCTATGACCTTGTACGGCCTTTGCCATATTTCCATCATAAGTGTAAAGAAAAACATCGCTCTTTAGGGCCACAACATAGTCTATACCAGCCAACATGTTTTGATGATTCTTGAAAGGATTCAACTCTTCTTCAGAGGACAGAGAGAAATGAGAGAAGATGTTGGGGAAATCGTCCTTGAGATATTTCATACTCCCTCTTCCATATGCTTCTCCAGCTACCAGATAAATCCTGGTGTGTGAGGGAAAACCCAATGCTTTAAGTAATAAGGAAGTTTCCCGTGGTGTTAATGGACAGCCTCCAAGCAATCTCCTCTCAGTCCCATTAATCTCCTTCTCCTTCCAGTGACTGACTTCATATCGCATCTGTCTCAGTTCTTCGTCTTCTTCTGCAGTCAAATTGTGACTGCAGCCCGTAAATGCAAGCATATCCTTCTCATATCTATAACAAATTGCAATAGTGTAAGGTTAGAAGCATAATATTTATTAAAAAAAAATTACAGGAATACAAATATCTTTTGAGTTGAGATCATCAACTGAGTCCAAAACTAGGGCAATGCCTCTGATTCTTATTCCATGATACAACTTATGGAATCTGATTCAATGTAACAGTAACTTAAAGTATAAGTGCATGTCATATGCAAAAATATGGAAGCAGTCCTAAACATCTGATTCAATCTGAAATGGACATTAATGACTACTTAATCAAACAGCCAAAAACTGTAGGGTCCAAATACTTGACTTTCTATAGAAAAGAATTTCAATATGGAAGCAACTCTAAAGTTGTACAAAATCTGGCCAAGTCCAAAATTTTCATGATCAAAATGAAGAAAACTTTCATGTCAATGGGTCCTTCATCCAGAAGCATGTTATTTTACATTGATCTAATAGCAATTGGTAAGCAACTTGGAAGAACCATACAACAAAAGCTAACCTATGCAGTTAGACAACCCAGGGCCTTATAAATCCCACAAAAAAAATCTCATACCTACATTGAGGGACTCAAATCCCATGCCTTCCGATTAGATCCTAACCCCCACCCCAAACCCTTTCTTTGAAATTATCTCCAACAAATTCAGATGAATGCATACCAACAAAAAGTACGAGAGAAGAAGAAAAAGATACATCCTTAATATTTGTATCAAAATATTAAATAGTAACTTGCCTCAAATGAAGGGCAAGATATGAACTTCCATTTTGTTGCATTCTAGATACAAGTGTGTTTCCAAATTCTTCAATTGGAGCTGAATATTTCAATGCTCTGTAATTTACACGGCATCTTAATTTCTGTATGGAATGTGGAATGTCATTATTAGCAAGCCTGGAATCTGTGTGAGTGAAATATATCATTTTGTGCTGCTTTAGGAGGGGAAGAACCTCAGTCTTATAATAAGGAACCTGTAAATAAATATTAAGTATATATTTTACGATGCTTATTAGAAACATAATGAAAAAGGGACACAATGATATTGTGTGAATAAAATTCAAACATTATGACACATGCGATTCAAAATGACATTTGATAGTGATGTTTTTCATGATCTTAAAAACTCGGTGGCCTACCAAAAAGACAAGGTGGTCCCTCAATAAGAAAGCAAAAATCAATCAATCAGAGACATATTATTCCAAATTTGAAAACGAAGTAATTTGAGTTGACAAGTTTTGTGGACCTTGGACCAAGATATTGGAGTTTTTGGAAAAGGCTCAATTCCAGCATAGGCAGGAGGTAATTTCTCAACTATGTGGACATCATCCTTCAGCATATGAATAAAATGCTTCCAATCAAACAAATCTTTGAAGCCACTGCGAATATATTAAACAAATTAAGCTGTAGACCATAAAAAGTATTCAACAGTGATAACTTGAAAAGCTATAGCGAGAATATATTAATAAAGAGATTAGGAAAACCAGTCAGATCTTTCTGCCAACAATACCCTAACTCTGAATCTTATATCAATTCATACAGATAATCAGCACTGATTGAAACTGAATATTGTTTTTGGCTTGCAAGGAATAAGGACACAGACATTTGTCAAGCAATCCAATTATCTAACTGCATGGTAGGAAAGGGAAAGGAAAAAACCTGTCATCAGCCCAGTAGGAGGTGTGATCGAGTGAGGGAAGAACAAGCGTTGCCTTCATAATCTTAGCAACAGCAACCATATCACATATCTGCAATCAAATGTATGTTGAGAAATTAAGTTATTGCAGCCTAACTTTATATCATATACCATCAGAAATCAACACAGCCAGACCCCAAATCTCATCTGATTCAGACCACCATTTGCATTCACCACAATGTAGCCATTGATCTTTGCATCTAGCTCTGGCAAAAGAGAATGTGGAAAGTGAGAAGAGAAAAATCTTGGAATAATCCATTGCATGACAAGAGAAAGGAATATACTTGATAATAAAACTTCATACTTTTATGATTACTTGGAAGATCTATGCATTGGGTGAAATTGTCACTGTTGGGCTTAGACCAGATCTCTGAATCCTGAATAAAAAACAGATTTATATAAACGAAAAGGCAAATACATATTTGAACAGGCCTACATATTACCACTTTTTTCATTTCATGTACTTCCTTGTATTATTTGAGAACCAAACAAAATTAAGTCAATTAACCAGAGATACAGATTTGAGACTTACGTCAGCCATGGCAGTATGGCCTCCACCTACTCCCGTTGCTAATGTTTTTAACGTTCGTTCAACATCACTTGCTCCCCCCCTATATGCATAACCAAGGGAGCTTTTGTCCATTAGATTTAGACTAGCAATGGAGTCAGGTAGTTCCTGATAAAATGGTAAAATAATTTACTATGTAAGATAAGAGATGCAAACACCACCCCCACACCCCACAAATAATAATATACAGTATCACAAAAGGATGCAACCACCTAGTTGTGAAATGAGATCATGATATATCTACCTACTTCTTAATCTCTACATAGACTATTTTCACAAGGTGGTACAATAACACTAGCTGTCATTGGTAAATAAACAGCACCGCATTAAAAATTAAAACTAAACTCAATTGAGTAATCCACTTCATTTAAGTTGTGTTAAAATGTGGGACATAAATGATACAATATTCTGTAACAGTTAAGAAAGTGGGGCATTCCCGCTGCTATTCCAAACAACCCAGATGCTTACATAAAACCAGATAGTTCCAAACACACAAATAAATTACCAATACTCACAAAATAACGCATATAAAAAAACACAATTGCCCAGTTTTAGAACAAGTTGCAAATTAAAAAGCTGAATAAGAAACCCAAATCTTTCGAAAATATACTTTTCGCAACTGAAAAAAAAAAGGTTTCCTATAAATCACACCAAAATTTTAAAAGCAAATATCAACCTGATTTTTAAATCAGATGAAACAAAATCTATTTTAAGGAACTAACGCCAACTTTCTACCGCAACAAAGATAGATCCACAATAAGCATAATAAAATAAACAAAGTCTCGACTCAAAGACAAACTTATAAACACTATAAAATCTGTTCCTGCCAAAGCTAAATTTTGACATCGTCCTCCTAAAACTTGAAGAACCTTCATCACAGAGAGAACATAACAATCACATGATTAAAGAATGTTGATGAACAGGTGGCGGTGGCAGAGTAAGATAGATGCTAACTAACCAACCTTATCGGATTGAGCTCTTTCAATGGCAGATCCAAGCCAGCCAGTGGCACATATCTTGAGAACACCCATGAAGATGCACAACCCACAGAAAACCAAGAACATCCAGTGCCCAATTTTCTTCCTTTCCCTAAACCCCAAATCCTCAACGATGGAAGCAAGGGGCTTCTTCAACAGCCCCCTCACATGCACTCTCTGGTTCACGTGATGGTGGCTGTGCCTCCCCACCGGAACACTCTCCGACGCCTCTTCCGATCTGGGCGAGTTTATATTGAGCTCAACCTCGCCGGCGCCGCCGCTTCCGCCACCGACGCCGCCGTTGGAGTTGGTGCCGTCGGTGTTGCGTTTAAAGGAGTGGGCGCGGCGAGTCATTGGACCCGAGAAACGCGGGCTGTTGACTCGCTGGGACACCCCATCGGAAGTGTTATGATGGTGATTCGATTCGGAGAATATCGCCATTAGAGTCTCACCCAAAGCTTTTTCTGCACTTGTATTTGTACTTGCAGTAGTTGTATTATACTTCTACTACTAATAATAATAATTCATTCTCTCTCTCCCTTCTTTATTACGCGTCCCAAAACTCGGGGCATATACACTGCTTCAAAGGTTGTTCCTAGTCATTGTTTTCTCGTTGGAAAAGAAAATTACAAAAATAAAAATCTCAATTTTAAGGAGGGTGATGATTCGTGTTCGTAATCATTCACATGACTGCTTCTCTATTTAAGGGAAGGTGGTGGTTGTGTTCTCTGTGTATTTATAATTAACTAATAATGAGTTACTAATAATATGTGTTATTATAATTTTAAAATATTAAACTTCTAATAATTACAGATTTATTGTATTTCATCACCCTACCCTTACAACTAATTTTAACGAGGAAAAAAAGATTAGTTAGTTTTATTATTTAAATTAAATTCATCTTAATTTATTGTTTTATATCTTAAAATCAATATTTTTTTCTCGTAATTAATTAATATTTATAGAGAATATTATAATTTTCCATTTTCTCTGATCCTAATAAGGAAAAAAGATTTTGTCACATTCATATTTAATAATATTGATTTTATTTTAATAATAATAATAACAATAATATATGAAAAGATATTTAATGTACTGCATAATTAAAATTAAAAAAGGAAAAAAAATTACTTCTCAACAATGAAATTTCTTTTTTATCTTTGGTGTTTTACTTTGTGGATAAAAGGAGTATTTAATATTGTCGGTGAAGAATGAAGAGTGAAGAATGAAGAGTGAAAAATATAAAACCTAAGAGACAAAATAATTTTGAAGCTAACAGGCTGTAATTGACAACCATTAATGCATTCTTAATCTGATTCTGAAATTATGAAGGTGGTGATGTTAGCTGGATAAAGCTTTCACACACGCAAACACTTGGTGTGCCTGGAATAATCGACATGCATTTACACATTTTCACCAATAACTATTATTGTCTTTTATAAGCCATGTGATTCAAATTTTACACCCAATTTTTTGTCTTACTGTGTGCTTCATTTCAAGATGAATTCACACAAAAGAGTGTAAATTTGTGATGACCCAGATTAACTAGTAAATTTTATATTCACGTGTTAAAAAAAATGCATAAAAGTCAAACCTTGTCACACTGGCATAGGACAAATCATAAGTGCCCCACCAAACTCTTTCCGACCAAGCACTTGTCTTATTTTATACTATTTAACGTGAGATCAACTCAGTAAGAACTACCCATTTCTATAAAATTTTTAGCATCTCCCTGTTCAATTAATAATTCATAAGTGCCTTTTTTGTGTTAAAAATTATTATATTTTAATTTAAATTCAAACATGAAACAAACTTAACTAACGTAGAGAATGACATTGAAGTCTAGGATTACGGCTGAATATGTAGACTTGGTCCAGTTATTTATAAGTAATATTTTTTAAATTAATAAAATTTTCATTTTTTTATTTCTATTTGAATATGTAGATTGGTTGTTTAATAATTTCTATCCATAGTATATCATTCAAAAATTATTAATTATTAATATTTGTCTAGTTAAAAAAAATAAGTAAATATTAATATATGTAAAGTTATCGCAAAAAAATTGATATGGGTAAGTTTAGGACTAGATTATAATTTTAGTTATTTATTTTTTTATATTCAATTTAGATATTTATCTTTAAAAAGTTTAATTTATTATTTTATATTTCTAAAATAAATAAATAAATATTATCATTGGTTTAAAATTAATTCTATTTACAGTTTAAAATTTACGTTTTAAATTGTCTCAAAATATGTTTTTTTAAAACAATTTTTTATTATTGTTACTGAATGCATAAATAGTACTCTATATTATATGATTATATAAAGGAATTTATTATTATTATTATTATTATTATTATTATTATTATTATTATTATTGTATCATAGTTTAATGAAATATTTCTTTTATCAAGGAAAAACAATTTAATTATTTAGTAAAGCACATACTTCTTCACTAGTAATCGTATTTTTTACAGTTTAATTTCTTAAAATTAAAATCCTTCTTTTAATAATAATAAAATATTATATTTTTATATAATAAAAGTACTACAGTATTATTCATATGTAATAAGCAATATATTAAAATAAAATAATATAATAACAAAATTTATGGATGCATAACAAAAAGACCTAAGTTTTTATGTTTCTATTAATAGATAATAAAATTTTATTTTTCTTTTTATCTTTATTTACAATCTCATCATTTTTTTCAAAGTTAACTTCATCTTTTTGGCATCAAAATCTTATTCGATGAGTTTATTAAAAAAAATCAAATAAAATTAAAAATTTAATAATTTCATTTAATTTAGGACATAAACATAGTTGTATCAGTATAAAATTTTCGATTTATTTTATAAAATAATAATATTTTAAAAAATAATAACATTTTATTAATATATATATATATATATATTATAAATAAAAATATAATTTTAAATTATTAAATTATTAAAAAAGTGAATAATAATTAAAAATAAATCTTTAAACTTTTGTTTTAAAACGATTTTTTTTATAATTTATACATCAAATTATTTATATTTAAAATATTTTTTTTTGTTATTATAGTTTATTTTGTATATTTTATATAAATATATTATAATTTTTTAAAATTTTCAATTAAATAAAAAGTATTTATAACTTTACATAAAAGGTAAACAAATTATTTAAAATAAATTCAGATCATATATACTCAATTAATAGAATATATTTTATCAAATAAAAATAATGAAATAGGTGAAGTTCAGTGAGATGAATGATTTTAGTTGATTAATCTGTTTTGTCTTGTTTAATTTATTAATTCAATAAATCATTAGTTTATTAATTTTATAGGTTAAAAATAAGATAAGATGAGACGGATTGACTTAATTAGTTTTAAAAATATATTTATATAATAAAAAAAAATTTTAATTATCATTTTTTTATGTGATGTTATTGAAATAATAAATACATTATAATATTATAATTTAAATTATTAATTAATTAAATTTAAATACTAATTATAATTAGTCATTTTAATATATAAATATAATTTTTTTATTTAATAAAAATATTAATTAATAAATAAAAATTTAAAAATTATTAATATAATTAAAAATATATTCCTTTTAAAATTTATTAAAAAATATTATTCACGAACTTACTCGTTGGCTCGTGAACTCATCTGGGAACAAAATGAAGTCTATGGGGATGGAACAAAATGAAGTCTATAGCGTGTCTTTGATATAACGGAACAATTTATCTTAACCCATTTAAAAAAAAAAAAAAAAATGGATCGCATCATTTTGTAATCTCTACAAAAAACTGATTGACTTATTTTACAATCTGCGCACCTTTCATCTTTTAGTATTTAAAATATTTTTACTATCCTTGTCATAAATAAAATAAAAGATCAAATGTATATATATATATATATATATATATATATATTATAAAAATAAATAATTTTTTATTTTTCTGATTTTGTTTATAATGTAACAATTAAAATGAATTATTATATTAAAAAAATTCATATTTGTATTAAAACAGGACTTATTATATATATATATATATTTAATTATATATTAACTTTAAAAATATTAATTTATTATTCAATTATAATTTTCATAATAATATTTTACACTGGCTTTCATAATAATTTTCATAATAATATCACTATTTTAACATAAAAAGTTTTGCAAAATTTAAAATACTAGGTAGAAATATTATGGCTAATCATATGTGCTTTTAGTTACTATAAAATGAGTGAGTTTTGGGGTAGGAAAATTAAACCTGAAAAACCCGAGGCCATTGTGTCTTTTATCTTCTTCGAATATCATCCTTTCTTTCTATGTATGTTGTTTTTGTTTAACTACTAAAGTATAAGAGTATAATTTTAACAAACCCTCATGCAATGAATGGATCTAAAATCTGATGTCTCATATGAATTAGACTTTGGACTTGAGATATGTTGGGCCAAGAGGCCCAATAATAGGCAGGAAGTTGATTGACTAGCCGAGCCTATCCACCGTCATCCACTATTATTGAAATTTAAATATAATTCAAGTTAGCTATTTTTGTGAAAAATAATTACTATAAATAATTTATAAAAATAAAAAATGAAAACAGTATAAAAAAATCATAAAAATATATTTTTTCCTGTTTAATAATTTAAAAATGATTTGAAAACACAAAATCCGTTTTATCTATAAATAGTTTGCATAAATTGATAGTAAACTTGGTGTGAGAAGGAATGAAAGAAGAGGGATGTGGCGGGAAAGAGAGAAGAAGAAGCAGAGTATAGAGCATGGAGAAGGAGGAGGAGGAGGAGGAGAAGGAGAAGAAGAAGGAGGAGAAGGAGAGAAGTTTGTATGATTGTATGAATGATGAATCGCCGCCGACATGGGAGTGGATAAAATAATATTAAGCTCTTTCTTTGAGTTTCCAAATCCGTTGGGATGAAGGTTTGACACGAAGGAAAGGCCCACCAAGCAACCCTTTATATTCCCCATCTTTCTCTCTTTCTCTTTCTCTTTCTGCCTCGCGTGGCAACCATTCACCAAAGTGCGCAATGCTACCATTCAACCAAACTACCCTAAACTCCTAAACCCCTCAATCACACTCCTCAGGCTCAGCCCACCCCATCCACACCACCGACCACCGTCTTCTTCCTTCTCCCAAGCCATGACCAACACTCATCCAATTCCGGATTCTGATCCTCCAAACCTCGATGGGGATTCCGATTCTGACATTGACGCCCTTATCAATGCTCTTTTGGAACCTAACCCCCAATCCTCCCTTCTTGATCACCTCCACGGATCCACCTCTGACGTCAAAGAATCATCCCTCAAGAGAGGATTCCACGCCGATGATTCTTCCCACACTCAAATTCCCCTCAAACGCGGTCGTATTCACAATGTCACACACCACCATGATCATCTCCACGCCGCCTTTCAAATTCAAAACCCTACCCTTCCTCCTCCTCCTCCTCCTCTTCCTCTCTCCCAGCCCCTGCCGCCTGCAGCTATCAATGGAGTCTCTCAAGCCGTCGAAGGGCCAAGGAAACGCCCCGTGTTTGACTCCGATTTTCTATCCAGAGCTCTCCGTGAAGCTGAATCTGTCTTTCCGGAGGATTCAGCCGATAACGGCGTTAACTTTGACGGCGAGCCTGGGAATTTTAAAGGACCTTATCTATCGCTTAATGATTATCGGAGGATTCGGAACATGGAACGTTTCCGACAGATAGCCAAGGAAAGCGCCACTCACTATGCTCGATTCACCTCGGAGGAGACCCCAGACGAAAGGCCGTCGTCTTCTACTGCGCCTCTGGAAATCGATGATTCCACATCTCCGTTTTCGATCTCTGTGAAGGCCATCAAAGAGCGAGCGGCGAAAAAGAAGGGGCGTGATGCATGGGTTGCGAAGAATCAACAAAGGGAGAAAAGGGTCTTGGTTCCCTCTTTGCAAGAACTGTGTCTCAAAATTCTGGCGGATAATGCCGATGCCATGGTTTCTCTTGAGGGTGTTCCGGATGAGTTGAGGCACAAGCTGTGCAAACTTCTATGTGACTCGAGAAAGATGAACAATCACTTTCTGGAACTTCTTCTCAGTGGGTCTCCCACGGAGATTCGCCTCGGAGATTGCTCGTGGTTGACGGAGGAACAGTTCGCCAAATGTTTTCATTCGTGTGACACTGGAAGATTGGAGGTGTGTTTGTTGTTCAAATCGATTTGACAGGCATCAGTATTTCATATATGACAATATACCTCTACTGCCCTAAAATGTCAATTTTAACTTTTTATAGAATGTTGGATTTCATTTAGCATGTCAGCTTTTTTAATAGGGTAGTTTATACTTTGTGTATTAAATTTTATGTGTATAAATTATTTCAAGGTTTTCTGTTGGTCTCTTGTTTAATTCTCCTTTGCATGCTCTACCTGCCTTTTGAGGATATGACTAGTAACTTCATTCATGGTGATCTCAATTCTGATTATATATATTTACTTGTCGAGTAGGTGCTGCAACTTGACCAGTGTGGAAGGTGTATACCTGATTATGCATTACTTGATAGACGGTCACAAAGGTGGTTGCCGAGACTAATTAGTCTGTCCCTAAGTGGTGCATGCCGTCTCTCAGACAAGGGGTTGCAAATGCTAGTTTCTTCTGCCCCAGTACTAAGATCAATTAATTTAAGCCAGTGCTCCCTTCTCTCATCTTTCAGTGTTACTATTTTGGCCCATTCGTTGGGATCTCTATTGAAAGAGTTATATCTTGATGATTGCCTAACTATCGATGCTGCACAAATTGTGCCGGGATTGAAGAAACTTGAACATTTAGAAGTCTTGTCATTGGCTGGCATTCAAACTGTCTCTGATGAGTTTATCCGGGATTACATCACTGCACGTGGTCACAACATGAAGGAGCTTGTTTTAAAGGACTGTAGGTAAGTTCCGTGTGAACTCTTAACTGAAGAAGCTTTGATTTGTGCTTGAATCAGTTAAAGTTTGATTAACGATTGACCACTTTTTGATCATGGATTAATCTTTATTTCTGACCTTGGTTAACTGTTAGTCACTCTTTGAGAATGACAACCATAATTTATTAATCTATTAGTTTTTCTAATTTGGTATTATGTTTGCTAGGAAATCTCAATTTCTGATTTTCTTGTTATCTTTCACTGCTTTACACTCTTGTTTGTTTACGCATTTATGCTTCTTAATGTGCAGAAAATTAACCAATGCATCAATAAAAGTCATTGCTGAGCACTGTCCTGGGTTGTTTGCACTCGATCTTATGTATTTGGACAACTTGACGGATTTATCCATGGGATATCTTACAAATAGCTGTCGAGTACTTCATACATTGAAACTCTGCCGTAATCCATTCAGGTATTTTCTTGTTTTCTGCTATTTCTATTTCTCATTATAGATATGCACTTCGCTTTTGTTGGTTGAAAATTGTGTCTCATTATAAGTCTGCTGTTAATCTGTCTGAATTTTGCAAGATAGATTCTTTTATAGCAGGTTACAGCTTTTAAATAAGATGATTATCTTTGTTTCTGCAATAATCTGAATTCTATGTAGGAGTGAATGATAATTCCAATTCGTTTTGATTATAGCTCTGATTCGAGACTTAAGTCAAATTTTAAAAGTTTGTGATTTCAAAACTGTTTGAACACTATAGTCTATAATTACATCAATTGGTAATGATTTTGTAGCATTTGGAGTGTCACGAGTATTTTCTCGTATGATTGACACGTTCCTTGTTATCAAGAGATTTGAGAAAACTCTAATATGTATCTCTTATTATGACCATTTATGCATGATACAATTGGTGTGTCTTAGGATGGTGATCAAGAGATGATTTTTAAATTCTTGTCGATGATTAAATTTAACACAATTTTTTCTCTACTACAGTGATGAAGCAATTGCCGCATTTTTGGAGATTGCTGGAGATTCTTTAAAAGAACTTTCTCTTAATAATATTAAGGAGGTGCGTTACTATATTTCCTTGTTGACTTTTCCTCAATTGGCTCATGAGATTATGGATGCATATGCCACAGTTTAAACACTGGGCCCCTTGTTAATCTTAAGCATTTTGGCTGTGATGACCAACAGATTCCTATTTATAATGTTTTATTTTCTGACTGTATGGCACATTTGGTTTAATGCAGGTTGGGCACCATACAGCCTTATCACTTGCTAGTCATGCAAAAAATTTGCATAGTCTAGATCTGTCTTGGTGCCGAAATATGACAGACAATGAGTTGGGTTTGATTGTGGATAGCTGCTTCTCACTGAGGTTGCTTAAACTGTTTGGATGCTCACTGGTAAATATCTTTCATTTAACCGACTTTAAAGGCAATTCTCTGATGAATCTCAAGTGGTCATGGAAAAATATAAAAAATTTGATGATTTTGTAGGAAAGGTGTAAAGGTAACATGTATTTTTGTAGGTAACAGATGCTTTTCTGAATGGGCACTCAAACCCAGAGATTCAGATCCTTGGATTGAAGATGTCTCCTTTATTGCAAAATGTCAGAGTGTCTAATACCTGTCAAGGTCCTTTGCGTTATTCACCAGTCTCGGTAGATTTGATATATATAGATGAGAATTAAAAAAGGAGCACATGGTTATTTCTAGTTAAAGCAGAGATAACTTTCTGCCAACATGGTGCTGACAAGAGGCAAGAAAACAGTGTTGCCCGATTTACCTTTCGGTTTAATGATATGCCATTGTTGTTGCAAAAATTCAAACCCAAACATACAGACTATTCATATTCATTATGTACAGTGGATATGTAAAGTTGACTGAGACAGGTAATAAATTTCTTTCCTGAAAGGAAAGAAAACTTCAACCCAGTTTGTCTACTACAATACTTTCTGCGAAATGGGATTGAAAACAAGTTATAGAATTCTGTACGGGATCAAAAGGGATCAGGATTAGCAAAAAAAGGTTCTATTGCTGTAATTTTAAAGCAACAATTAAAAGAGAAGATTAAATATATATATTTTTTATCAACTGGGCTTTATTTTTTATAATAAAGAATTAATTAGTTATTAAATTCCTAAAAATATACGATTTTAATTTTGTTTTAATTTAACAGAATTAATAAAAGAATTAAATATAACTTCATAGTTTTTTATACTTAAATTTTTTATTTAATAATATTTTTTTATAAAAATGATAAAATTGAATTATATATTTTTTAAAAGTTTGAAGATTAATTAATTGGTTTTTAGTTATAAAACTAAAACTAAATTTGAAGAAAAGATTAAGAAAAGAAAAATTAAACCTAAAAAATATTTTCGTTAATGACTGGAACCCGAAACCAGTGAGGGCTCGTAAATAATAATAATATAATAAATAAATAAAACAAAGATTTTTAGTAACTTCTGTATATACTGAATTTTGTTAACAACGGTGTTTTTCTAAATTTATAACACAGTAAATTTATTACATATTATTTTTAGAAAGAATAAAAAAGTAATTGATATATTTTATATTTATAAAATTTGTATCAATAACAAATCGAAATATATTAATATAATAATTATATATTATTTTAAAAAATAAAAATAATTTATATATTTTATATTTATAAAATTTGTATTAATAGTAAATCAAAATATATTAATATAATAATTTGTAAAAATTTATATATGTATAACTTTACTAATGTATTGATGAATATTTTAGATAAAATAATTTATTTATTAATTAATTATGATAAAATAATGATAATGAGTAATGATATGATATTGAGTGGTTATAATTTATGATCAATAAATAATTATAATTTATAATTGTAACATTAATAAATCAAAATATATTAATATAACAAACAAAAATAAGTTGTAGTGTTTTTTTTTATAAGAGTTGAATTTGTAACTGGGCATAAGAAACTAAAGTTATATATTTTGTTTTTAAAGTTTTAAAAAATTCATTCTAAATTATATTTTTTTAAATTATATTTTTAGTATATGATGTTATTTTTCTTTTTTCATCTAATATAAGTATTTTAAGTTTTTTTTTATTTGACTTTAGAAATAGTTAGATAAAATTAATCATGAGTATACATTAGAAGATAAAGTTTCATTTTAGAGAATGATTGACCTTAACTCTTATTGATGGTAATGGTAGAACACAATGATAAAAGAAGTTTGCCTTCTTTAAAACTTACAAGAAAATTCAGGATTACAAGAAACCAAGTCCATTATAGACATAAAGATTTTGTCTCCAATGTTTGTCTAGTAATCACAATAGCTGAAATGATATTTTTTTTTTCAAATCATTCACTTAACAATCTTGTTACATTGCATAGACCATTTGCTTGGTCAACGTCTCTGAACATTACATGAACATTAACTTTTAATTTAAGACAATAATTAGGAATACTTGAACATTTAATGTCATTAAGAAATTCATATGTAAATCACTTACCTTGCATTTCTTGATTTTCATCTGATTGATAGGATATATTGAAACTTAAGTATTTTTTTTCTTCGTCAAGTATCAAAGATAAAATAAAATTATTAACTTCCTCAACTAAATCAATAGTAGGACAAAGTATGATTCCATCATCAAAAATACAAACAAACATTAGGTTATGTAGAAAATGAAGATAAATAAAATTAACTAATAAAAGAAAATATGTTTCACTGTCTTCAATTAAAAAGTTCTTTGGGTATGTCAATATATTCTTCACCATTTTCATTCAAAGACATATCTTCATCACCAATCCTTAGTATCCAATAAGCAAACTCTTTTATATTTGTTGCACTTTCATTTATTTTTACAGTATTTAACCTTATATTCTCTATAAACTTTAAAACTTTGTAATTTCTCCATGTTTATAAATAATTGATAGTTGAAACCACAACTTTACCTCTAAATGGGTCATCATGATTCTCCACATTTTTTGCTTTCATAATATTTTTCAATGTTCGGTCAAATGCTTCAAGCATAATCTATTCATCATTGACGCTTCATCCCATATAATCAATTTTGTCTCCATCAAAAGTTTAGCTCGAAGACTTCCTTAAAGTATATTGCAAGTTGATTTCTCATTGATTAATAATGGTATGCAAAATGTTGAATGAGTTGTCTTACCTCTAGAAAGTAATAAAGAAGCAATTCCACTTGAAGTTACATTAAGAACAATCATTCCCTTTCACCTAGTAGAAGGTGACAGAGTTCTCCAAAGGAATATCTATCCATACAAAAAAGAAAAATCCTCCTTTATCTGAAGTTATTGTTGTCATGATCTCTTGATAGACATGTAGTTGTTCATTAGTTAGCAATGAAAAAAGTGATCCATGCACTTTATTCGTTTCTTCTTTATCATAATTCAGCTAATCAACAATAAACTTATTTTAAAAAATGAATGAATATGAGAAATCAGGTTGAGGTAGACAATTATAATCCTTTAACTACCATTTGACATGAGCAATTATCTACTTATAGAAGATAGAGATTATGCAATTCAAATTCTTCAATTTGAAAACCTACATTGGAAAATAACATCATAAACGAGTCAAATTAATAATTAAAATATACAAAAGAATAAATATAATCATTTTTGTCTCCATCAAAAGTTTAGCTCGAAGACTTCCTTAAGGTATACTACAAGTTGATTCCTCATTGATTAATAATGGTATGCAAAATGTTGAATGAGCTATCTTACCTCCAAGAAGTAACAAAGAAGCAATTTTACTTGAAGCTACATTAAGAACAATTATTCTCTTTGACCTAATAGAAGCTAACATAGTTCTCCAAAGGAATGTCTTACCAGCACAACCATATCCATACAAAAAGAAAAATCCTCCTTTATCTGAAATGATTATTGTCATGATCTCTTGTTAGACATGTAGTTGTTCATTATTCAACAATAGAAAGAGTGATCCATACACTTTATTCATTTCTTGTTTATCATAATTCAACTCATCAACATTAAACTTATTTTAAGAAATGAAGGAATATGAGAAATCATGTTGAGGTAGACAATTATAATCCTTTAAAGACCTTGACATAAGCAATTCATCTATTTGTAAAAGACAAGGATTATGCAATTTAGATTCTTCAATTTGAAAACCTACGTTAGAAAATAACATCATAAACAATCAAATTAATGATTAAAATATACAAAAACAATAAATTTTATACCTGGTAGGTTTAACTCCTTTTTTCTTTAGTATAAAATACCATTTGTCAACAATTTTCATATAGAATTTCAAACAATATTTGATTTGGACATTGTGTTCATCACTAAGAATGTTACAAATAACTTTCTCAATTGATTTTCACAAGCATGTTTACTTGCTTCATTTATTACATCAATAAATGCTTTATTATTTACCAATAGTATTAAAGCATGACAAGCATCTTGATAAGTATCATAAGTTTTTCCATTGATAGTCTTTATGCTATCATGATCAATTCATCCTTTTTGAATTGTTAACAATATTCTCATATAATATAACTCACTAGAATTTGGAGGAACATAAGTAAGTTTTCCAATATTATATCCTTACTTTCTCGATTTCCATCCTCTTTGATGAGGCATCCAAACAAATTTAATTGGAAATTCAAAATATGTTAGGTTATTACCATCAACAAACCTTTTATTAGCCTTAAACGAAGATGTGAACATTGTGTGAAGATCTTCATTATTGTTTACGATGACATAAATTTGATCACCATCTTTAAAAAGAATTGATTGTTTACTTGGAAGATGTAATGCCAATCTTTACATAGAGGGTCATCTATGATGAATATCAAAATCAAAAGTTCTCCAAACTGCCTTAGATGGTGATAAATGTCTACAATCATAGTATATTTTAATTTCATCAACAACTTCTAAATTAGAAGAATTTGTAGAATTACTACTGATGTTAATTGTATCTTTATCTAGCCCATTATTGACATATTTAAACAAATACTCGATTGAATTTGTTTTGGTTGAAATATTTTGTACTACCATGAGCTTGATACCTCATCAAAAGAAGTGGACTATAAGGAACAACATTCCTATTGTCCAATTTAAGTCCATTTTTTGTAACAAAGATGTCATCATCTCAACATCTACAACATGGATATTCATCTTCATCTATAGTAGTTAAAAAATGTAAATTTATTAGGATAATAATTGGAATATCTACCTTCTTTCATGCAAGGTGAATTGAATCTAGCAACTTCACATAGACCATGGATCATGTAGCTTGCAACCATCTTAGGAAGTTTTGGATACAAATTCGGATGAGGTAACTCAACAAAGATTACCTTGTCAATGTCCTTTCCATTATTCAATTTGTTTTCAATATCCAACCACAATAAGATGTGAGCATGTGGAAGTCCTCTTTTTTTTAAATTTTACCGTATACATGCCTAAAATAAAAATATATAAGAAATAAGATATATAAAAATTAATATTTAAAGTTGTAATCTGTAATAATGAATTGTACAAACTTGCATTGACTTTGCCAAAGAAGTTATCTTTCTTGAGATCTGACATCATTTGATCCAACTACATTTTGAACACTCAACAAACAAGATCAGTCCTATATGTAACAAAGAACAAAATCATGTATTGCACTCCATTTTACGTTGCATGCGATCA